TACTGTGCATAATAGACATATAATTAAGATTTAATCATTCTATAGCTAATAATTAAGGTATTTTCAAGGTTCAATTTCAGCATTTTCGGAATGTCGCCATGAAGTAAAAATTACATGACCCAATGACATATTTATTAAATGTTTTTAGTTAGAAAATAATTTGACTATATAAGCTAAGATAGTAACATAAGAATTGTACGATATTGATAATTCTTCATCGCCATCCAGGGATAAATACACCCCCCCCCCCATTTGCGAAAATAAAGGTTTTTACCTGAAACTTTCTCAAATGGCTATATTTCAGAAACTATTAAAGCCTCCATTCTAAATTTTTTGTTGTTGATTATACACATCATACTCTGAATATTATACATATACTAATTGACTACAAGAGAGATATTTTGGATTGTCATCATTTTTGAGAATATTACAAAAACATATTTATATTATGCAATAATCACCTATTTTCATAATTGAACATAATTGAAATATATTATCTAGCTAGTCTTAATGATTTCAATATATGCATTTAATCCTGAGATGCACTAAGGTTTGATATCCATGAAGTAATTGTTTCTTTTTTGTTTGTAATTTAGTCTCTAAGCATAAAACTATAAGCATTAAATCTGTATGCTTTAGGACATACATAATCTATACCGATGACTAAACATTCAATTGACAACATCCAGTCAATATGCTTGACAAAATTCAATAATGATTAATATGTTCGACCTATATGTTTTTGAATAACTTCACCAATACTATTTGCTTGAGTATTCATTTCAACATTTGCTTCAAGCAGTTGAACATTGTTAGTTATCAACATCACCTGAAAAGATTTCATCTATGAAATTGTTGACTTCATTATCTGTCATATCATCATCAATTTTGTCATCTGATTCTTCATTTGAGCTTTGTGAGACTGTTTCCATATGTAACCTTGGTAGTTACATATTTTACAATGTTGAACAAGGGATGACCTGCATGGAGGAAGAGACTGATGTCTATCCCATCATAGTTGGTGATAGAGGCTTGAGGTTGAAATCTGATGGCAAAATTTATGTATCGTACATGATTGATGTCTGTTTCTTTCTTTTCCCCGTACATGATGCACAGAAATCTTTCGAGTTTTTGAAGATGCCTTTGGTCAGTTCTTGAAAGATTGCATGCATGTCCTCCCTCTTGATCAGCTGTTTCAGAGGGTTTATTTTTCCCTTCCTCATGAAGGCACTGGTGGTATCACACCCTGTAAAACAGTGGATACCGATCAGGGTGGCTGTGATTGGATCACCCAAACCTGCTGCAACTGTCTTCACATCAATGAGGCACCTCTTGTTTGAAACTTCAGTGTCAAACAGTACTTGAGAAGTGTTGAGAAGTAGGTGTATGCTGTAAATAAGCAGAAGTATGAGAACATCTGTCTGGAGATCTGACAAGTATGATCTGGGCCTCAGCCCCCACTTGCCTTGATGCATATAAAGCATGGAGAATAATTGCACCTTAGGTCTAGGACTTCCTCACTAACAACATGTGACCCATCACTTGTGAGTAAGAAGCACTTGAAAGACAAAGTAAATTGGCGTGTTCTGAATTTTTTTGCATATTTGTCCTTCTTCCATTCTGCGAGGATAAGTTGGACAAGCTGTTCCATTTTTGGGACTTTAGTTTTGGGACCTTTCACTTTAGGACCTTTAACCAGCAGTGGCTGCATTTTACCTGTACATCTTCTCTTAAATTCAGAACAAGCCAATTTAGTCAGGTGGGGGCTGAGGCCAGGACTATACTTGTCAGATCTCCAGACAGATGTTATCATACTCCTGCTTATTTACAGCAAACACCTACTTCTCAAAGTACTGTTTGACACTGGAGTTTCAAACAAGAGGCGCCTCATTGATCTGAAGACAGTTGCAGCGGGTTTGGGTGATCCAATCACAGCCACCCTGATCGGTAACCACTGTTTTACAGGGTGTGATACCACCAGTGCCTTCATGAGAAAGGGAAAAATAAACCCTCTGAAACAGCTGATCAAGAGGGAGGACATCCATGCAATCTTTCAAGAACTTGGAAAATTAATAGACCAAAGGCATCTTCAAAAGCTGGAAAGATTTGTGTGCATCATGTACGGGGAAAAGAAAAAAAACAGACATCAATCATGTACGATACATAAATTTTGCCAACAGATTTCAACCACAAGCCTCTATGAAGAACTATGATGGGTAATACATCAGTCTCTTCCTCCATGCAGGTCATCCCTTGTTCAACATTGTAAAAGATGTAACTACCAAGGTTACATTTGGAAGCAGTCTCACAAAGCCCAAATGGATATACCTTCTCCAGCAGAAAATGGATGGATCCTAGATGATGGCGAACTTGATATACAATGGGCTGAAAATCCAAATGCTATTCTTACACAAGAGTTGGTAGACATTTATAACGAAGAATCAGATGACGAAATTGATGATGATATGACAGATAATGAAGTCAACAATTTCATAGATGAACTCTTTTCAGGTGATGTTGATAACTAACAATGTTCAACTGCTTGAGGCAAATGTTGAAGTAAATACTCAAGCAAATTGTATTGGTGAAGTTATTCAAAAACATACTGGTCGAACATATTAATCATTATTAAATGTTGTCAAGCATATTGACTGAATGTGTCAATTGAATGTTTAGTCATCGGTATTGATTATGTATATCCTAAAGCATACAGATTTAATGCTTATAGTTTTATGCTTAGGAACTTAATTACAAACAAAAAAGAAACGATTACTTCATGGATATCAAACTTTATTGCATCTCAGGATTAAATGCATATACTGAAATCATTGAAACTAGCTGGATAATATTTTTCAATCATGTTAAATGAAAATAGGTGATTATTGCATAAAATAAGTATGTTTTTGTAATATTCTCAAAAATGATGACAATCCAAATATCTCTCTTGTAGTGTTGTGACAACCTTCTAAAACATATAATTTGATTTCTAAGATGTCTAATAAATATACTATTATTATTAGCTACACCCTCAAAAAGTGTTAAGACTTCAATTATATGTATAATATGCAGTGTATGATGTGTATAATCAACAAGAGAAATTTTGGAATGGAGGCTGTAACAGTTTCTGAAATATAACTATTTTAGAAAGTTTCAGATAAAAACCTTTATTTTCGCAAATGGGGGGGGGGGGGTATTTATCCCTGGATGGCGATGAAGAATTATCAATATCGTACAATTCTTATGTTATTATCTTAGCTTATATAGTCAAATTATTTTCTAAAGCCCAAAAACATTTAATAAATATGTCATTGGGTCATGAAATTTTTACTTCATGGCAACATTCTGAAAATGCTGAAATTGAACCTTGAAAATACCTTAATTATTAGCTATAGAATGGATAAATCTCAATTATATGTCTATTATGCATAGTATGATGTGTATAATCACCATGAGAAATTTTGGAATGTAGGCGGTAATAGTTTCTGAAATATAGCTATTTGAGGAAGTTTCAGGTATAGACCTTTATAATCGAAAATGGGGAGGGGTGGGGTTTATTAGTGCCTGGATGGCGATGAAGAATTATCAATATGGTACAATTCTTATGTTATTATTTTAGCTTATATAGTCAAATTATTTTCTAAAGCCTAAAAACATTCAATAAATATGTCATTGGGTCATAATGTAATTTTTACTTCATGTCGACATTCAGAAAATGTTGAAATTGACCCTTGAAAATACCTGAATTATTATCTTTAGAATGGATTAATCACCCGATTTGTATGAATTTTTCAAATTTTACTTTTACATACCTGTTAATTACCCATGCCAAAAATGAAGATGATCAAATAAATACTTATTTAGTTATAAGCATTTGTCATAGTACCCCCAAGAATTTGTCTTCAAGGGGGGTAAAACTCAAAAATGACAACTTTCGCACCAGAAATTGATGTTAGACTGAGTGGATTCTAATGTAGGATGATGATATGGTTATATTTAAGCAATAAAATTATCCCCAGCTCCCGACCCCGACCAACCTTGTTATACAGCCCACTATTAAGAGACTACCTCAGAAATAAAGATCCAACCTTTGTCAATATTAATGCCGCATGGTGCAGCTTATTTGTAGAGGATATCATAAGTGGCTCTGTCTATCTTTGTTTCACTTTGCCTTTCTCTAATTTGGTTACTAAACTTCGAGAATCTGTTAATATTACAACATTGTAAGTTGTAGTAGTGTTTTTGCACATCTAATGTAAATCGTCTTCAAACGCTTCGGATTCTGATCAGAATGAACTGGTCTTGCCTTCTCTACCGGCACACTACCCGTAAATTGTGATGTTGTTCTTCCATACAGCACCTCCCAATGCTGTTACATTGTCACGTACAGAACCATCTGTGGCAATATGAGTAGGTGATGCCTCCTCTAGGTACATCATGACAACTGCCTGATTGACAACATTACCTCTTTTTCTCCAGCTTCTCTTTTCAATCATATCAATTTTCAGTGGCATCTTGTGGTAGTAATCCCATGGATCTGCCTCAATGTCTTCTAATTGTATGACATTCTCCACAATTTACAAATACGAACAAAACCGTGATATATTTGTAACATGGTCATTTTCACATTTTATATTATTACTGTTCATATTAATCAATCCCTATTCATCTCAATATAACAGGTCCCTAAGTAGGTTGTTTGCAGTTTTACTCTTTTAATACCATGTTCACTTTTCACCTTTTATTGAAACCAGTTATTCAACTATGCAAACTGTGTCAGTTTTATATATCTATTGTTCCCTTATATGGTCTTTCTCACTCACATGTAGCTGAGTTTGGGTGTTGGCTTGTCAGTAGTTGTTGTAAGAGTTCATGTTGTATAGTACAGAACACTGTGTTTTGAAGTTGGAAATATATATTTTTTGAGACATTTTACTTAAATCTTACGTTTTATTATTTGCCACCCACGGCCTTCCATCGCCCATTTACATTGGTACCAGGAGTGGGGTAGGTGAAGGCAACAAATTAGTATAGTAGGAGCAAATAAAGTGGGGTAATCAATTTGGATATTTGACACTAATGCAGAGAGGAATAATTGGACATTATTACTTTTCAAAAATGGAATTTACAAAACGATGTTGGTTCTGTAAGTCTACAAACCACACCAAGCGACAATGTGAACTCTTCAAAAATGCCAGGTATTTCTGTTCAAAATGCCAAATTTATGGACACCGTAATAAAGATCATCAGGATATTCCGACACTCCAGGAGAATTTTATGAAGGCATTCAAGTCTGCCTCTACACAAACAAAACATTTAAAATCAAATGAACGATCAAAGCAACATAATAAATATTGCCAAACAGCAACTGTAAACATGGATATTTATAAACACAACATGGACAACTACAAACGTATAGAGAGCGAATTATATGGACAGAAGAATGGCAATCGAATATACAAAGAACGCATCCAGACCCTACAATCACAAAACGTTAACATTTCAGCGGTAATTAAAGCTCAAGACATACAGATCCAAGAATTACAAAAGGACTTATTGGAATATTCCGATCGAACAACTAGGGACGATAAAACCATCTCCAAACTGAAATCAGATCTGACAGATTCTGAGGTGAGAATATGTTCATTGACAGCTTCTTGTGATAAACATCTTAGTACGATCATTGATATTACGAATCAACTCAAGGAACAATCCGAAACAATCGAAATTTACAAAACAGTGATAAAAACCCAGCAGGAGAAATTGGATCAAATTATTACTCGAACGGGGGCATCTGAAACTACAACAATATGGAAACAATTAGGAGAACATCTATTTTGGAAAGGAAAGACACCAAATCAACAAGCTATACTCTTTGATGTTTGATTTATAGATGTGATATGCCATGACCTACAACTACAGCAGAGATGTGTATTGAATTCTTCAATTTATGCTTATTTACTATTTTATGATCATTTTCACAACTTAATACTTCATTGATGAACTGTAATATGACCATGCAATCATGACATTCTCACATATTTGTTTATATTCTGCGATACTTATCTTCAATTGACTGTCATGACATCAGATATGCATATATCGTTAGTGACTAGCCTTTTACCACAATGTGCCAATCAAACCTATTGAGTAATCAATCTTCATGGTGTATTTGTCTTAAATTGATGTTTATTTATTACTAGCCAGTTATGGTGTTCATTTAACTGCCTATGGTGTTCAAGCCTTATGGTGTAAAGTAATTAGCCTTTTATGGTGTATAATAAGCCTTTTATGGTGTGTATTCGCCTATATGGTGTTATATTTTGCCTTACATGGTGTTAATTTAAGCCTTAAATGATTTTACTTAATATGTTTTTTGGTACTTCAATGGCTTTTCATTTACTAGTCAACATTTTATACTTTAGAATTATGTTATACTTTGCTTTATAATGTTGACCATTGTGGATGTTATTAGGGGAGGAATATGCTCATTTTTATACAGATGTGTTACATAATTTTAAATTGCTATAAATATTTATCCTTTATATATTTTGTATTTATGACCTACTTAAGGTAAATGTGGGACGCATTTAGACGATGTCCGCGTGGATGTAACATGGCCATTTTCATATTTTTATATTTCTCACTTTTCATATTGATCAGTCCTATATATTTCCCTTATTATCAATATAACAGGTCCCTAGGTTACTATTGTATCAGTGCCAAATGTTTTAATCCTCTTGTTTGCCATGCCTTGCCTTTTCACTTTCTTTTGTTTCAAACCAGTTTTTAGCTTTTCATGTTGTATGTTCAATGTTGTTTTGTATTTTGTAACTTCCATATATGGAAAACACATTCACTCACTTGAGTTTGGGTGTTGGCCCAGCCTCAGTTGTTGCTTATACATAGACCGTACAGAACATGATTTTTGAAGAATTGAAATAGATTTGTTTTTATCGTATTTTATATTACTTTTCTGTTATCCTATATATCGCCACCCACGGCCTTAGCCCCGGACATTACATATTGTTGTTGTATAATATTGTTGTTGTATAATATTGTTGTTGTATAATATTGTTGTTGTATAATATGAGTTAACCCAATATTTTGTTCTTATTATTTCAGAGGATTCAAGAACGGAAACAGCAACTCATTCCAAGACTGAGTCCCTCGAAGATTTTGTCATGAAATATGGACTGAAAACAGTGGAAAATGATGGCAGTGGTGATTGTCTGTTTCATGCCTTGTCCCATCAACTGGCCTACATAGATCACAAACTGGCCTACATAGATCACAAACTGGCCTATATAGATCACAAAGATTTACGAAAGAAGCTAGTAAAATATGTAAAGGACCATCCATTACTGGTAAGGGCTTGATATCAAATGATTTCTTCAATGTAAAATAACAACACACCGGTATGTTATGACAGAACATATCTCATTATGAGAATCATTTCAAAATTTCAACAGTATTTGCTTTCTTATTCTGACATGCCATATATTTTATCCTGTCTTTCATCTTCAGCCAAATAAAGAGCATGTGACAACACAGTTTGACGATCACATCATAGATGACTGGAAACAGTACATGGAAACTCACGTTGATATAAATGACAATGAAAAAACAAAGCTAGCATGGTTTACAGAGTCCTACATGAACAAGCCAGGGACTTGGGGTGATAATACCATGATCTTGGCATTTACTCAATTCTTCAATGTTGATGTTGAAATTTACTCTCCGGGGTCAAAGCACACAATGGAAGCTTCAGACAACAAAGATAAAAGGACCGTTATTAGGCTTGGATACATTCCACGTATCCATTTCATGAGTCTTGTTAACTGCAAAGGTAATTGTAACATTATTAAACTAGATAACAGCAATGCCAAAGCGTAGCAAATCCTATCGAACAGCCATGGGTGCCTTTTTTTACAAAATCCATCTACTACTATTTCAGCAAAAATCGTGAATGGCCACCTTCTAGCCAAAGTGTTTTAAAACAGTGTGCCATGCTTATGAGTATTCACATATCAAATATGAACAAAATCACTCTATTACTTTTTGAGTTATAAGTAAAAAATGTAAAATAACACACATAAAATTGGCTGCCATTTTCAAAATTGCCAAAGTGTCATAAAACAGTGTACCATGCTTATGGCATTCAGGTACCAAATATGAACAAAATCGCTCTACCACTTTTCAAGTTACAGCAAAAATCATAAAATAGCGGGTTAAAGCCGCCATGTGTATTTCTTAAATATCATTTCTAGCTTTATTTAGGTCCTATATAACTTTTTTACATTTAAAACACAGCAAAAATCATAAAATAGCAGGTTAAAGCCGCCATGTGTATTTCTTAAATATCATTTCTAGCTTTATTTTATTTTTTTTATTTTTTTTTTATTTGATTTATTTCATAGTAAAATAGAATTATTACATACACCTGTTGCGGCTTTGCAATGAAGCATTATAAGCCACAATTAAATAATAACAAGATTTAAAAAAGAAAGTATGACAATGGATTTGCAATAAACAAAAGAATTATTGTGTACAAAATTATACAGTTGGTGGTAGAAGAAATACTTACACGCTTGCACACCTTTGAATAAAAGCTGAAGTGAGCCTTAAAATTTCAATATTAACTTCTTTTGGCAGACTTCTGTCTCCATACAAAAACAATGATAATTTGTCTTGCTGGTTTTTAAATGCTGGGTAATTAAAATTTAGAAGAGTAAGTGCATCCTCTAAATCTTTAAGATATTGTGATCTAAGGTTACAAGAGAACATGACATGAATGGATGTTTCATTGCTATACCCACATTTGCATGTAGGGGATGGTACATTAGTAAAATTGTGGGCGTAAAAATGGGACTGGAAGATTTCTTGGCTCCTTGTCAAGGAGATCTCAGAGGAATTAATGATATAAGTAGTCATTAATTTTTTCTTTACATTCGATTTAAAAATATTTAGATTTGGAGATTCTTTAATTTCGGGTGGGAGAGACTCCCAGTCAATGATGGATTTAAATACGCATGATCTATTTGAAAATGTTGAGGTTTTGATTGGAATTTGGTAGTCACGACTTCTTCGTGTTATTGATGGAAGATTTCTACGATATTGATTAAAAATGCTCAAAACGTAGGATGGAAGTTTATTGTTGTAAGCTCGGTACATCAGGAAAAGTCTATGCATTTGTCTTCTATCAGATAGCTTTGACCAATTTAAGCAGTTAAAGACTTTTGTTGAAGATGTTCCATGTAGTACACCTGAGCAAATGCAGGCTGCTTTGTAGTATAATTTATCAATGGATTTTAATTTACTTATATTTGCACAACCATAAAGAATATCGCAATAGTCGAAAATTGGAAGTATGAAAGATTTGAAGATTAATTCCAGGTGTTTTCCATTTAATTTGTTGCTTAGAGATTTAAGTGGGTTTAATAGTTTATCAATCCTCTTGGTGGGCTCTGTGATGTGTTGGTCAAAAGTTAGGTGTTTGTCTAGTATGAGACCTAAATGTTTATGATGATCATCTCGAGGTAGAACATCATTACCAATTTTGAGGTCAGGAACGTTATATTCACATTTCCTTGGGTTTGAGAAAATTATGTCTTTGCTTTTAGAGGCCTTAAAGTTCATTTTCCATGTCTGGGACCATTGGAAAATTTAATTAAGATCAGATTGTAAAATTGTGTTACTTTCAATGAGATTTGATTTGGAATATGGTTGGTATAGAGATGTGTCATCTGCATAAATATAGCATTTGCTTGATAAGGTTTCAGGGAGATCATTTATATAAATCAGGAAGAGTAGGGGTCCAAGAATAGAGCCTTGTGGAACGCCAGCATTTATATAATCCTCATCGCTCAAAACAGACTCTTGACCATCAAGGATAACTTTTGCTTGTCTCTTAAAGAGATATGATGCTAAAAGTGATAGAATACTTGGGCCAATTCCATAAGATTCACGTTTTTTAGTAGCAAAGAATGAGGTAAGGTGTCAAACGCAGCTGAAATGTCTAAATAAACCCCCCTTACATTTCCCCCAGATTCTATTTCATTTGTTATAAAATCAATAATGCTTAATAATTGAGCCTGAGTGCTGTGCCCTGGCAGAAACCCACTTTGAAGATTGTAAAATAGGTCATTTGATAGTAGATGGTCAAATAATCGTTTGAAAATGATACGTTCAGCTATTTTTGAAATACAACAAAGGGGCTTGATTGGACGGAAATTTTGAATATTAGATTTATCACCCTTTTTATGAACAGGTAAAATATGCCCAATTTTCCATTTTTGAGGAAAGGCTTGAAGAATAAACATTTTGTTGAACAGTTTAGATAAAATGGGAGAGAGGGCTGGTGCTGCCATTTTTAACATTCTATTACTTATCATGTCAGGGCCGGTTGCTTTATTTATGTTTAATGAAAGTAGTATTTCAAAAATCTCGGATTCATGGGTCGAAAGTATGTCAATTTGATTTGGAGTTCTGAGATTCAAAGAAATATTTCCAGCTTCTCCATCTAAATGAAAGTTTTTTATGAAGTGTTCCAAAAATAAATTTGCCTTCTCATTGCCTCTGGAAATACAATTTCCATTGTGGTCAAACAAAAACGGTATTTTTGAATTTTTAGATCTTCCCAATAGTTTTGATATGATGGACCAATAAGACATGCTTCCATGTTTATACGAATTGAGCTTGTGGCGCTAATTTGAATCATGAATTTGCTTAGCTTCCTCTATGGCATTGTCAACTATTGTGCATTGTTCATTGTATTTTTGAAGGTAGGTCAAGTTATGGGTTTTTCTAAATTTATAATGTAACTTATTTCTTTTATTTATCAGGGTTTTAATTTTGTCATTAAACCAAGGTTTGTCAGTGGATTTGAAATTAATTACTGAGTTTGGGATCAGGTCAGAGAAAATTTTCAAAAGGTTATCGCTAAGCTGTTCCACAAGGTTATCAATATCATTTACTTCGCGTATTGTACTGTTAAGTAATGTAATATCTGTTTTGGAATAGTACCAAACCTGTCTTGAGTATGGCGCATCTTTCAAAGTAGTAAAACAACAGTCAGTAGATAAAGTACTATGATCTGTGTATCCAATTGGAGGTTTAACTGTTGTATTGCTTATTTGATCGGGGTTGTTTGTAAATAAAAGATCAATACATGACCTACTTAAATTTGTAACTCGTGTCGGCTCATCTATAAGTTGAAAAAGACCTAACGACTCTGAATAATCATATAATATTTTACCTGCTGAGTTTTCATTATCTAATGCCCACCAGCTTTTACACCTGGCATTAAAATCACCTTTTATCAACATTAAGTCTATTTTAGAGTGAAGCAATTTACTACATGTAATGGAAAATCTACTAAAAAAATCCTGAGTCTCAGCTTGGTTTTGATAGTAGATGGTCAAATAATCGTTTGAAAATGATACGTTCAGCTATTTTTGAAATACAACAAAGGAGCGTGATTGGACGGAAATTTTGAATATTAGATTTATCACCCTTTTTATGAACAGGTAAAATATGCCCAATTTTCCATTTTTGAGGAAATGCTTGAAGAATAAACATTTTGTTGAACAGTTTAGATAAAATGGGAGAGAGGGCTGGTGCTGCCATTTTTAACATTCTATTACTTATCATGTCAGGGCCGGTTGCTTTATTTATGTGAAATTTCTTCATTTGAAAGGTTTCCAACTTCACACAAACCAATAATTTTACTATTGTTAATATGTATATGATCTTTTAAAGCACTAAATCTGTTATCATTTGCTTTAATACTATTTATATTTGAAAAAAGAAAATTGGTAAGATCTAAATTTTTTCTAGGGCCTGGATTTTGATGGATATCATTGCTAAGGATAAGTAAAATTTGGGTAAAATTTGGATAATATTTGGGGTGTAGCAGGTAAATGGCAGAATAAGTAAAAGTAAACCACTGGTTAAGACCATCTTTAAGATATAAAATGAACCAAAGTACTTATGCTTATGATGAGCAAAAGAAAGTATGCAGATGGTTACCATGCTCATTGGCATTACTATACAAGTGACAATGCACCCATACAAGGCAATTATGCACATCAAGAGTTGTAATTTAATTGGCAAGAGTGCCAACAAGAATAAACAAGCAAATATCAAAGGTAGAATGCACTTATGTATAAATTGTTTCATTTTACTGCATATAGATGGCATATTAAAAGTGCAATTAGCCTTACTGTGGTGGGCAGTGCTTTGATTACCATTAAACAGACCAATGCGTGCTCTCCAAGTGTTGATGCTCACACCCATTTCAAGCGAAAAATTTAGTGGTAAAGTAAATGCTCAATGCTTACAAAATGTAATTTATAAAGCTTTCATGGTGTGCAAAAGTGTAAGGTTTTCAGGTAACACTCTAAGTCTGTTAAAATATGGATATATAATATGGGGTGTCAATGAGTGTTAAGATCAAACAATTTGACCAAGTATGAAAGTATTCTTCCACCAAGTTTTAAAATCTTTCAACTGAAAAAAATAAATAATCTCTTGCAAAAGCAAAATATTTCCCTAGCTAGAACAGGGAAGAAAATCAATAGGCTGACCAATTAATCAAGCTTCTGAACACATATAAGGAGGTTCAAAATAACACTCAGGAAAGAAATTGAGGGAAGTGTCTAAAAACCTTTTAAGAATATATTGAAATAGAACCTGTGAGTTAATTCAATTTGTTATGACTTCAAATCAGGTTTGAATTTCTGCAGTAATTAGATTCGTTTCATGTAGCTAACTGAACTCCTTAAAAAGCAACTGGTTGTAGTATGTCAATTATAGGCTTCAATGTTTATAACTGCAAATATATACGTGTAAGTTCCAGTAAGATCTTGCCATTGTGTGCCCAAGCGTCTTTTACACCGTTGTGCTTCTTCAGATTATAAAGAAAAGTTCTGTTGCCAGGGGAAAGGTCCTCCATAATAACCAAGCTCTTGCCTTTAAGAACCCTTCTGTTAACAAGCAGGGCATCACGTTTCTTGCGACTGTTGAATCGCACAATCATGGGCCGGGGTTTATCCTGGTGTGCTGGTGATTGTCTGAGGCGATGGGCCACTTCTATGTCATCATTTGTGATGTTGTGGCATGAATCTATTTACAATATCCACAACTGCGCCTATGCAATTTTCGCCTTGTCGATTTGCAGGTTCAGGAATTCCCAATAAGCGCAGATGACTTTTGCGACTGTATTGGTTGTTGTGACTAGTCTCAATGGTAAGGGTAGATATAGCATCTTGAAGAGTAGACATATTGGTCCTCAAAGATATCACCTCTTGTTTAAGGTCTTCGTTCTCTGAGCGAAGATCCGCCAATTCTTTAACGAAAACTGACATGGAGTCTTTCAGAGATTCTGTTATAGCTTGCCTGATTTCGTTTTGTATTTCCACCTTAATTGCTGCAAAGTCGCTAGTGGTTAAGTAGCAGCCTGGCTGTTGCTGAATATCAGTCATCGATGTCTCGTGCTCGTCTAAGCTAACACTGCTGCTAGGTTGGTGTCGCTTCAAAGGCGGTTTGACAGAGCTAGAAGTTTTTGGATTTTTCCCAAATGTTAGGTTTGATTGTTGTTGTTTTACTGTTGACATGATTGTATGACCTGGTGGTTAAAGGGTTCATCCTTTGTGTTGAAAATTATTAGATTCCAGTTCCACAAAATTCATCAAATATCTCTTTTGAAAAGTAGATTCAAGAAGCAGATCTTATATATCCTGGTGTATTATATGTTCATATTTCCATATAGGGTAGCTGTAATACAAAATCCTCAATGATCCTGTTGAAATCACAAAAAATGTTCAGAGCTCAATCATGTGCTGCCTACTCATTCATTGCCAACTGATCATTATTGAGCCAACTGAGCTTTATTTAGGTCCTATATAACTTTTTTTACATTTAAAACACAATATTACACACTATTACAGTTTTACATTGATTATGTGGTGGTTAAAGTATCAAAAAGGCAAGACTGAATTAAAAACTGTGTATAGGGGAAAAAACTTTCATGCTTTGACAGAGTAAAATAAGAGTAAAATCATATTTTTTCATGTTTCAGCAATGCCAGATAATCAGCAAAAGAAAGCAACACTTGGAAACCAAAAGATGGAAGGTGATGATTCTGATGAGGAAAAAGAAGAAAATGAAAGTGATAAAAGTGATCAACAAACTGAAACTAACTTTTGTGATTTCAATGATTCTTTAAATCCAGAGCCAGTAGATATATATCCAATGCCAAAAGAAATGTTAAATATCCATCCAAAGGAAACACAAGTAAGAAATTCCTATTTTCCAATTCAAGAGTTTCTTGCACAAGACATTATAAACAGAATTTCTCTCATACTCAGTCCTGAGTACAAATTAGAAAGAAACATAGACAGTGAAAATACTTCACTGTGTCCCAGTATAATTCCAACTTCTTTAGATGGGTTTGAAGGGTTTGATTTCCGTATATACACTGCAAGATCTGTAATGCTACGAGATCAAACTATAGCAAGGTTATGTCAAAGAGAAATGGCTTGTTTTCCTGAAGAGTTGTACAATAACCCAATTGAGTTATATAAAGAGGGTGAAAAGAAGGTCAAGGCATATGATTTGTGCTTTGAGAAGGACTTTAATGAATTCAAAAAACAAGCTGAGCAAAATCCTAAAATGCTCCACCTAGTTATTGCTGATGAAGCACACTGGGGATCAGATGCATCTACTGAAGAAGTAAATCGTGCAAATGACAAATTTGTCAATTCTTGGGAAAATGATAAACATGGTAATGTTTTTGTTCTTCAAGTTACAGCTACACCTTTTAACTTATTAAGCACAAACACACGACTCCCAAGCGAAAAGTACTGCACAAATACAATTGATGACAACAAACTCATTTTGGTCCAGGAAAAATCAAAACGCTTAATGCATGGAAAAAATGATGTGACTCAAAATGTTGGACCAAAGAATGATTTACACCATGTAAGATGGTCAGAATCATTGAAACACCGCTTAGAACAAGGTATAGTAGTCACTCTACAAATTCCCCAAAAAAGAATTAGAGGTTCTTTTGATCAAGTTTGGCTTGAAGTTAGGAATAAAAAACTTTGTAAAAGCCAAAATTTGAAACCAAGCGAACTTACCATACAAGGTAAAAATGGGATTGTGACAGTGAGGCATGAAGGGAATATGCTAGCTGCTATAAGTCATAATAGTGGCACCCATTTAGAATTTATAGATGAAAAAGATTCAAATGGTAAATGCACAGAGTTTAACATCTTATTGGAATGTGGAGAAGATGTGTTTCAATTGTCTGCAAGAACAGAGACAAAACACAAAAACTTTCTGAAATACAGCACAGAAGAAGAGTGTATGATACTTGACAGAAAACCAATCGAAACTTACAGAGAACTGGGTGGTCTGAAGTTTGTCCAAGACATCCATTACATGATGGTGATTGGAATATGCAAGGCTTCACAGCTAGGTACCTTGAATACTAAAAGCAAAAGGTATCGTTCCTTGACACTTTACTACAACAGTATACGGAACAAGGAGAAAGATAAACAACTAATCAGGTACGATGAGAACTTTTCTGATCTTAGTAAGAAATCTGAGATACTAAAAAACAATGAAAATTCTGATCTTAGTAAGAAATCTGAGATACTAAAAAACAATGAAAATTCTGATCTTAGTAAGAAATCTGAGATACTAGAAAACAATGAAAATTTGGATAGCCTTCTGGCTTCAGAATATGCTTTCTTCATACTAATCAATGAAGGACTTCAATCTTTAATGTTACACATTTCCTCATATGAAGGGGACTCAATTCCAAAAACAAAATTTGAATCTTGGATTAAGGAATTCCATAAACTCAGAGATGAGAGAACAAAGGCTTTTGCAAAAAAACAGGCTAAACATGAGAATAACCTGAAGTCGATCAAAGGTGCCTTGGAGGATAGATCAAAAAAATCGACACACAAAGATGAATATATCAAGCTCATGAGAAATGTCATATATGGACCTGAATTTGAGAAAGTTCCAGAAATGCTTGAGAGAGATCAGTTGAAAGCTGCATTTGATGTGTGTCTAAAAGAATCTGAAACATTGAAAATAGTAACAGATTTGATTCAGGACCAAAGTGCTCTAAAAAAAGGGTTGAAGGGTAAAATGAAAATTATCAGAGCAACTAGTGTTGAAAATGGAAATGAAATTTATAAGATTTTATGCCTAGCAAGGCAGGAAGCTGGTGGGACTGACAAAAACTATATGTTTGAAATTATTCGAGATTATGGCAAATTCAAAATATGTGACATTAACAATGAACAGAAAGATGACACTTCAGCACTTTATCGTATACGGCAAGTTTTACAGACCAATGACTGCCAACATCTAGATGAGAATTCAAGAGAAATGTGCCAGTGTAAGCAGTTGGAATATGAATCTAAATCACTTAGATGCAAAAATTGTAACCACAGACACAAATCAGTGAGACAATATTGTGATCTAGAAAACCTCCCATGTATTCTGATTCTAGTTGATAAAGGTCGAATGGGTGACACATTCCCTTCAAGTTTCAATGTAATGGATTTGAGACTACACTTCCAAGACAAAGATCCACCATATTTCAACACAATAGTTCAGGGTCTTGGAAGATTGTGTCGATACACAGAAGAAATGCCACTCAACAAACTACCATATGTGCTCATTGGAAAAAAGCTATATGAAAACTTTGAAAATTCTCTGGACACAAGTGCTGTTTACTATGGATACGTAGAGCAAAAGCCAAGTAAAGTGGATGCCAGATTAAAGGCTAACAACAAACCTGGTGGAAAAAGTGCTGATGTAGGTAATATAAAAAAGCACTACAACAGAATACTGCTGAGTGCAGAACCACAAATAGGGAAGACTGGCACCTATCTAAAAGTAATTTCACTCATCAGTAACGAAATTATAAGAAGAAAGGTGAAACCAGAAATAGCTTTGGAGGAATGTAGTGTAGGTAACGAGGAGCTCTCAGATGACAGCACTGACAATGAGAGTGATGATGAAACAAGTCAAGGATTGAAACAAGACAAAGCAGAGTTCTGGCGTTATCCACTTCATAGTATGTTTGAGCATGGAAAATTAAAAACAGAATTAAACAGCCAATCTAAATATTTCCCAATATATGGTACGTACAAACATGGAAAGGTGCCAACCACCAAATTTCCAACAAAATACATGACAAAGAAAGCAATCAAACAAAGCGAAAAGAAAGGAAAAGAAAGCAATGGTGAAAACCAATACAGACCAATGACACGGGATCACACATGCCCAACATGTATGATTGTAGGAATGAACTCTCATGAAATTGAAATAACAATCCAGGGTCAAAATACTTCAATATCATTTCCAAACAGCAAACACTACATACACCAAATGAGTGTCAAGAACATACTCAAAGAAAAGTCCCAAGAAACCTCAAGGGATTCTCACACTGGAAATGAGCTAGGGTCTTGGATATTTACCCCAACCTCTGGGAGAGCTAGAACAGGATCTGTTAACCTATGTAAGACCATGCGGCTCACAAATGGAACTCCTTGTGAGTTCATTCATGTGTTAGTGGTGAAACCAGAAGAGTATGAAGAATACTGTCTGAATTGGAGAACCACCCATGCTATCTTGAAGCTACCAAAAAATATGGAAGATGCTGATGTACATGAAGGAGGAGTTGGATACAGCAGGAGGTTTATACAGCTTTTTGCGGAGGAGTTCCATCTTGACACAATATTCATGATAGATGATAATTTTGCTGCATTCAAGGAAGTTAGAGAACAAGTTACAGAACAATCAGAATTTGTGGAAAGGAATATAAATGGATCATTGGAAACAAAAAATGTTCCTCTTTATAGAGTACTGACACATCTAGAAAATATTGGATCTGAAAATCAGTTTGCTGTTAAGAACACATATATCACTATATCAAGTTATACAGGACCACTGTCAAAATATGGTATAGTTGGAATGCTCAAGATGAGAAAAGGCAGCCTCAGAGTGACGAAACCATTCAAACAAGCACATGTATATTCTCTTGTCCTTGTAAATATAAAAGCACTCAAAGCAAATGGTGTTAAGTACAAACCCTGGCCTGTGTTTGAAGACTTGACTATGAACAATGATGCTGATATAGCAGGGTTAAATGTGGTGAAGTTTAGCAGATTCTTTCTAGTGAAACGTAACCTGAAGTCTTGGCTCAGTGAAATGTGTACCTACAGACTAGAAGACTTCAAACCAGATAACAATCTCCAAATGGCACAAGGATGGGAGGACAGATTTTTTAGATGGCTTAGATGCAACACACGACCAAACAACATTATACAAATGAAAACAAAGGGGGAACAGAAAAATAACATCTGTGAGGAAAAGTTGAAATGTCTCACTAAGAAACTTGAAGGATACATAAATCTGAATCAAAATCAACACCAGATTTTGATCACAAATGTAGAGGGGTGGTTGGATGAAGAGACTATGAAATCTTCAATACTTGACAGGATAAAGACAGATGATAAATGCAACACAATGGTTATGTTAACCTCTGTAGAAATGCAGATATTTGCTGAAATACTGAGAGAATCTGAGTATGACTGCATGATAGTAAGCAGCCACAACATATCGGAATACAGCGTTCCATATGTTCTGTTACACATGCAAAATGCTAAATATGAATCCCAAGAGGAAAATCCTTATGAAAGAATTAAAGCTTTAGAGGAAGAAATCGCAAGAATGAAGCAAGACAAGAATGCTTTAGAGGAAGAAATCGCAAGAATGAAGCAAGACAAGAATGCTTTAGAGGAAGAAAACAAGTTGTTGAAAAGGAAAGTGCAAAGCTTTAAGCTAAAGGAGCATAAGTTGCCAGTAGTAGATCAGAACCATTAAAAAAACAGAACATGACTACATTCTTCATTTGCACACAGTGCGAGGACTATAATATGTGTTTTGAATGCATACGTACAATATCTCATCAACACCCAGTACTTCATGTTGCTCCTTAGCCAATCTGACATCGTTGTTTTGTCCCAATTGGGTATTGCCAGCAATACAAGCTCTGGTTCATAATGTATTTTTTCATGCAAAGCTTGTGATTTATGGACAGGAGCCCTTATCAATTCGATGCAAAGTGAAATCACAAGTTTAGCACTACACAATATACAACTTTTTGTGAAACTTGCATCAAAGTTTGGTATCTCTATTGACTGAGTAGTGTAATGTAATGTAATGGTATGTTCATTGAACTTACTGATGCTACGGACCAAAAATCAAATTACAAGAATCATTATCAAAAGTTTTCCTACCTTATTCAAATAAATACAGAGATTTTAACAAGTGTCCCCTACAAATAAATAAATGTAGTCACACAATTCATTTGGTCTGAATTTCATAACTTATGAGCACCATATTATATAACTTGAAATACTTCAATAACTTCACTAGAATTACTACATGATGAAATAAGATGAAACATCAATTTTTTATAAAGTAGTAATTGTATATTTGGATTGCAGAAAAAGGAGCATGTTTCACACATTATTGGATTTTAAAGCATTCATCCATGTACTAACTCATTCTGATAACGCACTTAGGACCCCCTTGTGCATTATGTGTACAAGTTAGTACAAGCACACATGCACTTGGACAATATCCAATAAAGAATGATACAGGATTCTTTATTCCTTAAATAACCAACCAGTCTTCATAATGAATAAATGCTGAAAGTTGTTGAATATTGGAATGGTTCTTGGGTTTGTAATATATTCACGAGCAATTGTTTTATCTTTATTCAAATCACCAACCTGAACAAATAACATGGTTCTTACATCCGCAGCTCTGTTATGTATGAAGTTAATTTTGAAAACATATGTTCAATTTGTTTGAGAGTATTTCTCAGTCTATAGTATAAGGATCATCTGATAAGGATGTACTCTTGAATGTTAGCAGTAGTCAGTTAACTACATTTTAAATAAAATTTGTTGACCAATCTAAGATTTTCCACCTTACATAGAATACTATGGCACATGAAAATAAGAATAACATTTAGAGGGAGAGCATTTACATGATGTTATAAATAATATACTAGTGATATGCTTTTATTATAAACTTGTGTATTCTACCATATATACAGGGTGATCCAGAAGTAACGTCAAAGACATTGTAATTTCAAAAGTATTCATCAGATCTTCATGAAATTTGGTATACATGTACCCACAACATTTCTGAGTTACCATCTCAAAGATTGGAATTCAATCATTTCATTGGTTAAAATTATGGTTGCTATAGTAACCCGATATCGCGTAACCCGGGGCAAATTGAAGAGAAACCATAACGTTTTTGTGAATTTCTCTAATTTAAAAAGTCAGTAACATTTGAAAATGTTCATTGTTTGTTTTCTATGATTTTTATATTTGTTGCCATGGTAACAAATATGTAATAGTTGTGATGTCACAATAGGCATTCATAAAAAGCTTTCAATTTCTTTGAATTGCTTCCATCATCCATGACAAATACTAACATGACCAAGGACACTAACCCACCCAATTCAAGATGGCGCCAAGTCAGAGTAAAATAGAGCAAAGAACAAACATTAAGTTCTGTGTAAAGATGGTAACTCAGAAATGTTGTGGGTACATGTATACCAAATTTCATGAAGATCTGATGAATACTTTTGAAATTACAATGTCTTTGACGTTACTTCTGGATCACCCTGTATATTCTTATTTAACATGTATGAATAACATTTAATCTACAAAATATGCATAATAGGCATATATTGTACATTGTACCTGTATTTCTCCATATTGTATTGTAATGTTTGTATTTTCTTTATAATATTTCACTTATCTTTGTGCAGGCATGTTTTTTTTATTTCTATACTTTATATTTGAATTAGCATTTACAAATTATAATTCTTGCTTTTTACGAAACAAACACATCGTAACATATTTTCAATGAATACCACATGTATTGATATACAGTAAAACCTAAGTGAACACCTCACTCTAAAGAACATCTGAGGTAAGTGAACACCACTTCAAGACATATTTTACAGTGACTCCTGTATAAAAAGCCCTCTCTGTAGTGAATACTTACCTACAGTGAACATTTTTTGTGGTTTCATAGGTGTTCATTATATACAGGTTTTACTGTATAGGCACTGATATACACTCTTATGGGTATCTAGTGCTGCACCTATTAATAATGTTAGGCAATTATGGTTAATAAATAAGATATGTACAAAGAAATAAAAAAAATGTTTTATATTTATTACATTTTATATTATCAATTACAATTTTCCACCAAAAATGAGATAAGATTGGATATTTTGTATTATCTTCTATTCAAGTAAATGTTTTGCATTTATTAGACTAGTATTTTATCAAATAAAAAAAATCACAGACACATTTCTTAAAATTTTTTATTGTTGAAATATTAAGCTGTTAAGTTGCACACAAAACTATAAAAAACCTATATTGAGCCCAATGTTAATTTAGCGATCTTCAAAGGACCCCCTGCAGGACAGTTCTAGAGCAATAAAGCCCATATTCCTAGTATATTACAATAACATGATTATCTTCAAAATAAGAGGGGTTAAATTTTTTCTTTTCCCTAGTTCCAAAGATATTGACGTTTAAATTATGGAAAATCTCCATTGGCTGCCATTATAAACCACTATCAACATGGCTTTATTAAAGTGTCCTTTTCTCAAGAAGTCCATTATGGAATTTTCTAATATTGCAGATTTTTATTGTTAATATATTGAATTTAAACAAATCAAACAGACACATTCTTAAAAATTTCTTATTTTTGAAATATTTAGCCATTAAGTTGCACACGAAACTATAGAAAACCTATATTGAGCCCCATGTTAATTTATCAATCTTCAAAAGACACACATCCTAGTTTTCTGCATGAGAAAAATGCTAATTCTGCGCAGAAATTCTGCATGAAAAAGCCAAATTCTGCACCAAATTCTGCATGAAATCTAAAATTCTGCGCCAAATTCTGCACGGGGAAAAGTGAAATTTTGTGGTACAAGTATGTGCAAAAAGTGAAATTCTTGCTAAAATCAATAATTTTCTCAAAAAAATAAACAATTCTTGAACTCCACTCATGCTGCTTTATTCAGCGATAATGGACAACTGCAGTAATAACACCAGATTCAATGTTATTAGCGACAAAACTTTCCAAATGCTCACTTGTGAACTATCACGAAATTCGAACTATCACGAAATTCCAGATCAATATGCAGGGAATTCAGATGTCGTCTATTTATATATGACGAAGTAGAACGCAAGAAGAAGCATGATTATTTGCGTTAGAATACTATAGAATACAATATTAAACATATTATTGCAAAACAATTACGAAGGACTGTCATTGGTTTCAAATTTCGTGATTATGTTAGACGCAGTCTTACCTCTAAGTGCAATGGCGGAAGTTCGAGATTTAAAACAGATTTCAGATTTCCTCTTGAAAATCACACAAGTATCTGACAACAAACGAGCGGAGTCTTTGAGTGTTTAGGTGAGTGACAAATATGAGATGAGATGGTTGACTGGAAAAAACATGTTTTCCGCGAAATTCCGTGCCAAAACAAAAATTCTGCAAAAAAGATGAAAATGCAAATTTCTGCGGTTTTTCTTCGGCGACGCGGAATCACGGAATACTAGGATGAGTGAAAAGACTGGCTGCAGAGCAGTTCTAGAGTAAGAAGGCCCACATTGCTGGTATATTACAATAACATGATTGTTTTTAAGATAAGAAGCGTTAAATTTTTACTTTTGCCTAGTTCCAAAGATATTGGCTTTTGAATTTTGGAAAATCCCTATTGGCTGCCATTAGAAACTGCTATCAATATGGCTTTACTATAATGTTATTTTCTCAAAAGATTCACGATTGGAATTTTCTAATATTGCAGATTTCTATAGTATTAATATATTGACTTAAAAGAATCAAACATGCACATATCTGAAAATTTAAGCCGTTAAGTTGCACACGAAACTATAAAAAAAACTAATTGAGCCTAATGTTAATTTAGCGATCTTCTAGAAATATCACCAAAATTAAATTAAGAATATTCAAAAGAGGACATTTAAATGTACAAGTTGTAAAAATTTTCACAATTGTCCAAAGCAGGGCTAACATTTTTTATGAAAAAGTTAGAAATATCACCCAAGTTAAATTATGACTATTTAAAAGAAAACATTCAAGATTATATTATGTCAAAAAATCAAAAGATTTGTATTGATGTGGTGAAATTATTTTTTGAACACTCGTTTCTCTTAAACCAGTCATCAAAAAAATCTAAGAAATTTTACACATCGTCAACTTAATCGTCATCTTTTGAATGGTTACAATATGATTTGAAAAAAAAACTTTTCTCTATATTGGTTTAGAAAACACATCAAACACTCTTTTGTTCTTGGTATCATATGTTCAGAATGAAATGAAACATCTTAATGAATTTAATATTAGAAAATTCCATAGTGGGCTTTTTGAAAAAAGGACACTCTAGATAAGTCATATATACATATGGACATTTTGAGAAAAGGACACTTTAGTAAAGCCATATTGATACTGGTTTATAATGGCAGCCAATGGGGATTTCCTAAAATTCAAACGGCAATATCTTTTGAACGAGGCAAAATAAAACGTTTTACCCTTCTTACTTTGAAGATAATCATATAATTGTAATATACTAGGAATATTTTAAATTCAATATATTATAGGAGATTTTCCACAATTCAAATGGCAATATCTTTTGAACTAGGCAAAAGAAACAAGGCACAGACGTGAACAATATCGTACCTAAAACACAGCAGTGTGACAGTGAAGAATTTAGGACAAAAAATCCAAAATGGCCACCTTACAATTTACCCAGAATGCCCAAAAACTAATCAGTTCTTAACTTTGATACGTAGAAACATCCCTGAAAATTTCAGATGAATCCATCAAATGGTTTGGCTGGAAACCTGTAGACAAGTCTTGAAAGTGAAGATTTTAGGACGGAAAATCCAAAATGGCCACCTTAAATTAACCCAGAATGCCCAAAAACTAATCAGTTGTTAACTTTGATATGTAGAAACATCCCTGTAAATTTCAAATGAATCCGTCAAATGGTTTGGCTGGAAACCTGTAGACAAGTCTTGAAAGTGAAGATTTTAGGACGGAAAATCCAAAATGGCCACCTTAAATTTTACCCAGAATGCCAAAAAACTAATCAGTTGTGAACTTTGATACGTAGAAACATCCCTGAAAATTTCAGATGAATCCGTCAAATGGTTTGGCTGGAAACCTGTAGACAAGTCTTGAAAGTGAAGATTTTAGGACGGAAAATCCAAAATGGGCACCTTAAAATTTACCCAGAATGCCCAAAAACTAATCGGTTGTTAACTTTGATATGTAGAAACATCCCTGTAAATTTCAAATGAATCCGTCAAATGGTTTGGCTGGAAACCTTTAGACAAGTCTTGAAAGTGAAGATTTTAGGAAGGAAAATCCAAAATGGCCACCTTAAATTTTACCCAGAATGCCAAAAAACTAATCAGTTGTTAACTTTGATACATAGAAACATCCCTGAAAATTTCAGATGAATCCGTCAAATGGTTTGGCTGGAAACCTGTAGACAAGTCTTGAAAGTGAAGATTTTAGGACGGAAAATCCAAAATGGCAGTTTTAAAATTTACCCAGAATGCCCAAAAACTAATCAGTTCTTAACTTTGATACGTAGAAACATCCCTGAAAATTTCAGATGAATCCATCAAATGGTTTGGCTGGAAACCTGTAGACAAGTCTTGAAAGTGAAGATTTTAGGACGGAAAATCCAAAATGGCCACCTTAAAATTTACCCAGAATGCCCAAAAACTAATCAGTTGTTAACTTTGATATGTAGAAACATCCCTGTAAATTTCAAATGAATCCGTCAAATGGTTTGGCTGGAAACCTGTAGACAAGTCTTGAAAGTGAAGATTTTAGGACGGAAAATCCAAAATGGCCACCTTAAAATTTACCCAGAATGCCCAAAAACTAATCAGTTGTTAACTTTGATATGTAGAAACATCCCTGTAAATTTCAAATGAATCCGTCAAATGGTTTGGCTGGAAACCTGTAGACAAGTCTTGAAAGTGAAGATTTTAGGACGGAAAATCCAAAATGGCCACCTTAAATTTTACCCAGAATGCCAAAAAACTAATCAGTTCTTAACTTTGATACGTAGAAACATCCCTGAAAATTTCAGATGAATCCGTCAAATGGTTTGGCTGGAAACCTGTAGACAAGTCTTGAAAGTGAAGATTTTAGGACGGAAAATCCAAAATGACCACCTTAAAATTTACCCAGAATGCCCAAAAACTAATCAGTTGTTAACTTTGATATGTAGAAACATCCCTGTAAATTTCAAATGAATCCGTCAAATGGTTTGGCTGGAAACCTGTAGACAAGTCTTGAAAGTGAAGATTTTAGGACGGAAAATCCAAAATGGCCACCTTAAATTTTACCCAGAATGCCAAAAAACTAATCAGTTCTTAACTTTGATACGTAGACACATCCCTGAAAATTTCAGATGAATCTGTCAAATGGTTTGGCTGGAAACCTGTAGACAAGTCTTGAAAGTGAAGATTTTAGGACGGAAAATCCAAAATGGCCATTTTAAAATTTACCCAGAATGCCCAAAAACTAATCAGTTCTTAACATTGATATGTAGAAACATTCCTGAAAATTTCAGATGAATCCGTCACATGGTTTGGCTGGAAACCTGTAGACAAGTCTTGAAAGTGAAGATTTTAGGACGGAAAATCCAAAATGGCCACCTTAAAATTTACCCAGAATGCCCAAAAACTAATCAGTTGTTAACTTTGATACGTAGAAACATTCCTGAAAATTTCAGATGAATCTGTCAAATGGTTTGGCTGGACACCTGTAGACAAGCTGAAAAGTGAGACGCCGCCCGCCCGCCGCCCGCCTGTCAAGCTGACGACAATATCGTACCTTTATTAGGTACGATAAAAATTTAACCCCTCCTTTTTTGAAGATAATCATATAACTGTAACATACTGCGAATATGGGCTTTATTACTCTAGAACTGTTCTGCAGGGGGTCTTTAGAAGATTGATAATTAACATGGGGCTCAATGTAAATGTGCAAGAATTAAATGTGAGGCCACAAAAAAAGAATTTTCTAATATTTTGGAAATTGAGGAGTAAATATTCAATTATACATGATTGCTGTAATGAAAAGTATTTTGACAAGCTCATAAATTATTATTTTTATTTATTGTCAATAATCTCTGAAAATACTCTTCCTATAAATAAAAAATCCTATCTCAGAGTCAAAGAACTGACATGAAGTCAACATTTACTTTAGTATGGTTCTCATAAGCTAATAATACAAATTCAATGAAATCTCACGTTTAATCCAATTTTATAATTTTACACTGAATCTTAATCCCATATATACAGAATAGCATGTGAACTAGGGGTGGGACGGATAACCGAAATACCGAAAAAACCGCGGTTCATAGCCTTCGGATCGGTTTTCGGATCACGGCCCTACTTTCGGATCAGCTTTTCGGACCGTTTTCGGATTAATATTTCATTGGTCAAGTATCAATAAAACAGTTAAAAACACTGTTTTACAGCAACATTTTTGATATTCCTAGTCCCTTGTCTGTCTTGTCTGTTGCTAGCTTACTCGTTTACTAGATTCGTTTCGTATCCGCGTATTCGTATCCCTCGGTAATCAATCATGTGGTCCCTGGTACTATATTCTTTAGTCGTGTATTCTAAATAATATGTATTGTTCATGAAATACTATAACATAAAATTCCATCTATAAAATATTGTTATAACGTGGCATAATTGATACAAATCATGTCAATCAATACAAATCCTTAAAATGAATGAACCGAACCGAAAAAACCGAACCGACGGCTGATGATCCGAAAAACCGAACCGAACCGAAACGAACCGTCCCATCCCTAATGTGAACAGTACTATAACTATAGGGCACTGTCTACAGCTTATCCATGAATATGTTACTTCAACGATTGGAAAATGATCACAGCATACATTATAATTAACATTGCATTATACTTGAACATGTAAATTGGATACCTCAAGGACTAACAAATAACAAAGTGTCAAATATTAAACAGCTGGAATATTTACTGCACTTTTAGTATTATAGTAAACAAAAATTCACCAGATACACCATTATTGAAAAATGGGCAGTGGTGAAAGACGACGTGGACGTCCTCGTCAACTTAATCTTACTACCAAAGGAAAATTATCAATCTTGTTATTAATTTTTGGGAGTATAGTTTGTTTCATAGGCATTATGTTTACATCAGTGCTTTGTAACTTCTCAAAAATGAACCCATTTTGTATTATTGGACCAATACTATTAGGAATAGGGGGTTGCCTAGCAATTGGTGGAATAATCATACGTATCGTCTACAAAAATGATCTTGAAGTAAAGAATACAACTGTGACCCCCCACCTTCAGGTACAAGTGCCAACCAATCAACTCCGAATGCCAACAAATCAACTGCAAATGCCAAGCAATCAACTGCAAATGCCAAATTATCAACAGCAAATGCCAAATAATCAACTACAAGAGCCAGAACCAACTATTACTCTAGCATCCGATGTCTATGACAAATACTAGACAACTCAACCAAACCCACAGACTGTTCCCCTGTTCAACCACAAGAGACATGGAAAACACCCACTGTTGCTCCTAATCAACTTGAACCAGCAAAGCTCCAACTTCACAATCCTGGCCATGGAGTATAAATCAACAGCCAATAGATGGTGTTAAGTATGTATCCCCTCCACCTGGGGAGCCATAACATACAATACAATATAAAATTGATCCCAGCAACATATCAATATGTGGACAATCTTGAGTCCAATACCTGGATGCTCCAATGAACAAGAATGTGAGGAAGCAGATATTCCAACAAGTCCAACACCTGTATGCACCAGACAAGACATGAGGTATAATCAATGGTTGTTGCGCATAGCAAGGCTTTTTAAACTTATTAGCTTTGTTCTGTTCTCCTTTGTTTTATGCTATACCCCATTCACTGTGTGCTTGTCAATGTACTCAATCAACCCCAAAAATGTCAGTGGACAAAGTATCTTCATCACTGGAACCATCGTGATGTTAAACTCATTCATAAATCCAATCGTTTATCTGTTTTGGAGTAAAGACTACAGGGACGCATTCAGACATATCCTTACATGTAAGAAGGGGCCAGTGAATCCTTCAATATCTTCATCACTGGAACCATCATGATGTAAAACATTTTCACAAATCCAATCGTTTATCTGTTTAGGAGTAAAGACTACAGGGACGCATTCAGACATATCCTTACATGTAAGAAGGGGCCAGTGAATCCTTCAATATCATCATCATTGCAACCATCATGATGTAAAACATTTTCACAAATCCAATCGTTTATCTGTTTAGGAGTAAAGACTACAGGGACGCATTCAGACATATCCTTACATGTAAGAAGGGGCCAGTGAATCCTTAAATATCATCATCATTGCAACCATGATGATGTAAAACATTTTCACAATTCCAATCATTTATCTGTTTAGGAGTAAAGACTACAGGGACGCATTCAGACATATCCTTACATGTAAGAAGGGGCCAGTGAATCCTTCAATATCATCAACATTGCAACCATCATGATGTAAAACATTTTCACAAATCCAATCGTTTATCTATTTTGGAGTAAAGACTACAGGGACGCATTCAGACATATCCTTACAAATAAGAAGGAGACTGAATCCTTCAATATCATCATCATTGCAACCATCATGATGTTAAACATTTTCACAAATCCAATCGTTTATCTGTTTTGTAGTAAAGACTAGAGACGCATTCAGACATATCCTTACATGTAAGAAGGGGCCAGTGAATCCTTAAATATCATCATCATTGCAACCATGATGATGTAAAACATTTTCACAAATCCAATCGTTTATCTGTTTAGGAGTAAAGACTACAGGGACGCATTCAGACATATCCTTACATGTAAGAAGGTGCCAGTGAATCCTTAAAAATCATCATCATTGCAACCATGATGATGTAAAACATTTTCACAAATCCAATCGTTTATCTGTTTAGGAGTAAAGACTACAGGGACGCATTCAGACATATCCTTACATGTAAGAAGGGGCCAGTGAATCCTTAAATATCATCATCACTGGAACCATCATGATGTAAAACATTTTCACAAATCCAATTGTTTATCTGTTTTGTAGTAAAGACTACAAGGACGCATTTAGACATATCCTTACATGTAAGAAGGGGCCAGTGAATCCTTCAATATCATCATCATTGCAACCATCATGATGTTAAACATTTTCACAAATCCAATCGTTTATCTGTTTAGGAGTGAAGACTACAGGGACACATTCAGACATATCCTTACATGTAAGAAGGGGCCAGTGAACCCTTCAATATCATCATCATTGCAACCATCATGATGTAAAACATTTTCACAAATCAAATCAATTTAGGGTTAGGGTTTCCGAACATATGGAGGGGGTAAGTCAACGAACGTCGACTGATAAGGGAGCATTTCAAAAGATCAATGTAAGAAAATTAACTGTATTTGAACAGTTAGGGGTAGGGGGTCAATAACATTAAAAATAAGCTTTTCTACATTGAATAAAAATTGACTGTATTACATATTATGTTACATGTGTGACCAACGAAATAACACATATCAACATTTCTCAAACATGAATGCTGGGTAAAATGACCTCAGTAAGGGATGCTTGAACTTATTGTACTTAATCATAAAATAAGAACAATATGTATGAATCCTGTAATAATACTAACAATGCATTATGATTTAACGCAAAACAATGCATTATGATTTAACGCAAAACAATGCATTATGATTTAACGCAAAACAATGCATTATGATTTAACGCAAAACAATGCATTATGATTTAACGCAAAACAATGCATTATGATTTAACGCAAAACAATGCATTATGATTTAACACAAAACAATACATTATGATTTTACACAAAACAATGCATTATGATTTTACACAAAACAATACATTATGATTTAACACAAAACAATGCATTATGATTTAACACAAAACAATGCATTATGATTTAACACAAAACAGTGCATTATGATTTGGTAACAATTGCAGCTATAGATTAGATTTAGATTTGTCTTATCACTAAAATAATTAGTTAGTGCTTTATGGCACGAAACTTGTTGACGCAAAACAGGTTAAATGATGGACAATCACATTTTCTTATAATGTGTCGGGCTGTTTTCTTCAACACTAGCAATCTAGCCGTTCAAGTGGGCTACAGCAGCCCCCATATGGCACAGCCCTCATAAAATACTAATAAATACCTATATTTATTGATCATTTGACCTCCACTGATTATTGAATTGCGTATGGCAGTTTCCTTATGTTAACAAAGAGGTTTTATGAGATGGGTCTACATCTAGTTTTATGCAATTCCATAAATTGAAAACTGGTTGCAAAACAGTTAAACTGACTGCAAGCCTTGCAAACTATGGCAATCATTTCTGTGTTGATTCATCACTCTGGTAATACATTAAATAACTAATAAAAGTTCATTGACTTCAGAGAATAATGATTTATGTAATCTTGATAAAGCTGGTTGGATGACTAGTTAAACATTGAAAATAAATCATTTTCTCTGAAGTTAATGAACTTTTTTAGTTACTATGGCAATCATGTTCTCAAACTGAATAGACAACCCGGAATGCCCCAAGTGTAATAATATCTAAACATACCTGTACAGCATATTCATGAGACGCTGATCACTATTTTCCATGTTGAAATCCAGAATCTGGTCTAATAATTGGACTAGCAGTTTTGTAAAGTTGTTGTCGAATTTGTTAATTGTTCTTTCAAAGTTCTCACTTGATGCTAGCTGATCTACGTGATCTGACACCACCTAAAATAAAAAAAAAAAAAGTTTTGTGTAACTATTATAAATTAACCTCTTGTACAGTGTCAATTTTACATGTTAAATAAAGTATGTTTTACTGTATCTATAGATATGTCATCAAAGAATTATTATACCTTAGATGTTGCTTTCCTTGTCTCAGCATCAGTTGTTTTCCTAGGTGACCTACTTGCATCTTGGGAAAGTTTAGCTAGCTCTGTATCTACATCTGTACTCTTGCCTAACCGCTGAAGTATAATATTGATATAAAATTTAAAACACTATCATACCTTTTTTCAAGTTTATTCATTAGTTTGATTGGCAATTGACCAAGTGCACCGAATATGATCTATCCATACATGTATATAAGTTTTATTGGCAATTGACCAAGTGCACCGAATATGATCTATCCATACATGTATATTAGTTTTATTGGCAATTGACCAAGTGCACCGAATATGATCTATCCATACATGTATATAAGTTTTATTGGCAATTGACCAAGTGCACCGAATATGATCTATCCATACATGTATATTAGTTTTATTGGCAATTGACCAAGTGCACCGAATATGATCTATCCATACATGTATATTAGTTTTATTGGCAATTGACCAAGTGCACCGAATATGATCTATCCATACATGTATATAAGTTTTATTGGCAATTGACCAAGTGCACCGAATATGATCTATCCATACATGTATATTAGTTTTATTGGCAATTGACCAAGTGCACCGAATATGATCTATCCATACATGTATATAAGTTTTATTGGCAATTGACCAAGTGCATCGAATATGATCTATCCATACATGTATATAAATTTTATTGGCAATTGACCAAGTGCACCGAATATGATCTATCCATACATGTATATTAGTTTTATTGGCAATTGACCAAGTGCACCGAATATGATCTATCCATACATGTATATAAGTTTTATTGGCAATTGACCAAGTGCACCGAATATGATCTATCCATACATGTATATTAGTTTTATTGGCAATTGACCAAGTGCACCGAATATGATCTATCCATACATGTATATTAGTTTTATTGGCAATTGACCAAGTGCACCGAATATGATCTATCCATACATGTATATAAGTTTTATTGGCAATTGACCAAGTGCACCGAATATGATCTATCCATACATGTATATTAGTTTTATTGGCAATTGACCAAGTGCACCGAATATGATCTATCCATACATGTATATAAGTTTTATTGGCAATTGACCAAGTGCATCGAATATGATCTATCCATACATGTATATAAGTTTTATTGGCAATTGACCAAGTGCATCGAATATGATCTATCCATACATGTATATAAGTTTTATTGGCAATTGACCAAGTGCACCGAATATGATCTATCCATACATGTATATTAGTTTTATTGGCAATTGACCAAGTGCACCGAATATGATCTATCCATACATGTATATAAGTTTTATTGGCAATTGACCAAGTGCACCGAATATGATCTATCCATACATGTATATTAGTTTTATTGGCAATTGACCAAGTGCACCGAATATGATCTATCCATACATGTATATTAGTTTTATTGGCAATTGACCAAGTGCACCGAATATGATCTAACTATACATGTCTATTAGTTTGATTGGCAATTGACCTGTAATTAATGGTGACTGATTTTATTTTCTGTACATCTGACTTCTAAGAATAGATAAGAATTGTCCACAAGGAACACATTTACTATAATTTTCAAAACCTATTTTATTATGAATCCTATTTGAAGTTCTTATAGGTAAGCTAATGGGCACAAATCGTTTAAAATCAGCATGATTGATAATACACTTTTCAGATGGCTAGGGCTTTTGACTGAATGATTTTTGAAGCTCTCAGTATGATAGCTTCAGTCCTCACCACTATCATCCCTATACCAAAACCCTTTGTTCAACTTACCAGGGCCGTCAGATGGGGGGGTGCGATGGGTGCGACCGCACCCCCCTTTGTCACCCCACAAAAAAAATTTGAAAAAAATGTTTTTTTTTGAAAAATATTTTTTTTGTAATTTTTTTTCATACACTTTGAAAGTACCCAGAAAGCACCAAATAGCATCTTAAAATTGAAAAATTTTCTAGGGGTATTGGCCACCCCTCACACCCCCCACAAAACAATGGAAAGTTCTTTTATTTTAGTGTTTTGTCTCAGACACTTTTAAAGTGCCCAGACATCATCAAATAGCTCCTTGATATAGTTAGTGTTTCTGGGGGACTTGCTCCCCCTCTTGCATCTTGCACTTGCCCCCCCCCCACTCTGGCGCCCCCCCCCCCCCCCCCCCCCCCGTTGACCCCCCCCCAAAAAAAAATTGTGATTTTCTCAAATTCTTTAATTGACTCATACACTTTGAAAGTGCCCAGAAAGCACCAAAAAGCGTCGTAAAATTGTAAAATTTTCTAGGGGGAGTGGGCCACCCCTCACACCCCAAACAAAACAATGGAAAGTTCTAAATTTATTTTAGTGTTTTGTCTCAGACACTTTTAAATTGCCCAGACATCATCAAATAGCTCGATCCTTGATAAAGTTAATGATTCTGGAAGACTAACACTTACTCGTCCTCTGGCATCCCCACTCCACCTCCCCCTCTGGCAGCCCCCCCCCCTTAACACCCCAAAAAGTGCCCAGAAAGCACCAAATAGCATCTTAAAATTGTAAAATTTTCTTGGGAAATAGGCACTTTTAGGCACAGACACTTTTAAAGTGCCCAAACTTCATCGATTAGCACCTTGATATTGTAAATTTTGATATGGGGGACAAACACTTGCTCCCCCTCTGGCACCCCAGCCCCACCTCCCCCTCTGGCACCCCTCCCCCCTTTGACACCCCCAAAATTTGAAAAAAATTGTGATTGTTTTTCAATGTTTTTATTGACTAATACACTTTAAAAGTGCCCAGAAGCACCAAATACCATCTTTAAATTGTAAAATTTTCTAGGAGAGTTAGCCACCCCTCACATCCCCCACAAAACAAAAGAAAATATTCTGAATTTCATGTATTGTCTCAGACATTTTTTAAGTGCCCAGACATCATCAAATAGCACCTTGATATGGTCAATGTTTCTGGGGGACAACCCCTTGCGCCCCTACTGGCACCCCACCCCACTTCACCCTCTCATCCTCTTTGACACCCCTTAAAGAATTTGAAAAAAAATTCACATTTTTCTTATTGACTCATATCGCACAGGCGTACCAGATGGTTGCAAATTCGCTCCAAATACAACCAAATTTCAAAATGTTCCTGGGGGGAGAACCCCCAGACCCCCTAGGCCCTGAATGCTCAGTTTTTTATTCACTCAACTCTTATTCCCGTGGTGGTGGCGTACTACTTAGAAACTTACACATTGAAAGTGCCCAGAAAGCACCAAATAGCATCTCAAAACTGTAAAATTTTCTAGGGGGAGTGGACCACTCCTCATACCCCCCACAAAACAATTGGAACGTTTGGAAGTTGCATTTGTTAATTCCAAACCAATATAGGGAGTAACTGACCCCCCCCCCTCTGTCTTACGCGATTTGATTACGCGGCAAAAAAATGACAATTTTATATTCTCTTTAGTAAGCTAAAAACCGCACCCCCCTTGGAGAAAAGTGTCTTACGGGCCTGCTTACCTGTACAAAATTTGAGAATGTTACACAGACAACCATCAACTTGTGTACTATCTTCAATAGGTTGGGATTTGTCAGCATGCAGTCTTTGAGGCAATTGTTGAGAAAGTCAGTATGAAAGGCCAGTACGTCATCTATGTTAGACACCTACAATCAAAGACAACCATCAATTTGTGTATTATCTTCAATAGGTTAGGATTTGTCAGCATGCATCTATGTTGGATACCTACAATGTACAAGTCAGAACTGTTTATTTTCGAATACTATTTACCTTCTGTGAAAAATGTCTCTCCACGGGAACTATGAACTTGAAAAAATTTTATATATCGTAATGTCATATAATAGATTTTGAAATTTTTTCGAGGAGGGGAGAGAGAATGACAATCAACAGTGTAATCATTTTTGTTTTTCCATGACTTGACTTTTCCATGACACCATCCCTTGCTCTTCACACATTAATGTACTTACATTATTCAGATTAGTCTCAAAGTTCATCCAATTAGGCTCTATGACTTCAAACATCATGTAGTACATGAAATTCTGGACAAAATTCAGCATTCTCTGTCTTAATGCGAAAGCAGCTGCGTACCAGCGAGTTGACTGTTGCGTGTAGGACTTTGCTGTTTTGTTACTAAGCCAAACACTGAAATGGAACAATATACATTAATGCGAAAGCAGCTGCGTACCAGCGACTTGAATGTTGCCTGTAGGACTTTGCTGTTTTGTTACTAAGCCAAACACTGAAATGGAACAATATACATTAATGCGAAAGCAGCTGCGTACCAGCGGGTTGACTGTTGCGTGTAGGACTTTGCTGTTTTGTTACTAAGCCAAACACTGAAATGGAACAATATACATTAATGCGAAAGCAGCTGCGTACCAGCGGGTTGACTGTTGCGTGTAGGACTTTGCTGTTTTGTTACTAAGCCAAACACTGAAATGGAACAATATACATTAATGCGAAAGCAGCTGCGTACCAGCGACTTGAATGTTGCCTGTAGGACTTTGCTGTTTTGTTACTAAGCCAAACACTGAAATGGAACAATATACATTAATGCGAAAGAAGCTGCGTACCAGCGAGTTGACTGTTGCGTGTAGGACTTTGCTGTTTTGTTACTAAGCCAAACACTGAAATGGAACAATATACATTAATGCGAAAGCAGCCGCGTACCAGCGAGTTGACTGTTGCGTGTAGGACTTTGCTGTTTTGTTACTAAGCCAAACATTGAAATGGAACAATATACATTAATGCGAAAGCAGCTGCGTACCAACGGGTTGACTGTTGCGTGTAGGACTTTGCTGTTTTGTTACTAAGCCAAACACTGAAATGGAACAATATACATTAATGCGAAAGCAGCTGCGTACCAGCGGGTTGACTGTTGCGTGTAGGACTTTGCTGTTTTGTTACTAAGCCAAACACTGAAATGGAACAATATACATTAATGCGAAAGCAGCTGCGTACCAGCGAGTTGACTGTTGCCTGTAGGACTTTGCTGTTTTGTTACTAAGCCAAACACTGAAATGGAACAATATACATTAATGCGAAAGCAGCTGCGTACCAGCGACTTGACTGTTGTGTGTAGGACTTTGCTGTTTTGTTACTAAGCCAAACACTGAAATGGAACAATATACATTAATGCGAAAGCAGCTGCGTACCAGCTAGTTGACTGTTGCGTGTAGGACTTTGCTGTTTTGTTACTAAGCCAAACACTGAAATGGAACAATATACATTAATGCGAAAGCAGCTGCGTACCAGCGGGTTGACTGTTGCGTGTTAGACTTTGCTGTTTTGTTACTAAGCCAAACACTGAAATGGAACAATATACATTAATGCGAAAGCAGCTGCGTACCAGCGGGTTGACTGTTGCGTGTAGGACTTTGCTGTTTTGTTACTAAGCCAAACACTGAAATGGAACAATATACATTAATGCGAAAGCAGCTGCGTACCAGCGAGTTGACTGTTGCGTGTAGGACTTTGCTGTTTTGTTACTAAGCCAAACACTGAAATGGAACAATATACATTAATGCGAAAGCAGCTGCGTACCAGCGACTTGAATGTTGCCTGTAGGACTTTGCTGTTTTGTTACTAAGCCAAACACTGAAATGGAACAATATACATTAATGCGAAAGCAGCTGCGTACCAACGGGTTGACTGTTGCGTGTAGGACTTTGCTGTTTTGTTACTAAGCCAAACACTGAAATGGAACAATATACATTAATGCGAAAGCAGCTGCGTACCAGCGACTTGAATGTTGCCTGTAGGACTTTGCTGTTTTGTTACTAAGCCAAACACTGAAATGGAACAATATACATTAATGCGAAAGCAGCTGCGTACCAACGGGTTGACTGTTGCGTGTAGGACTTTGCTGTTTTGTTACTAAGCCAAACACTGAAATGGAACAATATACATTAATGCGAAAGCAGCTGCGTACCAGCGACTTGAATGTTGCCTGTAGGACTTTGCTGTTTTGTTACTAAGCCAAACACTGAAATGGAACAATACATATATTGAAAACAGTACAATTTTCTTCAAATAATTAATAAATCATTTGCATATCAAAATGAATTCAACCTTACCCAATGTTTACTTGAAATAAATGGGATCTGAAACTAGACAACAGCAACGCCAAAGCGTATCAAATCCCATCGAACAGCCATGGCTGGCATTTTTACAAACAAAGTATACAGCAAAAATAGCAAAAGCGTCAGTAGACAGTGTGTCATGCTTATAGTATTCACATACCAAATATGAACAAAATCGCTCCACTACTTTTCGAGTTATAGTAAAATACGTTAAAATGGCCGCCATTTTTCAAAATGCCCACCTTCTTCCAAAAGTGTCATTAGACAGTGTGCCATGCTTATAGTATTCACATACCAAATATGAACAAAATCGCTCCACTACTTTTCGAGTTAAAGCAAAAATCGTATAATAACGGGTAAAGGCCGCCATTTTTCAAGATGGCTGCCATATGCTTCTTTAATATCTACATTTAGCTTTATTAATGTCTTATATAATTTTTTTACATTTAAAACATATTGCTATTACAGTTTTACATATTGCACCTAAATTACTGTAAAATCGGCACTAAAATGGCCGCCATTTTTAAATGAGATAATAAGGTTCTGATAAAGAACAAAATATTTATTTTCAAATTTGGTATATCATTTGAGCCTTGAATATCAAAAGATCAGAGATATAGAGCAATATGGTCAGATAATATTTTGTTTTACTTGAATTGTTTTCAATTGTACAAGTATAACTATCAGTTAAACAGGGGTCATATGAAAATTGATCCACAAGAACTGATGAACATTCAAGTTAAAGGGAACTTTCTATATACCTGCCATGTTATCTGACCCGAATGAGCCACCTGGTGGTGAAACTGGTAACTACCTACTTGCATCTAAGTTATTGAAAATAAAAAGATATTCTACTTTTCGTGATTTTATAACATGAGGTCTTGGGAATTTATTGCGAATTATAGCAAAAATGCTCACTTCTAATGCATTAACACATTGACTTTAATTTGTTTTTCTTTATTTTAATAGAGTTTCATTATTTGACAAATCACAAGTTGAATGACCAATAAACAAAAATAAAAACAAACATTAAATATGATGAAAAGTAGAAATGTATCTTACAATGATGCAAAGCATACAGATCAATACTTTTAAATGAGCAATAAATAATTACAATGTTTTTTGCATTATATGTTAACATGGAAATGAGAAGAAAAATACTTTCAAACATTATTGTTTAATATATTACCTCATATATAAATATGATGATGCAAAATCGATTGTTCAAATAATGTTCTGTTAAAGACCTGCTCTACCCCTTGTTAATTTGCAAAGTGGAGAGATAAGTCTAAAAAGTAAACAGTTCTTTCTCATTCTTTTGTTTTTAAATATTATATTTACGTTACTTTGGTTACTAATAATTGTTACTAAAATATGCCATGACTAATAATTGTACAATGACTAATTGTATAGTATTTTGTTTACCACCAATCAAGGTGAGCCATTCCTCTTGTGTATTTACTGTATACATATGATTGTAATTAACGCATATCATCATTGAAGACAGATCCAGGAACCCTCCTTGAAGGAGCCTTGTGTTCTTTTATGTGAACTCATACATCAACATACAAGTACAAATCACAGCCTTTTTATGGGCAGTGGGTCACTCAGTCAAACATTTTGAAGTACTTTACGCAAACAAGCAAATTAAGTCTTGCCTGAACTGGAGATCGAATTTGGGACCTATTGCGTAAGAGGTACACACACTATACCGCTGAGCTATTCAGGTGGACTAATAAAGCTGGCAGAATTACGAGTCATTACGGGCAAAAAGGAGCACCATCCTCATACGGGCTCGTTCTAATTTTGGGCTCAAAAATTACAAGCAATTGCAATACTCGTAACAAGTCCCGTACGAGGTTGTACAGGTCCTTATGGGCTAGTACAGGGTCCGATGTAATTTGCCTGTGTATACCATGTTTAAATACATAGTAAGTTAACAATTAAACTATCAGTCACATTAAAATGTTACATTATATCATACTGTTATATGTTTTGACTCCCACTGTTCATATCAAAAGTGTGATGTCACTATTGACAATTGAAACATCCTTTCTCAATTGATAATGTGCAGGCCCGTAGCCAGGATTTGCCAAGGGGGGGTTCACTTTTTGGAAAATTCCAGGGGGGGGTTCACTTTTGACAATTTGGGTCCAAAAAGGGCCAAAATCACTTAAAAAGTGCTCAGAATGGTGAAAAACTGCATGATTTTGAAAGAATTTTTGGCCAGGGGGGGGTTCGCCCGAACCATGCGAACCCCCCCTGGCTACGGGCCTGATGTGCTCTTGAATGTAAAGCATGTCTTTAAATCACAGTGAAACTGCACAAGTCATAGTTATCTGCTTGATGCAACTATATAGTGACTAAACTAATAATGCATGCAAATTAAAAATTTATGTTATCGGTTGAGGAAATTAACTTTAACTGAGCACTGTTAATATATAATCAGCACATACTGCAAGAAACATGTATCTGAAAGTATTGTTAATCATATTCCTCGTCAGACATGTTCATTTGCAGGATAAAGCTAGAAAGCTTGATAGATGCAAGAAAACACATATTGACAGCCTTGATACAAGATTGAGCACACAGATAAGTGATCTTAAATCTGAAACACAAAACTGCTGCACCACATATGAAGGACAAATGGATGCAGTAAATGATAAAGTGGAAGAAGTCAATGAAAAAATGGAAGAAGGGAATGATAAAGTGAACGAAGTAAATAATAGAGTAGAAGAAGTAAATGATAAAGTAGATGAGATGAAAGCTGATGTAGCTCTTATAAAAGATCACTTAAAAAGGATAGAGAACAGTTTACAAAGTAATTCAGTAGGTAAGACCATTTACCACTAGCAGATTTATTGATTCAATTTTTGGTTTCAAAGAAATGAAAATTAAAGTCATTTTTTATTCAAAAATCAAATTTGATTGTTCATGTTTCAAACGGAGATTAATCTATAACTACAACTAGGTATGTTGCCTTCATTGTTTTTCAGTAACTTTTCCTCATGACTGTAGCGATGACACTAGCTTTACTGGTGTTAGAACAATCCAACCACAGGGACAAAATCCATTCAGAGTGTTCTGTAGCGTTGGATGTGTTAACATGGCAAGGCGCTTTGATGGGAGTGTTGACTTCTACAGAGGCTGGAATGATTATCAAAGAGGGTTTGGAAGCCCTGTAGGTGAATACTTCATTGGACTAGACAATCTTCATGGATTGTTAAATCAAGGAAACTCAGTTTACAAACTTAGAATTGATCTCACCATGTGGCATCCACAGAGTAAAACACGTTATGCTGAGTATTCTATTTTTGATGTGAGTGATGAACATGAAAACTACAGACTGACAATTGGAGGTTATAGTGGTACTGCAGGGGACTCTCTTGCTGGGCACCACAATGGTATGGCATTCACCACAATGGACCAAGATCATGATAAATGGAGCAGAAATTGTGCCGTTAGAGACAAAGGGGCTTGGTGGTACAATAACTGTCACTTTTCAAATCTGTTTGGTTTTTACAGTACAAGTCCTTGGTGCTCGGTTATTGGTCAGTGTATGTCATGGTACAATTGGCCAAAAAATATTGCCACACCTAACAATCATTACTATTCTTTTAAAAAGATGGACATGAAAGTTTGTCCAAAATAAGAGTCACAATTACAATGTGGATTAACTGACACTGACAGCCAATTACTGTCCACAAAAAAATTGGAGACTATAAACAATATACCACCATCTTCCCATTCAAACAAGTACTGCCAGTTGTTTGGCATTTTGAATGATATGATGCTCTGAGGAGTTTTTCACATTTCAAGAATCGTAAATGAACTCTCATTTGGTAGGCAAATGAAAAATATGAGCAGTCCAAAATCTAGAGAAATTAGTTTGTATTGTTCCATGACTGACATGATTAATTCTCAATTAAATTATGAAATATGTGTTATATAACTTTGCTCAATCATTATTTTGCAAAAAATTAAGAAATGTTAGAACATGGAAAGAATTTTGAATTTTGTTGATTATATATACATGTACATGTATATACAGGATTATAGTATACACTATAAATGCTTAAATCTTAGATAAAACTTACTTGCAAAGTTGTCTCTCCACGTGTTTTGAGTAGAATAGATGTCTGAATAGCATTTGATATCTGGTGAGAGCCTACAACATGGCAAAATTAATTATGCGATATCTGATCACATGCACATTTATGTTAATACATGAAGTCTATAATTATGGTTTCATCTGCATTTGACTTGTTTTCATTTCTACTTCAAGTAAATTATGGGATATCATACAAGATATAGTGGACAATTTATATATTATTTGTATTCACAAGACAATATCTTGTTTTCTGTTTTTCAATGGGTGATCTAAGTATTTCAATGGGAAATAATAAAATATAACAGTTTTAATAGAAGAATTCAATGTATTAGTAAAACTCTTATCTTTTATAAAACTTGTAAAATGTAATTTTAAATTACCTTTCTATTAAGAACCAGCGAAACAGGCCATTTCACCACATAGTCAAATGAGAAAGATTCTAGCCCCGAAAGATGGATATCAGTAGGGTCCATGCGATAATCTGAAATATTGCACATAAATAAATAAATAACTTTGTTAAAATCCCTACCCCAAAATATATAAAGTTATGGGATTATTTAAGAAATCAATTAAGTTGGAATATTGGTTAAATTCTATGTGGATGCCATAAAGATAGAAATGGCCTCCAAAAGAAGGGCAATGTTAACAAAGATAAACAATATTTGCACTTTAATCAAACAGGAATCTGATTGCCTATAATGAGCAATAAATTTTTACGACGGAGTGGGACAAACAAAAATATATTTCAGGGTTATACTTGAGATGAGAATTCTAGTAACATAACTAATTGTTTCACACAAATAACTGTGATAGTAATTTATTATACCTTTTTCAACTTTAGTTTCTATGGAGAGAATTTTGAAGAGCTGGTTGATCAAATCATATGGTAGCAAATCAACCCTGGAATCATTCAATCAAACAATCAATCAAACAATAAACAAATCATCAATACAGACAGTAGTTAAAATAAAAATGAACTTGTAAATATGTGGAAAGTTAAATAGAAAAATCTTTATCTTAAAGATCATCTAGTGCTAATCATAATTATATTGTTGACTGCTTTCTAGTCATTTTTTACTATGTACCATATTGAGCTAAATATCATATTATGACAAATATCTTTTTTGTCAATAATAAATCACTGGAGGAACAATTGAAATCTATTCAGACAAAACAACAATAAGATTTTTATCATACGCTATCAAGTAATTTACAGCACATGCTATATACAAGAAAAATTAATTTATTTGCCTCAACTTTGTTGCACTTCATTTACATTTAAAATCAATTTCAAAATGTGGCAAAAAGTGACTCCACTGACACTTGTAATAATATTGCTCTTATTTTATATTTTGTGCGATGAAGGATTCGCCAAAAAGTCAAAAAATAAAAACAAAGGGAAAAAGAAACCCCAGGAGGATATTAAAGGAATAAAGCAAGAATTTTCGACAAAATTTCAAAATCTCAACAAACAATTGTTGAAATTTGAAAAAGAGGTGAATAAAGAATTAAGTCTGATGAAAGAAGAAAGAACACTTCTGGAAAATCAAAACAAGCAGTTGGAAGAAGATGTGACAAATATACAAATTCAATATGGAAAATTGATGATCGAAAATAAAAGATTCACGGAAGAACTCCTGGAACTTGGCGAAGAAAATGAAAATCGTAAAAATGAAATCGATGAACTAAAGAAACAGGTTGTTTACATGACAAATGAACTCATATATCAGAAAGAAGATTATCAAACGTTTTTGACTGACTTTGAAACATTCAAAGAAAACACAACGACTTATTTGGTGGATGAGATCAGATTGATGGACTACTTGATAACATGTACATGTGGGGATGAACCAATGACATTAATTTACCCGATTTCTACCACTACTGAAGCAAGTCAATCTAATCCATAAGTTGTATGCACATTCATCTGTACAACTTTTACGTAGGATTCCACGATCGTACTTAGGGAGGAAATTATGACGGCTTTTTCTGGATATACCAATCATAATTCTTTCTTTTTATTTAACATTTCAAGATTTTTTGAAACTTTATTTGCGGTGCATTGAATTAATGAAGTCAAATTTGGGCACTAGGAGTCAATTAGAGGTGCCAGGCAAACGATTCTAATGCAAGATGGACCTTTGCAATTCATACTCACACATTTGTGAAGACATTCCTGGACATACAACTCTTTACAACACCAACAGTACATTTAAATCAGTAACCCAACACTTACCGCAAATCATCTTTGAAAGGGTCAATGTTGGAAGTGCTTGTTCTCAGGGCCAACTCAAGCAGACTTTCAAGACGTGTAGGCATGATTTCTTCCATTGGTTTCTTCATCTCATTCTCTGCCATATCCATGAACTGAACCATGAAGTCACCCTGGTCCATCAGGAAGTAACGCTTCACAGACCTGACAAATGGAATAAACATTGAGCACTGTTTATTCACAATTAAAGGAACAATATGCGTAAATGAAGTCTCACTTTTGATCTTCATAGTATTCCCAATGGATTAATAAGTATCTGATCTTTCATTTGACACCAAAAACAGCTCAAACAGACCACATCAGAGTTGACACTAGATCAAGAAAAAAAAATATTTTCGATCTATCAATTTATATATAGTTTTTAGCAATTAAATGGCATTGTTCTTTGCATAAATTATCCACTCATTTTTGATAGGATTTTCAATCATACGCCATCTTTTAATCCAAGAGCTATTTAAAAACATACACTTTGTGAAAAGTGCTAATTCACTTCTTTTGATCTCTGAACTTCAAATGCTGTTTTCTATGCGAATGGTTTTTTTTCACTTTAGTATTGACCCAAATTAAAGTTTTTATCATATTTGATAGAGTGTTTGAGTAACATGTCTCAAATAATATTTTGTCCTTTTTCTTTTAAAAATAGGCGCATTGCCTGTTTAAATAACACTATAATATCAATATCATTTGATATACATTGTGTAGTATGCAAGTTATGAGCACCAAGAAAACCTAATGTTATGAACATCATTAAAAAGTTTCAAATTAATGTGTTATGTCTAATTGTATTTGTTAAGTAAAATTTTGAAAGTACCTCATTAACTTCTAACAGTCATCCGATAAACCATTAATAAGGAACAGACAAATAAAAACAAATAACATAATCATTATTAATAAGCCAAATGGATTGCTCATGAACACCAAAATGCAAAGTATAGTAGAGTGATATGGTAAACAGTGATCACACACAAGTTCTACATAAAGCTTACATACCTGAGTCTAGCCATGAGTTCCTTCTCCTCCATAAGTAACTCAAGCAGGAGTTTACTAGCATAGTTATGTGCTCTTTCAATATGTTCTACATAGAGCTTCTCCTTAATTGTATATGTTAATTCCTCAGCATGTGGACAAGCGACATCTCGACCTAAAAAAGGAAAATCAAAAACAGATCTTACTGGATATTAAATTTGAGGATCTGTATCTTCAATAAAAGAATATTTATTGGTAAAAATCATTAAACTAATAGAAGAGAGATTAAAATGCAAAAATACATTTCAGAATTCAATACATGCAACAAATCATACCACATTTTCTAATGACGTTCAGGTATTTCCCACAATTGAGGATCTTCTCTGCAACTAACACAAGGAAATCTGGAACTCTGTCGCGACATATTGTGTAATGTTGTTCCCAGTATGCATCATTGTAGTCTTCTTGAATGTTCTCTCGCTTGAAGCTTTCATCTTCTTCCACCAAAAACTGCAAAAAAAATTCTAATAAGATATTGGCAGTAATCTGGTTTTGCTTTTGTGAAAATTTAACAGCAAATCTGTTTTTTGGAATTGTGATGATATTTACGTGGCTTTACCAACATATTGGTCACTATACAATTCTTTTACATGCTTAATAAGAGCTTATAATGAAGCGAATTTAAAATTTTAATAATAACTTATTCACATTAAAAATATACATTCTACTCATTTCCCAAAACTTACCTCAGAATATGGGTCTGCTATGATGCCTTTATAAATCCACTTTTCTAGGATCCCGAAATATGGCACACATGCCTGAAATGTGGGTGCAGTTTAACATCCTTTAGCAGTCACGTTCAGATTTTAAAATCAGCATAAAATGTTATTATTTAGTACATGTATTTTAGCAAGAAAGCAACAAATTCAACAACAAATTTTTTCCCCAACAATATGATTATTTCTAAAGGTGTATACTGAGACTACTGTTGCAATAAATAAAAAATAAAATATAAAATGACTCACTGCCTGGGTTAAATAAAGACATATTTCTTGGCCCTTTGTGTCTCTAAAATAACAAAATACACAGTGTTAAAATACTTAATAACAGGATATACCAATCTATACCTTACAACTTTGTTCTCTATCATTTGAAAAGACACATTTTCCTGGCAAAGTAAGTTAGATAAAATCTTACTCGATCCACTATTTTGATATAAACACGACATTAACATCATGAGTAGATATGCTCTTTTTTTGCAGAAAACTCCTCAGATTTTGATGGCAAGAGTAGGACTCCATAATACATTTAACTTATTACTAGCATGATCTATTATTTCAGAAAAACATTTGCTGTTACTTGTCACACAGGACTGACACATATAAGCTCCTGGACAGACACATACAAGCTCCAGGACTGACACATATAAGCTCCTTTGTTGAAGACCTTTTTAATTTCCAAATTGACATACCCAATTAAGCTTGATGTCTTCTCATGTAACAAGCCAAGAATAGTTCCTCCAATACACTGGCCCTGTAACAATGAATAATACAGCACATATTAGACTGATGGAAATTGAAAAGCAGTACAGTAAAACTTGTGTATAGTGCACATCTTTTGTTGAGAAAAAAATGTTCATTACAGGTTAAGGTACACTTCAGATAGACTTTGCTTTTACTGTGACCAGTGATTTAATCAAACTTATACTTATTCCTCCATTGACAAGTTAACAACAATGTGATAGGCATGACAGTATATAAATATATAGGCTCACTATGTGAGTATATGAATATATAGGCTCACTTTGTGTGTCAACAAAACAGCAATTGTCATTCCTACATTCACCTCATTCCTCTAATTCAATATATCTTAAGAAAAACTAACCTTATTCACTGCATACGAGACTGCTGCTAAAATTTCCATGGTTCTCATAGTTGGCTGGATGTAGAACCAGAGCTTCTGCATGGTTAACTGGCCCTAAAAATCATAACTCACATGTAAATTAAGGAGTTTTTTTATTTCAAGAAAAGCCAGTTTGTTGCATTGTATGTAGAATCAAGCAATGTTATGTCTGTTATAATTCCCCCAATACTCTTTGGGGGTGTTTTAAAGTATCAATATAGTAGCAAAAGGTAATGGCAAAGGGGAAAATGAAACTTATATTATTTCATCAATAAAATTGAATTAAAAAGATATGATGTATATTTACCAGTTTGAACTGATGTTCCAACTGTGCCACTAATACCATATAATCTTTAATAAGAGTCCTCATGGCAGCACTTAATGCATGATTCACCAAACCGTACTCAAATGCAGATTTCTCTGAAAGCATATATCAATAAAATGGTAAAATAAATTTTGACCTTCTTATAGAAAGATACCATTTTGCTTATGGACTTGCTGAGTCAATCAGAGTTTATCAAAGCTGGTATAATTTTCAATTAATGTTGAAATTAGTAATATGACGGTGGTGTTCTCTTAGATTAGTTGAACACAAAACTTTATAAACAAAACACACAGTGATAAATATCACACTTTGAAGAGCTTAATGGCTGCCAAATAATTTACCAAGCATGCCCAAAACCTATCCAGATCTTGGCACTAGTCTCTTCTGGCATCTGTCAAAATTTCAAGTTGAACGGATATGCAGTTTCTCTTGAATTTTGATGAGAAGATTTAATATTAAGTCTACCTTCTATAAATCTGACAACTGTTGAATAGTTTGCACATAAAGGGAGTACTCTCTTCACCAATGCTCCAAGGGAAGGATCCACAGAGGGTTCTATGATAAAGCCTCGTTCTCCATAGCGATCACTCAGAGGCTTCGCATATACATATTTTCCATCTACACCCTAAATAAAAATGTAGAGAATAATGTATTTCTTATGCAACAAAGTATTTCAAGATTTATTTTTCTGACAAAATTCCAATAACAGAGCAATTATTTAAATAAATTTAAAACGGTTCTATTTGTACTCAGTTTATTTTTTAAAATTTCATCGATGCAATTTATTTGACATCATCTGAAGTTTAATTGAACAACTTAAACCAGATACTGAAGACACATAACTCCAAGTGTCTCTCCAATCCCTCCAGTTTTCTTTACCATAAAACAGATACAAGAAATAAACAAGGCATTAACATGAAAAATGTCACCACCTACCATTTGTTAGGAATGCCAACCACTGAACAATGTCCACAAAAGAATCTAGAGACTATAACAATATATGACATAATAACCGATTCTGGTGGTGACATAATAACCACTTCTGGTGGTGACATAATAACCACTTCTGGTGGTGACATAAAAAGCTATGATATACCTCGAGACAATAGAGGAGATCTTCAATGATGGCTTGCTCTTGTATCGCAACAGGCAAATTGCCTAATGGAATAATCCCAGGGTCTAACATCTCATCATTCTCAAAGACAAAGTCCATTGTGAGATAAGGCCTACGGAATAGCCAGTCAGGCTGAACAGGAATATTCACTAAAATATATACAAAAAAGAATTCAGTCAGTGTATCATTAATTTATTCAACACTTTAATTGTTGTACTACCAACCAGCGCTAGATAACCACCATAACAGGGTGAGGTAAAAGTGCATTTTAAGAATAATATGTATTACAATGTTTTTTTGAAGGCACAATAAGATTACATAATAATTCAAATAGTAACATTACATTAAGCCATGGTTTGAATGAAACTTCTCAGAGAATGACAGTTGATCTCTTCATATATTAAATGCATGATTGATTATAATTAGACTTACAATTTTTGGGTTTAGGTTCCTTGAGAACTTTGCGAATTACTTCTGACTGGACGTTCGAGCTGCTGCTAACTTCTTTAAGGAGCTTATCTTTTAACTAAAAATAAACCATAATCATATTTGTTAATGGTCAGAGGAAAACAGGAAAATTAAGGGATATGTGCAAATAATTGTCTCATTTATAATATATAAGAATATAAATGAAATCCCACATACTTCTGTAAGTTCCTGTGGCGACATCTTTGTGCCAGATGGCGGAAGTTGAGACGTAACAAGATGATGGGGCGTCAGTGTAGTGCCTGTCATGCTTGCTCGATCTTTTGCATTCTTCTCCAGAAAACTTTTTGTCTGTAACATTATAAAACATGTAATGAGTTTAAATTTAAGTTTATTGGCACAACAAAATATGTCTTACCAAGTACAAGCAAACATTTGTATGCATATAAGCATATAAAATATAAATATGTTTTATACCCTTTAAATTGTGCATTTTGATCCCTTATTTTGTCACACTCAGTTGATCAGGACTGAACTGGAGACAATTGATGAATTATTAATGTGTAAGAAACCAAATAGCTTAAACCGTTATAAGATTTGCCATTTTTCAATTAGGAATTTTTATTTCATACTTTGAAATGATCATGTGTCTTAAATAACATTTGCCATTAAAATACAAAGCATTAACATGCAAAATGTCACCACCATTTGTTAAAGATGCCAACCGCCGATCACCAACCACCGATTGCCAAACTCCAGACACTAACTGCTGTCACAAAAAACTGAGACTATAACAACATATCACCACTTTTTGGTAAAAAATGATAATAAACAATAAGAGATAATAAACTCACTGAGGCATCCTCACATAGTTTGGCAGCAAGGTAGGTGAGGGCATCTAGATCCTTCACACTAAAAACAAAAACATAAAATCAAGCTTCTTGTAATGTTTATATTGGAGATTGAATGATATAATAAGTTTGCATAAATCAAATGTTAAAAGATGATGTATTTCCAAAATAGGCATGTTGTTAGGTAAAAATTTCTGAATTTGAGATTTAGTTTTTTAAATCAAATGCTGATGTTTGTCTCTTATTCTATATTTAATTGCGTTCAGGTACACAATAATATGATAATGAACATCATCAAGGAAACAAAACAAATGGAATTCTATAATCCAAAAACTTACTTGCGTGCCTTTAATTCATCATACTTCTGTAGGAATTCATTTGGCTTTTTAGTTGACTCAGCAATTTTCCGTTTTGCATTATGTGTAGTTATTTGTGTTGAGATATATGGAGTCATACTCTTCATGAGAATATCAGTGTAAACTTCAGGGCCTGGTCCATCTTTTGTAGGCACCCTGTAGAAATTAAAATAAGGATCTATGTATTAAGAAGTATACATCTATGCATCGAAGAGGCAGTAGCACGGCACAGCCAGGATCTAAATGTGAGGCAAACATTGAGTTTAAAAAAGTTAATACTGTCATTAGACTTCATTTTCACCACTTCATTAAAAAATTTGGCAGAGTAAGTTAGTATATTTCTGTAAAATGGCAAGACAGCTGCATTGTCTATGATTGTATAGGTGAGTCCAGAAAAGACTTACCCTAATAAGGTCACAAGATCATTGAACTAAGATTAATACCCTAACAAGGCCATGAGTTCACTGAACTGAGAAAGACTTACTCTAATAAGGTCACGAGTTCACTGAATTTGGAGACTTACCCCAATAAGGTCACAAGTTCATTGAACTTACCCTAATAATGTCATGAGTTCACTGACGTGATGGTGCACTGTAAACTCATGTTCACTCATGACTGAACTGTAGGCTTTTACGATCTTTAACTAAAGTAGCCAATATTTTTCATCATCTATCTGAAACAGAAATATTCAAAATACATTTGCACAATCAGGCTTTGAATTATATCACAGAATGAATAATATTTACCTTTAATAGAATACAGGCATATAAAAATATCTTAGTGATTTAGAAAGTGATTGATAAATCACTAATCAGTCAGAAGTGGGTGGGTTTGTTAACGAATACAGTTTTGTGAGAGCCATCACAAGCAGGTGTGAAAATCATGGGTTAACTTGAAACAATTCAGCATTTATGAGTGCTGTCTAGCTGAACAACTGGCTAAATAGTGTGGAGGAAATAAAGATATAAATAAACATTCTCATTTGTGTTAAAATGAAGTTTCATAGATTTATTCTGTGAATTTTGCACAAAACAACGGTACTTAACAGCAGCATGCAGGTCTCATAATTAAAGTATGATGCACAAGGTTATGTTTATCAATTATACAATGCACAGGGATGGCTTCGTGAACATCTGCACGTAGCTGCTGGATTTGTTTTCAAGTTTCTCCTCTGCTCAAAATCTACTGAAATGTTGCTACTCAAACCCTTTCAACAGGCTCTACTTTATATCTCAAAATTTCCCCTACATTTCCATCCTCCATTTGTGAAAGTCATCAGCTGCTTCTGTGCCATTCAGGACTTCTCTTTATTCTCAATTGGATATTTTCTACTGAGAAATCAAAAATTGTGATTTTAGTGGAAATTCACAAAGTAGTTTTCAAAATTTTCGGAGATTTCCAAATAAACTTCTGGTATAGCTCTCACCAGAGATTTTGAACGCTATTTCAAACATTTCTGTCTTAATCACCATTTTGATTTCTCGCTAGAAAATGTCCAGTTGTGGACAAGTCTACCCTTTGCATTCATTTGACTTCACTTCTTAAAAGAGAGCTTCGTCTTCACTCTTTCAAACTAAAATAAACCTGTGAACTCACCGCGCCAATCAGTGTTCGTCGGCCAAATTTGACCGACGTTCTTTATATGGTCATTCCTTCTGACGTCATCGTTGAGCCCGGAATTAACCAATGACATGCGCATATTTAATTAGAACGCATTTGGCGCATGTTTCTTCAAGCTCGCTGATTGGTGGAAGGTCAGCGCGTAGGTTAAAAGTGATTTACCCAAACTGTCACTGGTACCCGTCGTGGGGGCGGGGCTACTAAACTGTAATATGGTCTCTACTAGGCAGAGTGTAGTTTAACTAGACTCTGCACGCAGGGTAGGACAAGTCCTGATGTATTCAACACAGAGAGGCAGCTACAGTGCTGATACAAATTAATTGATAAGTTGTATAGTTGGCATATTTTCTTGAATTTTAACATTTAATGTCCCATACTCCCCTAAACTGCAGAACGTTTGTCACGAGTTTGAGCTGAAATTTCGCCAAAAATGAAGTATGGGTAATCTCTGCTAGGTTTGTTTATTGTGGATAGCTTCTAATGGTAAGTGCTCAGAAGCTAATAATTCATGTGCGCAAAATAATCAAATAATCTGATTGGTTTTAACTTTAGTGTGCATGCGCACGGTGTGTGCCATGTTTTTTTTTCTTGTGATTTTGTTTCGTTCCATGGAGTTTGTGTTTCAGTGTGACTTCCGCAAAAATGGTGGACCAATGACAGAATTAACAGGTAAAATCACTTCGAAATTTAAGAGAACTTTAATAGCAAAACATTTGTTTTATTTATGCATTCTATCTATCAGATAAGAGTCTCAGGGGTATATAGGCAAATCCATTTTGGTAGGAGCACTTCAGTTTGAAAACTCATTCTTTATTATTTTGTATCAGCACTATAATAACTTTGACTTTCACAAACAGATGCAGATGAAGTATTTCAGTTTATGCCATTAGGATTCTCTAGTGGCTGATCGGGGGCGATCGTATGCTATTGTATCAGATCAGTCAGCCTTTGAAAGACTCAGGTATAGTGGGAGACATTAATAAACCTCAACCATCAAAAGTTTTCACAATGAACTAAATTCTAGGTTTCATGTTTCAACCTCTCCCAAGCGGTAGAACAATAATTCCGTTCACTTCCGTAGCACAATAAATGAATCCAAAGCTTCATACCTGCAAATGATGGATAAATTCCTACCAAATCGAATGAATGTTTTCATAGATCACCATGTTTGTGATCCAAGGAGGATTGACTCCCAGAATACAACACCAGTTAACCTTATTTACTCGTGACAGGTTTCAAAATGGCGGAATGGCATTTTGAAAGCTGGCACGTGTCATATTGAATTCTGGGAGCCAATCCCCCTTGGGGCGTAATCGGGCTCCAAAATCACCTCAACATTTGAAGAGTCTGCATTAACATGTGAATATCACTCCATATTTTTAAGTTCCTATTTGTCAATATGGACCAGGCCTGTCAACTTGGGAACACCTAACATGAGTGACTTACAAATGTTGAACACCTTCCCTCAAAATTTTTTCGTGCTCGCTACAATCGCGTTTCAAAGTCCGTTAACAGGGAGGTGGGGGGGTTACAAAAAATTTCGAACAGAATGCGTGACATATACGGGATTCTCATGAAAAGTCAGAACAAAATGCGTACGTTTTTTTTCGGCATTCGTAGTTTTGCTGTATCGGCAAACTTTTTATGAAGTTTTTCTACAGAAATATTTTTGCTTGACAATTGCCAAGTAAAATGCGTATTTGCGTGACCTAAGATTCTTCAGCAAATGCGTGACAAATACGCACATTGCGGGACAGTTGACAGGCCTGTTATGGACAGAAATTCCAGTATATTTGTATTCCTGGACAGAGAAAATAGAGCACTCAATTCACTGACAGAATGTCTTTAACATAGTGTTAGAAATTATTTATGTTCACTACTTTAGGCCTATATCACAGGCTGGTATCGAAAAAATTGTCCGCTGTGACGGAGCGTGCTATTTTGCATAGAAACACTAGGAAATCCACACAATTTATTTTTTTTACTCATATGTTTTGCTATATCAAAGAAAATTACTGACTCCATGCAATGAATATATCATTTGCGGGTAACTTTAACTTCTGTTTGAAGTCCAACAACGCTAAGAGTAAAAGCTATTGAAAACGGCGTCGGAGTATCATACTCTAAAATGTACTATTTCTTTTATTTCTTTTTAATGGTACAATATAACCACAAGATAATATTTACATATGTTTTAAGGATAACTCTGAAGGTATTAATGAGATTTTTATGTATTGGGTATTTTTAATTTTTTCAATAAAAAATAATGTTTAAATTTTTTGTCCGCTGTGACGGAGCAGTTTCAAATCTGAAATACGTTAAGAATTTAGATTTATAATATATCTCTTTATAACTACACGTTAGAGGAGGGAGCGTATCAAATCTCTTTCGTAAAGTATTCTGAAAAATAAAACGGAATAAAAGTACACAATTCAAATTCTGAGATGTATATACGACCACTCTTTAAGCTTCTTTTCTCAGTTTGTACTGTAATCCAAGTTATGCATGGTAACTCATGAAAATGATAGTCAACTTTATTTCAGTATAGGGTATTTGCCTTTCGTTGTGCCTACTGTGGATCCATCACCTGACATGGTCATTTTTTATGGTAACTTATATACAGTAATATTATGTGGTAAAAGGTTATACATCTGTCGGAACACAGGATGTCTGTGCGCTATTTCGAATAAATTCATAGTATCCCTATTTATGCAATGGTTACGCGGTAAACACGATACAAAAATATGCCATATTCCGCAACGAATATGCCATATTCACTTGTGGTGTATGACAGATTCACCTGTGGTATATGGCATACACACTAACCAATGAGAACGTGATACGGAAGTATGCAATTGTCAATTGCATCGATTGAACGAACAAGTAAAACTTTATAAATTATTATAATGATTACTGAATCAACAGTACAGTTTATCGAATACATCAACGTATGCAGAAGTATCACTCACCAATCTCACGTAATAAACTTACCCAATCAATCCAGGATTCATATATTAGTATGCACTGACAGTATTGGTAATCCAGCGTAGTTTTACATTCAGAGTCGATTCTCGCAACCAATCAAACAAAGTCTTTCTGTATCACGTTTTTCACCTGCGGAATAGGTCATATTCAACTGCTGTATATGGCATATTCCGCAAGTGAGTATGACATATTCTGAAGATGAGTATCGGGTATTCACTGAATTCAATGCATCACATATTCACTGCGGAATATTGCATACTCACCTGCGGAATGGCATATTCACCCGTATCACAAATACCGCGCAACCATGAATGTATGCCATATTCCGCGTAACAATTTACACTTCACGTGACATTCTAAGACGTCTTGGCGAAAACGTATTGGATATATTATGTTGAGTTTACACCATGTTGATTCATGTTGATTTCAGTACAAACCTCCGAAAAATGCTAAGAGTGGTCGTTTTTATATCTCAGATTTACATTACCCCAGATCTCCCAGAGGCTACTTGTCATAATTTAGGAAGTGATTTGTGACGTTCTTTCTTCTTAGGGTACTTTTAAAAGGTATAATTTGAATCTTAAATTCTTAACGTAGTTCACAGTTAAAACTGCTCCGTCAAAGCGGACAAAAAATGTAAACATTATTTTTTATAAAAAATATTAAAAATACCCAATACATCAAGATATCATTAATACCTTCAGAGTTATCCTTAAAACATATGTAAATATTATCGTGTCGCTATATTGTACCATTAAAAAGAAATAAAAGAAATGGTACATTTTGGAGCATGATACCCGGCGCTGTTTTCAATAGCTCTTACTCTTAGCGTTGTTGGACTTCAAACAAAAGTTAAAGTTACCCGCAAATGATATACCCATTGCATGGAGTAAGAAACTTTCTTTGGTATAGCGAAACATATGAGTAAAAAAATAAATTGTGTGGGTTTCTTAGTGTTTCTATGCAAAATAGGGGGGGGGGTAGGTACGAAATATTTCGAACGGAATGCGTGAAATATACGCAATTCGCGTGAAAAGTCCGAACGAAATGCGTACATTTTTTTTCGGCATTCGTATTTTTACTGTGTAGACGTTCTTTTTTAAAAAATTTTCTACAGAAATATTTTTGCTTGACAATTACCAGGTAAAGTGCGTATTTGCGTGACATTTTCTGTCACGCAAAAAAAATAACTGGCGTGACTTCAAATTCTTCAGCAAATGCGTGACAAATACGCAAATTGCGGGACAGTTGACAGGCCTGGGAAGTGGGTTGTAAAAAGTCTTCTCTCTGAGCCTGGCCGGGATCTGGAAGAAGTCTTTGGTTAAATTTTCAATTCATTAACAAATTAATATGTTCTAAGTCTACGTCAAACTTACCATATATTTCAGAAGATTATATTTTGTTGAACTTCAGTTTTGTTTTGCCGCCATTTGTTTTCTCGCAGTAAAGTCACATGATAAACACATTCCAGTTTTAAAAGTTGAATATGTTACTCTTATTTGAATGATTAAATTAATATTTTACAATATATGAACAATTTGTAATCGTTTCGTATCAATGCTCATCAAATTTACTTTTTGATTTCAAGTTTCGAATTCTGATTGCATGAATAAACTGGAATATGTACGAGAAATATAGAGAAATTCCGAGAAGTCCTAAATTTTAGAAAAAATCAAAATACTTTTAAACTGCCGAAAATATGACAGATACAAGCTAATTGGGTAAGTCTTTGATACTTTACTTTATCATTTAAAAGGTTTGTTTTCTTTTGACGTTGAATCTGCCGTATCTTTCAATATAAGATAGTCAGAAAAACAATTTTCATGTATTATCGCCCATGTCAACAAAATTTTGAATGGAAAAATAAAATTATATGATATCATCAATAACTATGGCATAACTGGAACCACACATTCCTGGGTCAAGGACTTCCTCAGAGACAGGACCCTGAGGGTTATCAGGGTTATCTTGGAAGTTAACTCTGCCACTTATGATGTACCCCAGGGAACCATTCTCGCTCGCTCCTCTTTCTACTGTACATAAATGACATCTCGGAGGCCAAAACTCAAAATCAGAATATTTGCCAATGATTTCCTCAATATCAATATTGCTATGGACAGCGAAAGCCTGCAACAAGACCTCCACAGACTTGAAATCTGGCAAGCCAAGTGGCAAATGCGATTTAACCCCAAGTGTCCGCATGAGTCTATCGCTTATATTATTTTCCATTCACGTTTAGGTTGTGAAAAACATTGCAAGCTTAAACTCTCTAACATCATATGATTTTCTTGTTAAAGAAGAGCATTTCCCAAGAAGTTTCCTAAGCTATAAGAGCTGCAATATTTCTCTTTTGGTTTTAGCCCAACTTACTTCAGTAGATCTTTGATCACAAGATTTTGCAAGGGTAATTGAAAAAATATCCGAAACCGATGATCATAAAAGAACCATATTAAACACCCATTCTATATACATGTAGTTGTAAATAAATAATTTAAAATGTTATATGAAATGTATACATATAAAAAGAAGCATGTCTCATACGGGATGTTTACTTTTAGATATGACGTTTTTCCTCTAAATGTAGCATGGTGGTTATTCTGATATTTTTTCTTCTGACAGATATTATGTTTATCCTGTACATGTAGACTGGTACTTATTCTGCAATGTTTACTTTTAGATATGACCTTCATACTCTACATGTAGCATAGTAGTTATTATTTCAATGTTTACTTTCAGGTTTGACAGTTATCTTCTGTATGTAGCCTGGTTGTTATTCTGCAATGTTTACTTTTAAATATGACATTTATCCTCTTTATGTAGTAATGGTACTTATTCTGCAATGTTTACTTTTAGATATGACGTTTATCCTCTACATGTAGACTGGTAGTTGTTCTGCGATGTTGGTGAGCAGATATCGTCCAATTCTGTACTTGCAGTACTTGTTACTATTCCTGGATCTCTTCCTCAACAGCTTTTCCAACCTCATGCGCTTTGAGAATGTCGTCCTGCTAGTTTTATATGTGTAAGTATGTATTCAGTAAACAGTTCATTATCCCAAAGAACTAAGTTTGGTAGGGATATGGTGAAGCCCTCCATCCGTCTGTGTGCTTTGAGAATGTCATCCTGTTAGTGTTATATTTGTAAGTACAGGTCAAGCCATGAACAAATTTTAATAACCCAGTCGACCAGAATCTGTTTTAAGTCATATTTATACAATTGAACCTTGTTAAATGTTCTTCCATTCAGTGGTTTATTTCCGATGGTCACAATTTTATTGCCATTTACATAGCATAACATAGCTCTAAATGCCAAAACATACTAAAACCACCCAATATGAAACCCCAGCATTTTATCTTATGGTCTATTTCAAAGATAATATGTACAATGACAACCCTAGAAGCATCAAAGAGTTGAAACAAGAGATAACAAGGAAAATAAGAGTCATTGCATAAGATATCTGTGAACATGTAGTCAGAAAACTTCACCTGATGCGTTCACATTTGCCTCTATAGACAAGACAGGCCTTTCGAGCATGTTTTGTAAAATTGCCATTAAATCATCCATTTGGAATAGACTATTGGGGAACAATACTCCTGCCCTCATTATATCAAGGAGTTCAGAAGAATGTATCTTAACCAACATGTTGCAATCAACTTGAACAACCTACCTGAATCTGCTATTAGTATCAAAGATGTTAACAGCTTCAAAAACCAGATTGATAAGCAGTTTAGTGGAGGGTGCGAATTTCTTTTTTGTGATTGATACAAGGGATACTGAAATGAATGGTGCAAAACTTTAATAACGCAAATGCGAGTAGTTAGTTATCAGTATTTTCAAAATTAATAAACAATTTTCAAAACCATATTTCTAGATGTACTTTTACATGTAGATTTCAAATATGACATCACGTTGACTGAATTTTGAATATTTGATGATGTAAATCAAGATTATTTCTACTCACGTCTATTCTATTGTTTTGGTAAAGGCTTGGTGCCTTTTGAATGACTTATAAAGGGAGTTGTTTTTACTTGTAGTATGTTTTTCATTTAAAGATGGCAGTGTGTTATCAAAGCTTTTTTGCAAAACTTTTGCAAAAATATTTCAATTTAAGATAGAATTTCTGCCAAGATCAATGAATTATGCTACTCATCAACATGTTGTTAAGTTGTAAACTGACTTTTGCACAAAATATGCTTGGTTCCTTATCAGAGAGATCTCAGAAGAATAAGTGATATTAGTAGTCAGTAACGTTCGTTTTTTCTTTAATTGGATTTAAAAGTATTTAAGTTTGGTGATTCTTTAAGTTTTGGCGGGAGAGACTCCCATTCAATGATGGATTTAAATACTCAAGATCTATTTGACTAACTGTGCATCGGGCATGCAAAGTTTAGAAAACAATGCCCGAATGGAATGAAGCAGCTACAATGCATTGAGTCTTGGGCTTAAATTCTTTTCACACATTGCAAAATGTTTACTTCAAAATCATCTAAAAGATGCAAAATCACGAAAAGAACATATTTTCAATGAAAAATTTTGCAAGGGTGTGTAGTCCAATTTTTCACCTTGACAACCATGCAACAAATGTGTTATTGGTTATATAACAGAATGCAGTTACCCTCTTAGGCTGAAATTGGACACACCTTGCCCAGCCAGGGGGATTAACCCCAGAATTTAAAGATGACTTACGCTTATAATGTAAACCTGTCTTGAGATGACATATGTCTCTGATTGGTCAAAATTGACAATGAAATGAAATGTGCTTTGAAAAATATTATGTTAACTTCTGGTGTATTAACCAATATCATAGCTTCTTATTTCATATCAAGATAAAGAAAGCTGTGTGGAATATGTCTACATCACTTTAAACATAACATTGACCTGTTGTATTTGGAAACAAGCCGGTGAAAATTCAAACAAACATAGGTGTTAAGCAAAAGACGTGATCATGTCTGTTATCTCTAAGCTCTGGGGCTTTCCCTCATCTTTTGCCTCGCTATGTGTGGATTAAATGTAACAAAGTGACATCTATGTTTGGGTGAATTGTTATATTGTTTTAATTCTCTGATCACAATAAGTACAACTACTTATCTATACTTTATGGTTAATGAGGCCTTTACACTGCCATCTTGATAATGCCAGTCTAGTGTGAGGGGACTATCAACTCCAACAGACCAATTCACGTAACTGTCAACCTTCTTAATTGCCTTCATTAATTCTCCCAACTGTCTACTATCAACGTCACCCTCACTAAGTTGCTTGTCCCACCAGGTAGGGGTGTGGGGCTCCTGAGTGAGACTGAGTAGTTTGTGTATCCATCTATCATCTTCTGTGTGACTCACTTGGAACATAAACCATGCAATTGCTGCAATACTATGAGGTCCGTTGAGCTGTAGCTTTCTCTTAGGAAAGAATACATCAGTTATGTGGTATGGTTTAGGATAGTTTATTTGTATGTTGTGAATAACATTAGGTTTGTCCATAATCCTCCAAACAATATCTTTCAAACATTTTCCCACATTGATTTCATGACATGTCTGCTGGTGGTGTAATAATATAATGTTCAGAGTATAGCTGGAGAGTAATCTAGGATATGTCTTATGTGACATTTCGGAAGCAAGATGAGAGATGAACTTAAGAGTTAGGAATAGTTCCTTGTGAGATTCAGACAAAACATATTTTGTGTTAACAGGGGGTTTGATGACAGATTTCTTCCAGTGTTTCGAATAAGTATAGCCACACCCACACTTGTTATCAATGTAACTACCATTCACCATGAGACATGGCCCCAGCTGCTCACTTGGTTTCCCCTCTATAGAGAAACAGAGGTCTATATCAGTAGTACACAGGGGGCCACCAACCCTCAGCCAGAAACTGGGACCATGTATGTCCTCATGGACACTTATGTCTCCTCTCTTATATGGAGCATTAGTGTTCTCATAATGATCTTTTACTCCTATATATGTCAATGTATCCATATGCTGAAGGGACTCTATCATGATTTTTCTGAGTTCATTATTAAATTCATTGCAACAAAGATGCTTCTGCCTTTCTCTTAATCCTAGATGGTAAAGAAAACGAATTTGACTTTCTGCTGATTTCGCTTTTATATAACCATATCCATACTCTCTTCCCTCACATGCAAACTTAACCTCCTCCACTGTGTTAGTGTTAAAGTTCGCAAGGATTGGCATAAAGTCGTATTCATCTGGCCTCATTATCTTAGTTCCACTATATGAACTACCACGTCTGAGAAGCTCCTTGGAACTTAGCATTGAGTCATATTCACCAACCTTTCCAACCAGAGCTTGCATGTTGTCTTCAATAAATGATGTATGTTCATTGAGCTCTTCTGGTGTGTATCTATTCCTAACATCAACTGCCTTAGATGTTATATGTACAAATTCTCCTAAGCGTCTTTCTTCATCTGTGGTAATATTGACTAATTTTGAGGAATATGGTCCAGTTAGCTTTGGCAGTGTGTTAGACGTCATTTTTTTGATTAGATTGACTATATTTTAATACAGTTACTGTCCAGTTCCTGATCTGGAAAGAAAGAGAATGTTCCTATTCCTTATATTCACTTAATATGTATCTTTCCAGTCTTTGATCGTCTTAGATGTTAAATATTCAGTCTTTATCAGTTTGAAGAGGTATGCACTTGAAGTTATATCACGAAACAGATTTCATAAAAATATATTATCTTATAATGTGCAGCATATAGTCACATTAATATATTGTGGCTGTGCTATGATTTAAACTGTTAAATAAATAAAGAAAAAAAATTAGGGAAGGTGTGTTCGATTCCAGACAATCCAAACACAGTATTTCCTATATAATGCTTTATATGACCAGCAATCCACCCAAGGTCATCATAAAATGATTGTCAAGGTGACAACTTGACTCTACGGATTGAAATTGATGCTTTACCAACTTGACCCTCGCTCGATTATTAATAGTCAAAAATCATCTTGATTGTAGTCTTACAATGAGACCACGTACCCTCTCCCTCGATGTTTTGATGTTTTAATCAAGGGTATAAAGGTGTATTAAATGCTACATTGTTGAGATTGCACGATAGTAAACTGTCAGAGGTATAGTATAATAAATTATGAGTCAAACATATCAAGAATCTTTTTTATCTGTTGGAGTGTCTTAGGGGATATCACTGATTGTCTGGGTGAGAAATTAAGAGATCTTTAAGCATGGAGAACAATGGGTTTTGAAGTGATGCTGCACAATGTTATCACATGACTAGCTCTCCCATAGAATAAATATGAGCTAACCATCAACAACATAATAATAAAAAAACATTATAGTTAAGAGCTTGGTATAGTTTTTGATAAGGATTTGTATTGTCTTTAAATGCGTTAGTCTCATCTTGAGTATGTTAAAGAAAAGTGCCAATATTAAGGCTTTTTTCTCTACCACCATATTCTTCACAAAAACACTTCTTTGTATATTTTCATTTCATTTGTGATGAAATATTTTAAACATATTGCCTAGCCATCCAAACCTATAAAAGTGTTATTCTTTGTGAAATTAATTAATAACGTATAAAAATCAACACCTGGCTTGCGTTACCCCTCTGTAAATATATCAAAAATTGGACTTGAAATGTGATGTTATACAGTACTAATATGTCTTATCAACTTATGTTAACGGATTGTTCTTTGTATGAATACCTATAACTGATTAGATTTTGGGCATGTTGGGTAAATTTAAAGGCAGCCATTTTAGATTTACTTTCCTTGAAACTTGTTTTTTGGTATCTCAAATTCAAAATTTTACCAATTTGTTACATGAATATTAATTTTGTCATATTTCCAACAACTCAACACCTTGAACACAAGAGTGAGAATCTGGCAGGTATAACAGATAAACCTACACATATATAAAATAACACCTCCCAATGTAGAAATATCAAAGTGTATTGAGATTGTTCCTCTCACCAACAGTGCCTCTTTGAAATTGAATGTATTTCTTATATTTTCAGAATCCAGGATGTCTGCATCATATTTGCAGTTATCGTTGTGTTCCTCGTCTTCTTCAACACTTACATCTTCCAAGCTGGTCTTGTCAGCATCCTCATCAACAAGTTCAAGTGGACGATCATCGTTACATTCATTTACTTTGTATTATGTGTGGGGCTTCATGTTTGGGAAATGGTGAGTGCTCTAATATTATGAAATTAATTTAGCGTACCTTTTACATGTACAGTAAAACCTGTATTATCCAAACTCCACTTTGACAGGCTGAAAGTGATCAGAAAATCAAGTGTTCATATTTCAAGGTTTTTTCTAACAAAGGAGTCAGTAGGACATTACGAAATCACAATTAGGATAACATATATATATCTTTTATTGACATGTTCACATTGAGAGGTGTTCGCATAACTGAGGTGTACAGATCAGTGCCCACCTGAGATTTTGAAAATATGCTTGCACTCACCTGGAATCAATTTGCACCCACTTGAAAATGAGAAAGATCGTAAAAATATTTTGATAAATTTTGGTCTGAATTGTGAAAATGAGTATTTTGCACCCACTCGGGAAAAATCCTGTGGAGAACACTGATATAGTTGTATATTCATTATGAACGTTTAAGTGGGAAAATGTGTATGAATTATGCTATCTTTGCCACTTTAAATTAATACTCTGATAAGTTCACTCTCTAATAATTTGGTCACTTTGTAAAATGTTGCTGTGTAAATGTCTAAAGTGTTCATTGATGAAGGTACAGTATGTATTTATATGATGGTTACCTGATATATGGTATATTCCTTTATAATTTCAGACTATGCGATGGGCAGTGGATGACCCAACTGCTTATATATGGAATGACGGATTCCGGGCGATTTTTGCACTTCAAAAAATAGTCTCAGTATTGTATTACTACTTTTACAAACGAACAGCTTTGAGACTTGGTGACCCACGATTTTATGAGGAAAGTGAATGGGTTCGACAGGAATTTGAAAAAAGGAGATAGTAACCCGTACTAATAATGTCGGGTAGGCAGTGGGTGAGAATACATCATCCTAGCAGCAACAATGCTTGACATCCGTCCAATATCTGAAGCATGCTCTTCTGAAATCATCTTGGCAAGTGTTAACAGGATATATGACTTGGAGAATGAGAAAGACAAATAACTAGCAATCACTTACTGGTAACTGGAGCATCAATTTTGGTTTATGTCTCACAGTCTTATGATTGACACAAGATTATGAATTGGACTAGAGAACAAAGGTTAAATGGATTGGAAGAGGGGCTGTGCTAACTTTATTTTTAAGCTGTATTGTGTTTTTATGTTGTTTAAAGTACATTAACATTATCTTGAAAGATGACTCCAGGATTAATTTTTATTTTACACTGTACTAAAAGCTGCATTGGAGTTGAACTTCACAAAGAATCTCAATGTGCCAAATATAATGGTTTTGCAAGTAGGCTAAATGCTGTATTTCAAAACCTAGTCTATTTTATTTTTAAAATTTAAGTTTTTTACTAATTGCATAGTTCTTTGTACCAAATAAATAGAGGCGAATGTCTTTAAAAATTCTCTTTTTAATTATTTAACAGAAGTTGTAAAACTTTGTCAAAATATATTATAAACATATATAAAATATATATGTACAATTGGTCCTCAGACTAGTGTAAAACCTTACCCTACTATCACACCAAACTAGTTCTCACTACGTTCTCGAAAACGGGCTTCAACTGTGTACGAACGGACTGGACCTACTAAGAACCGTTTGGGATCTATTTACAAACTTCATCGAACGTACTCGAACCGGTAGGTCCTCTAGAACTCAGACAATGCTCAAAATGTTCTCGTGGTCGTCACGTTCTACAATAAGAACGAGTGAAAACGTACTAACGACGAGCTAGACGTACTACGAACGGAACCGTCGTACTTCAATCCTACTAGGGACGTTTTAACAACGAGTTGAACTGTCTGAGGACGTGTTTAGAACGAGGTAGAACTAATTGCAAACGGGTTTAAACTGATTAAGAACGTATTGAACACTGCTTATGAACGAGTTAGCAAAAATATAGCTATCACACCAAACAAGTTGCCACTGCGTTCTCCAAAACTGGTTTTAAACTGTGTGCGAACGGAGTGAACGTAGCTGCAACTTTCTAAGGTCTATTTACGAACTTTATGAACGTTCTCAGACGGGAATGTGATTTTAGAATTTTGAATCGATTCAAAATCCGATGGCGACCATGCCGTTCTGTTATCAGGTCATGTTGACCTTCTAGACTAAGGGACGCGTTCTAGTACGTTGCACACCGACGTGGTATGACCTGAACGAACTGCGAACGAGATGGACGTATTGAAGACTGTTTAAGAACGAAGAAGCTAATTATTTCAGACATATTTCCAGATCACAGTCAGATTGAGCCCGTTTTACGACGTTTTCGTAGGAATGGCAAGAACGGGTAAGAACTAGTTTGGTGTGATAGGGGGGTTAGAAAATTAATTAGGCTCCAAATGAACAGCAATATCGAATGTAAGAGATTTCCAATGTCTGGTCTATAAAAATAACTAATACATGTATATCATTTATAAAAATCAGACTTTGTACTGACTCTTAATTGATCTTTTAAATTAGAATGTAAATATTCCATTGTGTTGTGACTGAATATTACTCAAGTTTACATGTACATAAAAATTGTATAATAACTTTTGTATTGTAAATATTGAAAATATGCTTGTACTAGATATTTAATAAATCTACAAAAATGTTAAAAGTTTGTATGTTTGTTGTAAAATCAAGGTGTCAATTAAGGTTAGAGTGGGGTCAACCGAGATATTAAAATCTCTTAATGCCTCAAGTTTTGGAAGATCTTACACATTTAACTTGTTAGACCAAAATTTGGTATGATAGTTATGATTTTTGAAACCTTACAAAACATGAGGTATACATAATCCATATACCTTATGCTTATTGGGGACAGTTCTATAAGTTCGGTTCTAAATGATACCTTATCTGGATAGTAATGCTGATTCTAGTATTCAGTATGAAAAATTGCATACTGTGGATGTACAACTGATTTTATTTGGAAGTTTGGAAATAATGTTTTGCAGGATCATCCATTGAATCTTGTTCAGTGTGATTTGTTGTAGATAACTCCTATAGATGGCAGTTCACTACTAGGTTATTCAGCTGATTCTCCCTTTCAATTGGAAAATATATTGATTTTGATGGAAAAAAACAAAAATACACCATTTTCAATTGACCAGCCATTATGAGAAATTACATTTTTGCAATATTGCAAATTTCATCTTAAGCATGTCCTGGTCCTATGTCTAAGGCACTGGTATTTGACACCAAAAAAATAGAAAATTGGATGCCATTTTGAAACAGAACTGCCATATTTAAAATTCCTTCTCAAGCAGAGGTCATATCATATCCCCATACAGTGGTACATGTAATATTCATGAAAAACAACAATAAAAGTATATTCTCGTATTTAGTCCATTTATTTGGTTTATATATAAACATACAAATACCTCCAGTGTAACTTTTGAGTACATTTATTAGTAAATAATATGCAACACCCTGATGTCTATTGCTCAGAGGAAATATTTGTCATGAGGAACTAATATTACATTGGAGTTCAATGTAGAATAAATGTCAGTTATTAAAATATAGATAGCAGAGTAGTAATTAACCAATCAGACGTGTGGCTGATTTTATGTGACGCAGACTCCAGTATCTTTTTTTCGTTGATTTACTTCTATTTTTTAAGCTTTCGGATTTTTAAATATCTACCAGAAAACTGTTAATGTATAAAATATTTTAACAGGGGTTTCATTATAATATCTGACAATAGGAGACACAAATCAAGATAACAAGTAAAATTATTGGAATGATAATGCAAAGTTTCACAAAAACATGTGATTTTGGTAAAAACAACCATAAATATAGGTGGAAATTGCCTGCTGGGAATGAAGCCCTGCGGTACTAAAGGCCAACCATGGGCGTAGCGCCCGGTACGCTGGGTACGCACAGGCATACCAGATGGTTGCAAATTCACTCCAAATACAACCAAATTTCAAAATTTTTCTAGGGGGAGAACCCCCTGACCCCTGAAGACTTGTTTTTTGTTTCCCTCTACTCTTGCTCCCATGCAGGCTCCCATGGTGGCGTACTACTTAGAAGAATAGTGATACGCCCATGCCAACTGTTTTCCCATGTTCAATGTGTACTACATTTTCTATTATACTGCTATGAATCTGAATGTATTCATATTATAGGTCAACAGAAAGATGGCACTAGGGGTCATTCTGCTATTTTTCTTCCTTTATAAATAGACAGACACTAGTGCCATCTTTTATTCAACCTAGTCCCTACATTAATCCCCAAGTCCCGTGTCCCTTTAATACTTGTAGTCCATTTGTCATTTTCTGAACGTATGAATATTTAAAAGTATGATGTTTTTCTGTGTAAATACTATCATTAGGGATTATTGGAGTGATTTAGCTGGGTTGCCAAAAAAATAACTTTGGGGAAAAATTTTGTATCTATTACCATGGTAACATACCAGGTATATGGTGGTATCCAAACGCTAAGTCAATAGTCAACGCCATGTTAAGCGATTGCACCCCTCCCTAATCAGCCTATATAATTTTTTCCCCAAACAAACTTTTTGGGCAACCCAGTTAAATCACTTCAGAAAACCCTTATTAACATAAATCGACCATAAAACATCGTACTTTTAACAATTTCTAGGTTCACTATTGGATGTATAGGGGTGACAAATGGACTATTGTATTACTTTATGTGTCCCCTATTAATAAAAAACATTTATATACATTCATATACATGAAGTGAAAATAAGTAATTTTTCACCAATCATTTTGATTACAAAAATATGAGCGATAATTTTATCTTTAAAATATATGAAGAGTATTTAAAGGCAGAATCTGCCATAGTTTGGGTGAATTTTATACACATGCATGGTTGAGTGAAGCCTCAATCACATTTGGTAGACGTACAGCGGCTGTAGCTTCACAAAATCAATATAGAAAATCTACATCATACTACATATCCCTATATTTTACACAGCATATTTCTCTCGATTTTGGGAAGAGTTCCCATAGATCAAATGTGACTGAGGCATGAGGCAGTTAAGGCAACTGTCTATATTGAGATGTTTTTTCAATTAAACCATGGAAATAAGTCATTTTCTTGCACTAATATACCTCCTTATAAGTCCCAATTTGCCATGCCCATAATTTTAGATCCTAGCTACACCCCTGCACATAACTAAATAGACATGCTAAAAGTTACCCGCATATAAAATACAATATCATATAAAATATATCATACAAAATATGATTAACATGAATAAATATATGAAATGTGGAGAAGTTGCGCCTCAGTCAAATTATTGTACAATTATAATCTTCAGAAAATCGGTATAAAATCTTTGAAATATATTTTAGGACCAGCCTAATTAACCTAACTTAAATGATTTGAAATACATGTATTGTTTTCATTATTTCATGTTTTGACTATTTCCTGAACAGTCCAGCAATTAAACAACTATAAATAATCCCAAAATGTTAGAGAAACATATGAATGATTCAAACATTTTACACTCTTCGATTTCTGTACCCTTTTTCTATAGATTCAATCGTATCTTCAAAATTAATAGACCTTTCCTGCAAACCCTGCCATCTACCTTTTATGTAATTATCATTTATTGGCTAAATTAATGATGTCATAGATTGTAGAGATGTCACGGAACAAAAAAAAATCGGAAAGGTTCGGTTCAGAACATTTTGCTTCGGAACGGAACAATTTCTGAACGGTTCGGAACAGAGTGACTGCATGGAAAAGATTAAAATAAGTTGATCATCTAAGTCTATTCTATTGGTAGCGAAAAGCTGATCAAAACTCTTCAATGAGAAGGAGTGAAAAGAATGAACCTCTTTTGGTGCAAAATATTGAAAGAAAAATGCTGTTTTGTGGCGATTTAAGGGCCAAAAGTTGTGAAAGGGTAAAATGTTCTTGTTCCGGAACCGAACCGAAATTCTCAATTTGTGTTCCGTGTTCCGTTCCGAGGGCATAATTCCACGGATCGGAACAAAATCGGGTATCCGTGACACCTCTAATAGATTGTATGTAGCGATATCCTAGATGCGAGTAGAAATAATCTTGATTTACGTCATTAAAAATTCACAGTCAAACTGATGTCATATTTGGAATCTACATGTAAAATTGCATCTAGAAATGTGGTTTTGCAAAGAGTTTATCAAGTATGAAAAATTATTTTTCTTTGAAAATGTGACTTCTAGGAGATTCCCCATAGACCCCATGTTGTAAAACCACAAAAAGTGAAATATCTTTTCTTGTGTTGGGCAGATAATATTTTCTCTTTCTGGACATATTTTAATTTGTACAACTATCACATACATAAGGGTAATATGAAAAGTGAACCACTAAAACTGATGAATATTCAAGTTTAAAGGAATTTTGTAATACCCTGCCATGTTATTTCCCCCAAATCAGCCACCTGGTGAAGAAACTGGTAACTACCTACTCGCATCTGAGTAATTGAAATCATGAATTTATCAATATATACTGTAGTTTCTTTCATCACCAAAAGATGGCAGGGTTGATTGAAAATGTCTGAAATCACAAAATGTCTACAGGTTTTCTATAATATTTGCAAATGGTCTAGGAAGTTTTGATTGCCATTTTATTAATCGAATATTTAACAAGCTGATGACAATATTGTACCTTTTTTTAGGTACAATAAAAAGCAACTTCTTTACACACAAACACCAGAAAAGAGTTGACCTTCATATCAACACTTTGTCAGATATTTTAGTACCCTATTGAAAACTGTTTTATAATTTTATATAAATAATTACTCAACTTTCAGTTGTCATTGTTACTTATGACTGCATAGCTAATTTGCCTATTTAATCAAAGAGTTACATTTATATGTATAATAAAAAAATAAAATAAGAATTAATGTTACACAATTATACTACAAACAAATAATATCACATATATACACAAGGCATTACCATAGCAGCATGTCACCTCACAGAAATAGTAACAAGTGTTACGCCACATCTTGGTGGTGACATTTAAATAATGTAATGTATGCAGTAGAGAGAAACAAGGCTTAACATGACAAAATGTCACCACCTGGCTGCTCACAATATTATGAGTTCAATCTTAAGTCAGATTTGAATTTCTGAGAACTTGCAGATGATTTTGAAAAAATAAATTGGTCAATTTGAAGCAAGTTTTTTTACCCTGAAAAGGTCATTGAAGGTGAAATCTCAAATCTAGAGTCAGATTTGAACTTATGAGAACTTGTAAATTGATCAATTTGCAAGATGAAAAAATACCTTTTTTGAGTTATTAGAAGTTGTAAGAATTTGTTATAGACGCCGATCACCAACCACCGACAAAAAAAGGGAGACCATAACAATATGTCACCACTTTTTGGTGGTGACAGAACAAAACAACAATGCTAAACTACATAATAATAAAGTACATCTATGTACACATAATGAGTATTAATTACAAACATTATTAACAAAAGAATACCATTTCAATGAAACTCAGGCAACCAACCTAAATAAGGCTTTCAGATTCGTTTTCATGTTGATACACGTGCTCATGGTTATAGGCCGGGAAAAAGTCTTGTTTCTTATCAAAAATTACAATAAATAATGACACCCTTCTGAGGGTCCATATAGTGAAAAGTTATGCTAATTCTTTCTTTCACAAGCTTCTAATAATTTAGTATGCATTCTACATGAACCAAATGAAGAGTTGACTTGGGTTTAAAAATGAACATTTTGAATAAACCTGATTGTTTTTTTGTAAAAATGATGACCAGAAACAATTCTTTTTGGCCTAATATGCTTTTATTGTGTCCTTATCATACACATTCTCCTTGGCTTAAAAGTTTTCTTTATTATAAAAGAACTTTGCCCCACCCTCTTCTATATTGGTGTATTTGTTAGACATCTTATGAAGTGTGGTGGAGAGAACCTTTGGACCACAGAAGAATACCCCAATGCTTGTGCTGAAAAACATCATATAAGGTCATTACAGGATTGTTTAATACAATTACTGGAAAACATCTTAAAATTATTATCACAGCTTATTTGAGAAAAATTTTGAAGGCCCTAAAAACTTTTGGGCTCAACCATTTTGTAGGGCCTCAAAAAATGGGCCTTTTTGTGCATTATTTGGCCTTTTTAGGCCAAATTATCAAAAAATGGGCTTCAAATTTTCCAAATTTGAGCCCAATATATGGTTCTAATGGCCCAAAAAAATTTTCCACACAGGCGCGGACAATTTTTGCAGACTCTATATTTGGGCCCCCCTTGTTAGTGTCTGGATCTGCCAGTGTGAAAGACTGACCACAAGTTACACCTGACAATAGACTTGGACCTGAACAATAATTACTTTAGGGTTTTAATATGACATTCCCCATATTTCAGAACCATATAAAAACATTTGCACTTGCCAAATGTTGGCAACTTAAAAAATGGCAAGGCAAGTATAAACCCAATACCAATTGCCTATCAGGCAAGTATAACCCAAAACTCAGCTTCCACACTGATAATTTATTGGATTAATGAATTGTTCAAAGAATTGGATTCCTACAAGATACGATCATGACATCATAGACCAAATATCTCTGGGTTGGCAGCAATGAATTAAGATAAAATATACAATTAAATCAGCATTATGGTACACAAAACATTAAATCTATGAATTTGAAGTATCTGTGCATCTTTAAAACCTGTCTTACTTGGTAAATCATGAAATCAAATGAATTAAATAACAACTAACAGTTTTATTCTGAATTAAGCAATTATGCCATGAATCAGCTGAAGCAGCTGGCATTTGTGTCTCCATCACATTTAATTAAAATCATGAACCTTTATTGCTGTCTTGGTTACACTAATCTACATTGATTTCTTCCCTACTTTAATAATAAATCATAACTTACTTTGGGTTAGCATCAGCAATGCCTTTAAATATTGCATCCCAGTTTGGTCGTCCATAGTTTGTTTTCTGGTGCAATCCTGTAACTGCGTCGTAAACATCTTCTTCTTGGAGCATTATGTTCTTCGCCTTAAAAATATTCAGAGTTGAACACTTGTAAGTAGAGTAAAACATGTATATCTAAACAACTCTCTAATCCAAACTTTGTTCATTTTTAGCTCCTTTTTAAGCTACAAAGTTAAGGTCCCTCCTCCACACCCCCTCACCTGGTTTTGATCCCATCCTCGGGTTAAATAAATATTAGCATCCAGAAAGTCGCGTTTTCCTTGTTCGGCCATTTGTGTCTCTAGCTGATGGAGCAGGTCAGAGAACCACTCGAAAGCATTTGTATCGGGGCAAATCCAGAAGAAATGAACTTTACGCAGTTTTGTCTCAAAGTTTGGATTATTGTACTGGTACCTGAAAACATATATTTTTATATTTATTCATTATTTCGACACACATTTTATAACAGCAGTACACTAAAATATATCAAGTTGTGGAGTGTCTGTGATCAGTTACATATACGACTAAGTCTACCCGTATAGCCCAGCCGTAGAGAAAATGTACTAAATTACGCATAGGTCCCGGATTCGATCCCCGGTTCAAGCACTTTGCTTCTTGCGTTTCTAGCTTCTTAATACCTTGAACATTTAAATAAAAATGTGATTCATTTTCAATATCATATGAGTTACTTTGGCACTGTCTTCTGGGGTTTTTGGTTAGGTAAATCTCCCAGTTCCTATTGCTAATGGAAGTATACCGGTTCTTAACTGAGCTATTTAAGAGTGTTCACCTCTTGTCAATGATGATGTAAGTATTGTTCTACAATTATTGGACAGTCATGTTTAAAAGTCAATTTGGGTTGTGATTCAATGTCTATACGTAATTTTTCTCTTAACAATGCTGATGTTAACATACTGTTTTTGGTTAGAATGATCATTCATCTCTAACTCATTGAAAATTGATTTTATATCTGAACACCATCTATTAGGTTGATTATAGTCAATATTAAATTTTTGGTGAGTCTATTGGTGAGTCAATTCCAAAGACGTACAAAGACATGTCTTTCGGGGTAAGCCAGCCAGAATCGCTATATAGAGCAGGAATTAAAGCATATCTATGAATATCCATAAATGCACGTATGGCACTTTGGTGAATATTGTCACAGGTTTTGAAAAGGTTTCACTCTCCAAATACCAGCACTATAGTTCATAATGGGTAATACACATAAGCTGTAGTAGATCAGTTTCGCTTTCACAAATCAGGGCAGTGTCATCTGCATATACTTGTAATAAAATGTTTATAAGTTCATCACCATATTTGACGCCAATTTGACTTGAGGTTATTGTCTTTGCTAGGTCATTTAAAAAGATATTGCACAAACAAGAAGAAAGATTATCTCCTTGTTTTAATCCAGCTGTAGATGGGAACCAGTTTGTTGTTTTACCATTGAGATTTTCTATGTTAGAAGTTCTATTATACATTGTCCTTAAAGGAATATTCCTTGCCAGACTCTTTCTCTCTTGATATGGTAGCTATAATCATATATATAGTTTCCATATTTAGCAAAACATGGGAAAATGTTTTAATATGGTCAATATTGATCATTTAAAAATCTAGTGCTTATTTCCAGTGAGCTGCCATCTTTTAAGATTTCTTGCAGGAAGTGATGTCATCAACTCTCAACTTCTATAACCTTGCCCATAACAGTATAGGGAAGTAGCACAAAATCACTTCTAGACAAGTGATCATTACTTTCTGGGTAAAAATATTTTCAAGGCTTGTTAACTTAGAATAAAAGAAGAGATTTTCAGAAGGATTAAATAAGATTCAAAGTTGAAAAAGAATTTTTAGCTGGTTTTGTAATTCTTAATAGCTCCTCACCTAATGCTATATGCAAAGTTGAGAGTCAATGACATCACTTCCTGTGTGAAATTTTAAAAGATGGCAGCTTACTGGAATTGAGCATCACATTTCTAAGTGATCAAATTTGACCATATCAAAACATTTTTGGGTGTTTTTCTAAACATGGCAAGCATATATATGGTTATAGCTACCATATGAGGAGAGAGATGGTTTGGCAAGGAATATTCCTTTAAAGCTCTATACATACGGCCATCAATACCTGTTTTGATCAGTCGCATAAACAAACAGTTCCTGTCACTTTTATCAAAACATTGTTCTACATCTATGAAGCATATAAATGTTGATTGTTTTTATTGTTGTTTTCTATGGCATCATACAGATGATCAATACAAGCACTTAATTTACTGAAGCCATTTTGCTCATCAGCTAGAAAAGATTCACTGAAGCGCATTAGTCTATTACTCAATACTGAACTGTATAACTTACTCATTGAGCACAACAGACTTATTCCTCTCTAGTTTAGTGGTATTCTAGGGTCGTTTTTGCGATTTTTAGGAATCGGTTTAATTATGGCGTTACTCCATTGTGAAGGGTATAATCCATGTTTAAAGCATTTATTAAACAAAACTGTTAATAATGATACCGAGGTGGCATTTTGGAATACTTCATCTGGTAGTTAATCAATTCCTATTACTTTTCCTTTTTTGTTTCGTTTACTGCAACAATGATTTCATCCATATTTATGTCACTGTTAATATGAATGTCACTGTTAAAATGTATGTCACTGTTAATATGTATGTCACTGTTAGATATAAATCAATCTTCTGTTGTATATTTTAAATGTTTATTTCAATTCATTTATCTGTTTCAGCAATGTATCAGGGTGAAAATCTTACAAACTTAAATGGATGAAAAACTTATTTTTTAGGACTGAGAAAATGCGTACCTCAAGAATGTTTTTTCTTAATTCTGGACCTTTTAAAGGTTGGATGTACCTAGAACCTTGTATATGGAATACACCTATTATGTATGGTTGGTCTAGGGAAAATCCAAAATGGGTTCTTTTGGTTTATATCGCAACCCTAAAAGGTATATAAAAAGATCTACTTTCCTGTTATCTCAAAATCTGCTTTGAACTCTACCATTGGATGTCTATGAGAAATTCCTCAAAGAGAAAATTCTAGGGATTAAGGAATGGGTACCATTTACACAATTTGAGATATTGGCATACATGAAACCTATTTAAAACAGCATTTATATTATTCAAAAGCGAGTGGGATCAATGACTCCCAGTCCTCTGATGTTTGAAAAATGAAAATACCTAGGTATCCATAGATAATCCTTGAAAATGCCTTAAAAACATAAGCGAAATGCATGAAAAAACTCCCCCAATTCATTCTTCAAATAACTCCCCCTCCTTTAAGTGTATACACATTATGAAGTTGTAAGGTCTATATTTTCTCCCATATTGAAATACATTTATTCCAGCAACTTTTCCTCTACTGATCTTGCCTCAGAGTTCTGTATTTTCATGTGAAGCTAATTTCATATTCTCCCCCTGTAAGCAATTTGCAATCATTTCAAAACTATTTCTGCTCATGCTGTAACATACACCCAGATGTTGTCTAGCATTTAGTTAATAGTGTAGTATTGTCTTGAGTCAAGACAGCCTAGTTTGTACATAGACTAATGTGTCATGTTTTGATACAATTGTCAATAAAAGAAATATATAGAGAAGTACAGGAGTTCTGGGACACCCTGTACTGAGAAGACCTTTTCGTTTATTTAGACGCATAAAAACGGAGAACATATATAATCACTACATTGGATTCATTGCTTGGAAAACAATACATTATATATAAGTTAGTGTATTATGTTGACTTTTAAGAGAGTAAGCTTGGCAGGATTTATTCTAGTTACCTTGATATGGATGCCATTCTTTTATCACTTCAGGTAAATTCATATTTATTATGCATAGACGTAACACAGCAACACTCTAAGATTTAGATGTTAAGTGTGTCTAGATATATTAGACAATTATGTAAGGTAGAACCAGCTCTGTAAGGAGTGACACCTAAAATATATATGGTATGTTCACGCCTGGTGATAGAGAAAATGCTGGTTTTTGCTGGGCTTCTAAATATAAGATCTATAAAAAAAGGTGCAGCGTGTTGACATACATACAGATGTCAATGTTTTTGCTATAAATCAGGCAACAACATTGGTCTACACCACCTGTAATAAATATGTTTTTATCACAAAATTAATGGCATTGCTGGTTTTTTAATTAAGTTCTATACGTTAAAAAAATGATTTAAAATGATTAAAATTGAACGGAGGGGTGAAGTGAACTGAGGGATTCATCCCTGAATCATCCCTGAAATTCTGAACAATATCACAAAAAGGGAAAATCTGGTCATAAATAACAGAAAAGCATACACTAGGACTTTTTTTTTTAAATGTTATTTAGGGGTATGTGAACTATGCAGAAACATTATATTCAATTTATCCCAAAATTGGCAAGATTAGAGATGAGTCCCCTTTAATGTTTATAGATATAAAGAGAATCATGTTTTCAGATGATATATTTGATAGTTCTAAACACATTGCTTTAGAACTGACTAGATACGAGGAGTACCAATCACAATCAATTCTGTAGATGTCATCTTCTAGATCTCTTCTGATCAGAATTTCATTTACATCAGATATGAAGTTACTGTATAATTCTCCATTTTCTATTACATTTCTCAGTTAAACTACAATGATCTTGAAACGTTGTGGAGGAAGTTGGGGTAATTGGGTAACTGTAACTGAGGTAATTAATTTAGTTCAGTTCTTTTTTAAATGTTGAAAATATGCTAAGTAATGTGACTCATGGCATGTTTTTAAAAGTATGTCAATATAAGAAATCAGAGCAGGTCAAAATTGGTAACCACTTTTTTATAAATCGAATGAATGTATTCAATGCATTTAAAAACGTTCAGTTTTACGATACTTTGCATTTCTATTAATGGTAGAGAGAGTAAATATTCCTTTCAAGAGAAATGGGTGTTGTTCGCTAAGGTTGTATTGATATTATCTCAATGACAATACTGTTTACACAAAAAGGATAGTGAAAAGGAGAGAAGACAGTAAATATTTCTTAAAGGCCCCATATAAAGTCTAAACCACTTTGGTTTATATGTTATCAAAATTTTGTATTTGGGACTTTTCAATTTAATTTCAAAAAGTTCATTTTGAAGGCTTTTTAAAAAAATTGAATTTCAAAGAGTTGATGAAATTTTAGTAGTCTTGGACATAATTACATGTACATCGTAACTTATTTTGTGTTATGAAAAAAATTGGTCGAAAAATATGCAAAAAAATTACTCAGAAAAGCTGTTCAGAGAAAAAAGCATTAAAAATTTAGTTTTCATTGAATCCAATGGTACATAATTATTTTATCACTATCTAGCTGGCAACTGTATGATTGGTCTAAACCGGGTCACATTTCATGTGATATCTGGCGATATTCAATGGCAATGCTAATCAGATAAGACAACCGTGAGATATCTAGCGATATCCCACGCTCCCCGGGAATTTTCAATGAGAATTTGTTTTCGTTCGGTATAAGTCAAAATGGCAGACAAGAAAAATTCCTGACGAAGAAAAGTTAAAATTAATTGAAAATATACACCAAAATCAGCTAAACATTCGATTAAAGTTTTTGTTCATTGGATGGACGAAACTGGGAATAATATGGACTTGCAAAATGTGCAAAAAAGTGAAATATATACAAAATTATAACCTTTTTGTGAAGAGAGAAATCAAGACTAGATAGGGATCACTGCAGACCCATCCACAATATTGAATGCTATTAAATCAACAGTGATATAATAAAACAAATATTTCACTCTACTGAGGTGAATACCTGTGCATCTTTCACAAGTGATATTCCATGAAGCCAATATCAATATTATAAAAAAAGATAAAAACTTATTTTCAACCTAGATAGGCCAATAATATTGGTTTATTTTGAAAGTTTAGGATTTTATATATGCATAAAATCATACATTGAATGGTTTAAATATTACAACTTTCACCTGATCTCTTTAATTAAATAGAGAAAATAATGCATTTTACATTGTGTTGTGTTGTCTTTCATTATCTAAAAATCAAAACTTTGGTCTTTAAAATGGCAGGAAATCCAAATATTTGAAAAGTATAAAATGTCTCAAATAGTTTTTCAAGTCCTGAAAAGTAATATTTGAATAATTAAACTATATTTTCAAAGTTTGGACTGTACCTTTAACAGCTATTTGAAAAAGTTCAGTCGAAATGAAACAGAAATATAGAAATAAGTTTATGATGACTAATACAGGATGTCTAGAAAGTAAAGATACAAATATTCTTTAATTTTAAGAGATTTGCTTATTTTGAGATGAGTAAGATTATAACAATATATCTTCCAACTTTCACCACATACAGAGTAGTCCCAAGTTGCCATAGTTACCATAAGCACTAGGCTCCAAGGATCTAGTCATTTTGAGAATTTCATTTACATCAGAATTTCCAATGTGACTCTTTACCTTTTTATAATATTGTATCATTATAACGACCTTGAAACTTTTGTTAATAACCCAGATGCCAGTTGGTAGTTACCAGTTTCACCACCAGATGGCGAATTTGGGTCAGATAACATGACGGATATAGTGGAAGGTTCCCTTGAACTTGAAAATTCATCATTTTAAGTGGATCAATTTTCATATACCCCTTATTGTATTGTATTGTATTGTATTTGGTTTACCACCAATGAAGGTGAGCAATACCTCTTGGGTATATCCCGTATATATACAGTCGTAATTTACGTAATTAATTGGAAGAAAGACCCAGAAACCCCTTCTTGAAGGAGCCCTGTGTTCTTTTATGTGCACCCATACATAGACATACAAGTACACACCACAGACTTTTGTATGAGTTGCGGACCACTCAGTCAAACACCCTGAAGTACTTCACGCAAACAAGCAAATTTAGTCTTGTCTGAACCGAATCGAATCGAATCGAATCCGGGACCTATTGTGTAAGAGGTATATGCGCTACCGCTGAGCTATATGAGTGGACTAATATGACTAATAATTATACAAATGAAAATGTGTCCAGTAAAAGAAAATATTATTTTTCCAACACAAGAAGATATATTTCACTTTTTGATATTTTTCATAAAAAATTATTAGCCCAGTGGACTGATGAACTTTGTTTCCAAACTGAGACTTTCTTTTTTGAATCGGTCTACTGCACGTTATGCCTGCTTCAGACAATTTAGATATTTTTACATATTGTAGAATTTAATATCCTCTTTTGAATATTCATAATTTAATTTGGATATTATTTCTGTATTTTTCATAAAAAAAATTATTATCCAAGTAGACTGTTCTCCAAACGGAGACTTGTCCTTTGGTTTAATACTGTAAACCAAGATTACTTCTACTTGCATCTAGTCTATTAAGGTAAGAACAATGACACATAAAAAATCTTTTATTTGAGTCTTAAATCCACTCCACCTGGGATATCATAAATATGAATATAGAAAGGTGATTAACTGGAAGAGCTTGAATATGGGTTTTATTATTATATGTCAAATATCATACTGACAGAGAGGTATAAACCAATATTCAATTAACACGTGAGCACAGCGAATGAATGAAGATATTGATATCCATGAGTAAATATAATTGATATTTTTTCAAAACCATAGGATTTATCCTACACTTTTTCAATTCAATTCACTTTATTTCAAATGTTTCAAATACAGTGTTTTACGTTGACATGAAAAGACACCCCGAGGGGTGTATAAGTTCCATGTTTAACATACAATATAGCATTTACTAAATTAACAGTCAGGTTATATGGAAACAAAAAAAAATGACAAAGCATAACATGCATCACAATAAAATACAAGTAATAAGAAGAAAGCATTTTTCAAAGAAGATCTAATAATGACTTAGCAAATCAAACTTTAACTTTCGTTCAAATGATTTGATATGTTTAGACTTTTTGAGATCAAGTGAAAGAGTATTGTAGAGTAATGGGCCACTTGTTTCGATTGATTTTCTTCCAATTTCTGTTTTGAATTTTTTTACAGTTAAATTCTTATTAATTCTCGTGTCATGATTATGAATTGCTGTTCCAGGAACAAATAAATGTTTGAACTTTTGAAAAGGAAATTCTGGTGATTCTGAAACAGTTTTCTGAACAAAGCTAGCGGTTTGTAGTTTATTGATGTCAAATATATTCAATATTTTCAATTTTGAAAAGAGAGGTCCTGAAGGAGCCAGACGATCAGAATAGGTGATAACTCTCAAGAATTTCTTTTGCAGAACATACAATTTTTGAATAAGAGTTTTTATGGCATTTCCCCATAAAAGGTTACAATAGCTTAAGTAGGAATATATCATGGAATAATAGATAGTGGTCATTGTATTTAAAGTCAGTCTATGTCTAGTCTTGTAGAGAAGGCCTATCAAGTTAGAAATTTTTGTACAGATAGCATTTATGTGAGATGACCAATTCAGCTTTGAGTCAATAATGACACCTAGAAAATTTATTTCTTTAACTTCTTCTATAGGTTGTTCATTAATTTTGAGAACAATATTGTTTTTATTAGGATCCTTCTTTTTATTAAATATCATATATTTTGTTTTTTCAACATTAAGAGTTAATTTATTAGATTTCATCCAGTTAGAAACAGTTTTTAATTCAGCATTCATATCTGAGACTAGAGTTTCAAAATTTTTATTGGTAAGTAGGATATTAGTATCATCAGCATATAAGACAAAGTTTAGTTTATTTGATATTAAATGTATGTCATTTATAAATATTATGAACAAGAGGGGACCTATGACTGAACCTTGAGGGACACCATATTCAACTTTATTTTTACCGGATCTATATCTCATATCTGTAGTTGTAAATTGATCAATCAAGACATCTTTCTTAACAATTTCTGTGACCATAATTCGATTTTCGAGATAACTTTTGAACCAGGAAAGAGCTGTTCCACGAATACCATAAAATTCAAGTTTTTGTAATAATATTTTGTGATCCACTGTATCAAAAGCCTTAGTCAAATCAATATATATCCCAATGCTAGTTTCCCCGATATCTAATGATCTACGAATATTTTCAATGAAATTTAGAAGTGCCATATAAGTTGAGTGCTTCTTCCTGAAACCATATTGTTGTAAATATAAAATTTCATATTTTTCTAAAAATGTTGTCACTTTTACATGAACAATTTTTTCAAGCACTTTAGAAAATACACTGAGAATTGAAATTGGTCTATAGTTGTTGAATTTATCTTTAAGGCCTTTCTTATAAATTGGAATTACTCTAGCTATTTTTAATGCATCAGGAAATGTACCAGTAGTTATTGATAAATTGAATATCTGAGTAAGAGGAGTTGACAAAGATTCGTTCAGTGTTTTCACTACTCTGGGTTCTATATCATCTATAGATGCAGCAGAGTCTTTTAAAGATTTTAATTGGGCCATGACATCAGTTTCAGTAATAGGTGTTAGAAATATTGAGTTATTATTTGAATTAGTTTGCTAAATGTATTATAACATTTAAAAATAAATTTGATATCTATTGGCAAAATGAATATTTGGAGGATATTGTCACGATATACTCCGGAAAACCAATATGCGGAGGATATCGTGATGATATACTCTGGAAAACCCAATATGCGGAGGATATTGTGACGATATACTCTACTTGTTGATTTCCCGCCAAATTGACTCTATTTGGCATGAAATTCATTTTGCAATGATATAATACATTTAGTACACTCCTTGTAAGTGTAGGATAATAAGAACATCCTATGATTTTTTTCAGAATATCATTTTAATCTACTCAGTGATATATATTGCTCTCTCGTGCAGATATCAATATCACCTTGTAGATAAAAATGATATTCCTCAAAATCATAGGATATCCTATAAATACTATATGTTCAAATAGAATACAAAATATTTTCTTGTATTTCAGAGGGGAGATCAACAGGCTTCTATTTGTCAAGTTAAATAAAAAATCTGATATGGCCATATTCACATATCCGAAGGCTTTGATGGCACAGTTTGACCAAGACAATAATACCACAATACAACAAAACAAGAAAATGAAATTTGAACCTAATAGTTTGAAACAAAATAATCACAGTGTTGCGAGTCCAACAAAATATGCTGTTATTACATCATCAACTCCTATCAAACGCTGGAGCAATTGGGATTACGCATTTCGCCTTCCGATTACTGTCGAGGTTTACATCAAACTCAACTTCAAATGTATTGTTATCATATCTGGCAGCTTTTCAAGGTGGACTTCTCATCCTGCACTGAGAGTTATCTATGACAGATTAAAGAAGAACGCAAATGTAAAACTGATGTTTCTCGAAACAGCAATTAAAGTGCAGACACTAATGGCTATGGCATCACGAATATTTGTGCCATATTTCATCCCAGGATTGAAGCCCGAAGACATCGTCATGATGACTGATGCTGATTTGTGGCTTCTTGGACAAAGGGGACTGGAATACGTCAGCTTTAATAGTTCATCAGAGATTTTAATAACGAATGCATTTTGCTGCGGAAACTTTCAATTAGATGGATTAAAAATTCCACATTACGCAATGTGTCACATTTCAATGTCTGCCAACCAATGGAAAGATGTTTTAAAAGTTGATAGTTATTTTCGAGACGTAAATACAACAGAATATGTAGAAAATGGTCGGGCTAAGAACCTCGATAAAATAATTCAAAAAATATTTTTCGATACTTTTGGAGTCAACCCTAACGTTCCAGTTGGAATTGGAAGTTATTTAGATGAGAAAATGGTTAGTAAAAGAATTTATGAATATCAAAAATTACATCCAAGTTTTCCTATTAAAAAGAAGCGATTTCCAAAGAATGGTCGAGTTTGCCGTTTGCACTGGCCTTCAGACCCTAAATTTAACATAACTGAGAAGGTTGACGCACATTTACCAGATAATGCACTTTCCGATGATTCGTGGAATAAAACCAGAACTCTCATGGAAAAAGTGTTTGAAGGCCAACAGCTCACTGATTTGCTTAATTTTGCAAACAATGTCAGTGTTTTGATAAAAAACACAAAATAATTTACTGCTCATTTTTCTACTGCATGATTTACATATTCTATTATTATTTGATAAGAAGTGAACAATTTATATACTGTGCTATTGTTTTGACATAAATGTCAAAATAAAATTGGTATTTTTAGCAGTGTAAAAATATTTTTACATAAGACCAACAAATATGGCTTTCAAACCACAAGATCTGGTGCCATTTGCATTGGCTTACAATTTCTTGCAACTTTTCTGATAGTTACAATGGCCAATTAGTCATTTAATTTAATAATAAAGTTTCATTTGAGTCCAATATCTGGACTACAATCATATCTGGACTACAATCCACCCTGCAGAGTGCAGATATCCTATCCATTCATAAATAAAAACCATATCCCTAGTCAGAGGATAATCCTTATATACATGTCTTAACCAAAACCAAGAATAACACTACTGTCTATGTGTGAAACACCTTTATATGGGAATAAATAGAGTTTAAGAAAACTGAAACCAGGTCAAAATATCAACGGTATGTTTTTTTCAAGACTTTATTGTAAAATATTTAGTTTTCATCAAATTAAGTATTCACTAATGATATTTTTAGAAAATATCGCACGAGGATGATATGAAATAAAATTGGTATTTTTAGAAGTGTAAAAATATTTTTGCCAAATGTTCATTAGACCAACAAATATGGCTTTTAACAACTAGATCTGGTGCCATTTGCATTGGTTTACATATTCTTGCTACATTTCTGATAGTTACAATGGCCAATATGTCATTTATTTTAATAATAATATTTCATTTGAGTCCCATTTGAATGAAAATAATATGATAGTGTATTATGAGGTTATATAATGGTTCATTCTGTATATCGTGTTTATACTCGAGTGAGTATATAATATATTCACAAGTGAGCGTAGCGAACGAGTGAATATAGTATATTCTCACGAGAGTATAAAATGCACGATATACAGAATGAACCATTATATAATCTTATTATGCCACTCTCAGTTCAATTACAGTTGATTCAAACACAATCATAACAATTATAAAAACCATAAAAATATCCCATAGCCAACTCAGTAATGCCGATGTTGACCTCGATCCATTTATGACGTCACTTGATTCCAGCAAATCATGTGGGAACCATTTATGACGTCACTTGATTCTAGGAAATCATGTGTAACAAAACATACACCTCGTTCTTTGGTCAATATTCATTAGTTCCCAGAATGCACTTCTACAGTGGTATACGCTGGAGTGTATACGGAGGAGTTGTATACGATGACGATATACCACTCTCCACTGTATATCGTTGTTATAGACCCATGTTATACAACTGTAATCGGACTTAGAGTGGTATAATGATAGTTATATCTGGACTACAATCATATCTGGACTACAATCCACCCTGCAGAGTGCAGATATCATATCCATTCATGAATAAAAACCATATCCCTAGTCAGAGGATAATCCTTATATACATGTCTTAATCAATACCAAGAATAACACTACTGTCTATGTGTGAAAGACCTTTATATGGGAATAAATAGAGTTTGAGAAAACCGAAACCAGGTCAAAATATCTATGGTATGTTTTTTCAAGACTTTATTGTAAAATATTTAGTTTTCATCAAATTAAGTATTCACTAATGATATTTTTAGAAAATATCGCACAAGGATGATATGAGTACAAAATTATCTAAAATTAAGAAATTTTTGTGAGGATTATGCTGGATCTGATACTGATACTTTAATCAAACAATGCAACAAAATATTGATAGAACACAGATTATATTCACAAAGAAATGTAAAAAATATGAACTTTTTCATCCCTTATTGTTTATCATAAAAGTGGAAATTAAATTGCATGTGTATGAATAGCATCAATTTTGTCATTCAAATATTACACTTGAAACCTATTGAGTCCCGACTACTTCACTATTTGTTTTAAATTTTTTGAAAAAATTTTTTCATCCCTCGATTTTATATATGGCTTTACATAGAATTACAAAATGTCACCTTGGGCTTTCAATTTAAAAATCTAGTTGAAAGCCCATAATGTCACTATGACCTTAGTGAGATTGCTAGCAATATAAATGATCATGTTAAATTCTATTTTCGAGTCTATTCAAATTATTTGTCAAATTCTGAGACATGCAGTTCCCATACCTATTTATATGGGCGATTCATTTAAACAAATATTTTGAAAGAATAGAAAGTGTTTTTTATAAGGCACAGTAATGGTGATAAAAACATAAAATTCACTGTAGTTCTTTGCTTGATAGGAAATTACATCTGTCAGACAAACAGTATATGAATTGAATAGACTCAGTAAATGTTTAATCATGTGATGAAATAAGATATAGAGTGACATATCACAAAGGACCAAAATGAGTTGTAATAATAAGGTCTAAAATAAACATTATTACCACCTTGCCAGGCCAGTTCTAGGGGTTTTAATGCTAGTTTAGAAGGCATTCATTTTACTATATCGACCTGAGCAATATGTGACATCATAGTGGTGGTCCATATTGCCGGTCAAGAATGTAATTAATGACTAGCAATTTTCCCCGGGAAATTAGATATCGTTCAGTGCGTAAGATTTTCTTGCTGTTTCAGTCCTGGTCGTTAACGGTGGTAATAATACAAATAACGTCATTTCTGTGGGCAATATAGTGAAATATTGGACCTTTAGCCTTCGGCCCTCTGTCCAATATTTCACTATTGCCCTTCTAAATGACGTTATTGTATTATTTATTTCAATTGTAACCTTTGTGCCACACAGAACTCAAGTTTATGTAAAATGAAATACAAAATATTTTTCTAACAAATATGACAACAATAGTTTGTCACATGTATTTTCTATTTGTCCCGTATTTCTGAATTTTTCTACATACCCTTAGAGATCTCTTAAATTTGAGAATCATAATTATCTATTTTCGAGAAAGTACAGTAGCTTATCTGAGGATTTTTTATTAAATTTAGCCATACTAATGTACTGAATGTCCTGTAGATAAACCAATCTTTTGGACAAACAATATCGAAGATTTAATCAAGGATACACATACGTTACTCATGACACTCATGACACATAGTTTAAAAGTATGTCTATATAAAAAATTCAAAGCGGATCAAAATGTGGTTGATGCTTTCTACAAAATAAAAAAATAAACAATGTGTTCAGTTCAGTTTGACTCAGTTTGCGTGCCTAATCACAAAGTAATGAATTGATTTTCTTTTTTTTTATGAACCTATTTCATGTTTTTATGAAAGATTTGTATTCACTAAATTCATAATGACTTTACTATATTACTAGAAAGTTAAAAGAAATATGAATAGCCTTTGAAACAGCCAGTTTAAACAGCCAGTTAAACAGTCTGGTTAATTCTAACTTTTCTACACAAAAGATACTACAGGCTATTCCACAAACTCTTTAATTGTTGACATGTAAATTACACATTTTTGCACTTTAAATAACTTTGCAAATTAATAATATAACATGGATTTTTGGGGGCTAATTTATAAGAAAAAATGGCACTAATTTTGAATTGAAGGGTCAATTGGAAATTCATTCTTGAGCAGGGGTCCTTTGCCTGTATGACATTAGCCTTTAGCACCCACTCCTCTTAAAGTAATCATTTTTCAAGAATTGAGCAGCCATCTTAAAAATTCCTTCTTGAGCAGAGTCCTGTGTCCTTAAAGCAACTGGTCAACTGGTATTTGAGGAATCAAACATTACATTTTTATGAAAAATCGTGGCCATTTTGAAATGAACTACCACATTGAAAATGCCTCCTAATTTAGCAGAGAATTAGTTTATCAAGTTTGAACCAAATTCCATCATCCAGTCCATAAATGGTATCAAGAATACCATTTTTATGGATTTCAACTGGTACTTGAGTAAAAGGCAGCCATTTTATATTGAGCAGCCATACTGAAAATTACTCCTTGATCAGAGGTCCTACTCCAATTTAAACTAAATCTGTCACTGGTGTTTGAGCTATCCCTAGGACAAATGAACGGAGGGATGAAGGCAATTGCAGAGGGAGTACTTCCCTATATCCCTATGAACTTGTTTGGTGAGATAATAAATAAATAGTTAGAACCACAATGGGCTTTAACAAATACAATCAATTGAAGCACTAGGAACTAGGATTGAAACGAGAACCAGTGTTTCCAAGAGAATGCTTATGCAACTGCCACATCTGACTAAATCTTGCATAAGATTTAAAATTGTAACTTACCAAACATGTTTCAGAACTGAAGCAAAAGGTGTCACTCCAATTCCTGCGGCTACACAGATGTCAACTTGATATTGGAACACGTCCTGTTAAAAAACATAAACATGTTAGAAGAGAGGGCTGCATAGTTGAATGTTTGTATGGTTGAATGGTAGTGTGGTTGAATGTTTGTATGGTTGAATGGTTGTATGGTTGAATGTTTGTATGGTTGAATGGTTGTATGGTTGAAAGTTTGTATGGTTCAATGGTTGTGTGGTTGAAAGTTTGTATGGTTGAATGGTTGTGTGGTTGAAACTTTGTATAGTTTAATGTTTGTATGATTGAATGGTCTAATTTCTGTACTATTGTGAATGGTAAAATACCCCCGTAATATTTCAGAGGATTCCCTTTCTAAAATCACATCTTTCGCTTGAAAAATGGAAATCAATAAGCTTTCTAAATGTACATACCTCACTAGCTGTACCAAATGGCCCATCCGCTGCTACTGCGGGAAGTTTCCACGCTTCTTGGAATTCCTTCTCATCTGCGTGGCACATCTTGGCCAGCGCATTCGTCCAGTCACCAACAGTACGAATATGCACACTAAAGTAGTCTTCTTCTGGTGACTATGGTAACAACAAAAAACACAAATTACTAGTATTTAATAAATATTAATTAATTAGACATTAATTTGCTAAAAAGACATTAACAAATAAAATTTGAACCGAATCCAGCAACTGGTAATTGTGTTATCAAAACCTATATTTCTATAAAATAGGATGGCCATTCAAAATGAACCAAATCTGATGATTGGTATTTGAGAAATCACCTTGACAAACAAAACAGATGGAAGAATAGCTTCCACATATCCCTAGGCCTTCTTTGAATTTTATTTGTTGGGATAATAAACATAATTTAAACACAGGGTTTACTTACAGATGTTAGAGTAAATGGGTGCCACTCTAGTCTAGAAATACTTGGGCAGTGTAAGAATATGTACTGTCCTGCCTCCATCTTGAAACCTTTCCTTTTCATTTGTAATTCAAGTACTTTTGATGGATGTTTCACAACCTAAACAAAAGATAAAATGTTCAAATTATATATACAGAATACATGTAAGTGTATGCATCTTATAGCATCAGGGACTGTGTCTGAAAATACCATGTTATCATTGATAATTTTGTTCAAAAGAATATTTTTAGGAACAAAACCTATAAAGAGAGTTGTTGAATCAGTAAGATTTATGGGTTGGGATTCCATAAACATAGTTTAAACATAATTTAATTATACCCAATACCTAAAAATTCAAAACCACAAAATCTGATTGTTTTACTTTTTGTCACAACTGCCATCTATACATTACCCTCGTCTATAAAACCATATGCAGACTTATTTGTAACAATGAAGTACATTTCATTTCTTACCTTTGTGATGACAATCTTCTGCTGACTTCTGTAGAAGCGTATACCTCTCTCAATCATATAGAACACCATGGGAACTATAACCCATTGCCAAGTCTGAAATATCAAGGCGTAACTTTGTAGAAAACAACTGTCATTATGTCATATTTCACTCATGTCACATTTCACCCATGTCATACTTCACCTATGTCATATTTCATTCATGTTATGTTTCATCAATGTTACATTTCACCAATGTCACATTTGACCAATGTCTTACCTTACCAATGTCACATTTCACCAATGTTATACTTTACCAATATGAAATTTCACAATGTCACAGAAGACAGATTTACAGAGCTAAATCTCCAGGCTAAATTTCAAAAAAAGACTAGGCATGTTGCATATAAAATCTAATGTATCCTGTTTTTGTTTTTTCAACCAAGAATTCTTTAGTATACAAAAATAGTGACTGCCATTGAGGGAAATAGTGCAAAATACTTTTTAACTATTTCCCGAAAATATGGCAGTCACTATTTGTTTTATTATATATCCCATATGTACTCTGTAAACAATAACAGAATGGGAAGTCTTTTCATTTCAACATTTAATGTCGACAGGTTCTTATTGGCATTTAAAGGTATTTTGCCTTTCAACTCCTATCATCTCAGATATCAGGGAAGATAAAACATACTAATGACTGGTCACATGACTTCACTGGTGATTAGTACATTCCATCTTCCCTGATGCCAGGGATTTAGAACTTTGCAGGGAATTAGTTTATCTATTTCATATCATGTGACCATGAATAAGCCAATGAGCATCTAGAATACATATGGGGTATATAATAAATAGAATTACTCAACCCATGTTATATTTGATAAGATCAACTAGACACTATATAGAAATAATACAGTACATGTATAGTGTTATTTGGGCTGAGCAAATCTGAATGGAACAAAATTTTGCTGATTAGGTGTTAAAAATGTGTGTGTGACGTGCAATGCAATAGCATTGTTTTTTACTATGGTGAACTATTCTTGTAACTTATATTGATTTGAATCTTGAATAAGTTTTCTTATAAAGAAAACAACCAAAATTAAGGCAATATCTGGGCCTGTTGACATCACTTACCTGGGCTGGCCCTCCAGCAAACTGAGGAACTGGACACTCTGGGTTAGTTGGTCCCCATTGTAGGTACTGCGTTGCACATAACACAGGGTCGTGTAGATCTATGTTGGTTTGACTTCTCACAACACCTCTGAAAGAAAAAAGGTGCTTATAGGTCAGTAAGTAACCATGAAAATTCTTAAGTGTTTCACCATGAAGGTGTTCCATTTACAAAGGTTGATTTAACATTATGTTTATTTCATCATTTGACAAGTGTTTCACATTTCAAATGAGTGCCATGAGGAGTTAAACTTGTATTCAATTTTGAACATTTGTGAAACCAGCTATGAAGCTACAACAGTTAGGTCCCTTATTTGTTTAATATTTATGACATACAGGGTGGTCAAAAAAATGGAAACCCTGCATTTTCCTTATATCTTTGTCACTTTAAAATATTACTCCCTGATATTTCAAACATTTGTAAATCATTCAATTTCATACCACCCTATCATATTTCATGACCATCAGACTGATAGTCAGAATTTTACAGCACTATGAATAACATGCTTCAGATTTGGCCATCATCGCACTGTAGGCAAAACAGCACAGTTGTCAATGACCCAAATGCATTCCTCAGCAGGTATGGCCTGAATGACACAAATGATCTCACTTTTGAGGTAAGCAACTGTTCTGAGGTCATTCTCATATACTCTACCTCTGCCGTATCCCCACAGGTAGGGACATTTTAGACGATGAATACAGGTTTCCTCACAACGCAATAGTGGCCACTGGGCATGTTCTTTAAAGTACTAAAAAATTGTGACTATCAATCTGATGGTCATGAAATAAAGTAGGCTGGTAGCAAATTGAATGATGTACAAAAGTGTAAAATATCAGGGAGTTATTTTTTAAAATGACAAAGATATGAGGAAAATGGTATTAGGGTTTCCTTTTTTTTACCACCCTGTAGTTCATGACAAGAATCTGCGCCTCTACTTACTGAACCCCATGGATGACAAGCCCAATAAAAAATACTGCAAATAAATGATGTGTGAACCAGAAAACCTCAAAGTAGGAACGTCTGAAAGTAAAAAAATATTGTAACATTTAAAGTATTTATAAAGAAATCAGATTTTTGCGGTTAAAATTAGTTCAAAATAACAGGCATCATTTTTGTAAAAATCAAAATATAACTTTTAATTTCAAAATCAACATTAAATATTGTTTAACCTGGTCCTTATAATTAACATAAATAAACAAATCATCTAAACTATATAAAACATAAAAATAATTGAACAAACCTTATTACTTCAGTTGATGATGTATAGATGACAATTAGAGACAATGTAATAATAACACCAGTGATCCCAGGTACAAACTTGAGCAGCTCTACTGTAGTGTTCTATTTAGAGAAACATTGAATATGTTAGTATGGGACACATATATGTACAGGGTAGAGGGGGACATTTACAACTCATGAACTATGGGGTAATGTAATAATGACACCAGTGATCCCAGGTACAAACTTGAGCAGCTCTACTGTAGTGTTCTATTAACAGAAACATTGAGTGTGTTAGTATGGGCCACATATATGTACAGGGTAGGGGGGGACATTTACAACTCAGGAACTATGGGGTAATGTAATAATGACACCAGTGATCCCAGGTACAAACTTGAGCAGCTCTACTATATTGTTCTATTAATAGAAACATTGAGTGTGTTAGTATGGGCCACATGTATGTGCAGGGTAGGGGGGGGGACATTTACAACTCATTAAATGTAATAATGACACCAGTTATCCCAGGTACAAACTTGAACAGCTCTACTGTAGTGTTCTATTAACAGAAACATTGAGTGTGTTAGTATGGGGCACATGTATGTACAGGGTAGGGGGGGGGCAATTACAACTCATTAACTATAGTGTAATGTTATAATGACACCAGTGATCCCAGGTACAAACTTGAGCAGCTCTACTGTAGTGTTCTATTAATAGAAACATTGAGTGTGTTAGTATAGGCCACATATATGTACAGGGTAGGGGGGGGGGGACATTTACAACTCATGAACTATGGGGTAATGTAATAATGACACCAGTGATCCCAGGTACAAACTTGAGCAGCTCTACTGTAGTGTTCTATTAATAGAAACATTGAGTGTGTTAGTATGGGCCACCATATGTGCAAGGTAAGGGGACATTTACAACTCATGAACTATGGGGTAATGTAATAATGACACCAGTGATCCCAGGTACAAACTTGAGCAGCTCTACTGTAGTGTTCTATTAATAGAAACATTGAGTGTGTTAGTATGGGCCACATATATATGTGCAAGGTAGGGGGGGGGGCATTTACAACTCATGAACTATGGGGTAATGTAATAATGACACCAGTGATCCCAGGTACAAACTTGAGCAGCTCTACTGTAGTGTTCTACTAATAGAAACATTGAGTGTGTTAGTATGGGCACATATATGTGCAAGGGGGACATTTACAACTCATAAACTATAGTGTAATGTTATAATAACACCAGCGATCCAAGGTACAAACTTGAGCAGCTCTACTGTAGTGTTCTATTAATAGAAACATTGAGTGTGTTAGTATGGGCCACATATATGTACAGGGTAGGGGGGGGGGGCATTTACAACTCATGAACTATGGGGTAATGTAATAATAACACCAAGGTACAAACTTGAGCAGCTCTACTGTAGTGTTCCATTAATAGAAACATTGAGTGTGTTAGTATGGGCCACATATGTCAAATATTAGTCAAATGACCCAGATAAGTCACATGACCCAGATAAGTCACTTGACCCAGATGAGTCACATGACCCAGATGAGTCACATGACCCAGATGAGTCACATGACCCAGATGAGTCACATGACCCAGATAAGTGACATGACCCAGATTAGTCACATGACCCAAACTAGTCAAATGACCCAGATAAGTCACATGACCCAGATAATTCATTTGACCCAGATTAGTCGCATGACCCAGATAAGTCCCATGACCCAGATTAGTTCCATGAACCAGATAAGTCCCATGACCCAGATTAGTCACATGACCCAGATTAGTACATGACCCAGATTAATCACATGACCTACCTTATCAGTTCAGTAGCAGATGAGTAAATGATAATCAGTGAAAGTGTTATCATGACACCTGTTACCCCGGCAACAATTTTCAACATCTCAAGTATGGTGTGCTTTGAAAATAAATAATTCAAAGTGATCATGTGATGAGTATATGTTGTGAAGTTCTTTCTAGGATTTTTATGCCTTTCCGTATTCTCAGATGGTGCAAATACACTTCAACTTGGTGCAAATGCACTTCAACTGGGTGCAAGTGCACTTCAACTGGGTACAAGTGCACTTTGACATGGTACAAATGCATTTCAAATTGGTGTAAAGAAACTGCTTCAATACTAGGAAAACAAGCCCAATGGATGCCACTCATAAACATCACTCTCTAACATAAATACAACATTGTAAATTAAAGAAGAAAAACTTCCAGTAATCATTTCAAAAGGTTCCTCCAAGAGATGGAAAATATAAATGGTTGCAATACGAATTTGAATGCAGCGATTTGATATATTAAATATAAGCACTATACTTGTTTAAACATTTAAATCATTTTGGTGTACTGAGGATGAGAAAAAATATTCCAGTAAAGGGTTCCACCTATTGTATTGGATACAATGGCATTTGTACAGTTTTACTGCAAAAGTTGAGTAATCTCCTTTTTTTAATTTGCCATGAACGTCATCCATATTAAAGAAAACTCAAATGTGAACATCTACGATAAGAAACACTCTTGGCTGGTTCCAATGGTGTTCATATCAAACAGGGTTTACTGTATATTGGGAAATGCTGCAAACTGCAAGCGACCTTATTATTCAACCAATCTACCCAGGTTCTTTATTTCCCCCAAAAGATGGCAGGATTTAAAGGAGGGGTCTGTCTACAGAGCAGGAAATGTCCCAGAATTCATAGATAAGCCTCCATGTAAAATGGACCTCTAGAGGTTCAATTTTACATTGAGACAGATCCATCTATAATTTCTGGGGTATTTCCCTTTTAGCCTGTATGGCATATTCACTTACCGTATTTGGGTCTCTAATGGGGTTGAGCCAGGGGTCCTCTTGTGTACTTAAAGTGGAAAGTAATCCCCTGGTTTGGTTGTTTGGACTATCCCATGCCTGCATGAAGAACTCCAAGTTGAAGCAATGTGCAATGATATGTACAGCTGAAATGAATAATATGTACAGTTAAAATGAATAATATGTACAGTTGAAATGGATAATATGTACAGCTGGAATGGATAATATGTAAAACTGAAATGAATAATATGTACAGCTGAAATGGATAATATGTACAGCTGAAATTGATAATATGTACAGCTGGAAAGAATAAAATGTACAGCTGAAATGAATAATATGTACAGCTGAAATGGATAATATGTACAGCTGAAATGAATAAAATGTACAGCTGGAATGAATAATATGTACAGCTGAAATTGATAATATGCACAGCTGGAAAGAATAAAATGTACAGCTGAAATGAATAATATGTACAGCTAAAATGGATAATATGTACAGCTGAAATGAATAATATGTACAGTTGAATTGGATAATATATACAGCTGAAATGGATAATATGTACAGTTGAAATGAATAAAATGTACAGTTGAAATGGATAATATATACAGCTGAAATGGATAATATGTACAGCTGAAATGAATAAAATGTACAGCTTAAATGGATAATATATACAGCTGAAATGGGTAATATGTACAGCTGAAATGAACAATATGTACGTAACAGCTGAAATAGATAATATGTACAGCTAGAATAGATAACACCTGCTCATCTGAATATTTATGGCCTGTCCCAGAGGTGTTTTTACTCTACCTGTACATGGCCAAAGATAAATTATCCTAATTGGAAATTCACTCACTTTCAGGCCAGGAGAAATAATTTTGTTTTTCCTGCATTGGAAACCCAGTATCATTATTGGATTAACCCTCATGAGACTAGCATATATTTTATAAAACAATGAACCGTAAATGCAATATTCTTAATCTGTTTCATCTTTGTAATTATGCAGTGAGGTGCAGATCACAGGAGGGTGAGGATATTCAGTATAATGACTGTGATTTCAAAACTGATGTGCTTATGAATCTGATGTGATTACAATCAATGGAACAAGTACAACATCAAATCTGCTTGAACTAAACATAGTAATATTAATATTCACTCTTTTGTGAGATGTACTATGGCTAGTATTACTTTTTATGGTCATGGCTATAATTTCAAACAGAATTTATGCTCCCTTTGGAATCCATATGTGTCTGAGTTTACTTTATCAAAAATATTAAACAAGAGATTGAAAGAAAATAATGTCTGCCAATCCATAATTCAGAATCAGACAGTTTGGTGACAACAATAATAATTCTAATGTCTTTGAAATAGTTCAATGAAAGAATGTGCAGGCCCGTTGCCAGAACCCCCCCCCCCTCCCCAGCCCCTGGATACAGGCCTGATGTGTAACGCATATTCATAAGATTGTGCACAAGTTTGACATGCATTAAGTAATCATGCAAGTGAAGATATTGACAAATATTTTTTAAAGTTAGTGTCTATTTAAAAAACCTTGGCGAAATGATTGTGATGAAACACTGCGAGGGAAGTGAGTGCCAAAGGACGATTCTCGGTTTGGAGAACAGTCTCCTGGCCTAATAATTTTTTTCATGAAAAATATAGAAATATTACCCAAATTAAACTATGAATATTCAAAAGAGGACATTTACATCTACAAGATGTAAAAATAACAAATTGGTCTGAAGCAGGGATAATGCTCAATTAGACTGATTCAATAAAATACAAGTCTTGATTTTGGGGAAAGAAGTTCATCAGTGTACTGCGCTAATATTTTTTTGCGAAAAATCTAAAAATATTACCCAAATTAAATTATGACTATTCAAAAGAAAACATTCAAATCTATATTATGTAAAAAAATCAAATTTGTCCGAAACAGGGATAATGCTAATTTAGATTGAAGAACTTCGTTCTCCAAACCGAGAATCGTCCTTTTTCAGCCTTGAATTTCATGTAGCATTATTCCAAGAATTCAAAGCTGAATAGTATCATTTTGATGAACGTTAGACTGTTCTGAATAATAAATGTTAAACTAATACAGTATTCCTTTTAAAACATTATATCCAGGATGTCATGGATCCTTTTGAGATGTTACATTTGAGGTTGGTTCCATTTACCTGTATGAAAGATGATCATGTACGCCAACGCTTTGTGGAATGTAATATTCTTGTCCATTTGACGTCGTACATTTCTTCGGCAAATTATTCTACAGCACTGAAACAAATAGTAAAATAGTATATAAAAGAATTTGACGATTAGAAAGTCAATTTAGTCTAGGATGAGTAAAAGAAACGCTATATTTTCTTCATTTTAGTTTAAGTGAACACAAAATGATAAATAGGCTATTTTCTCACTTGGTCACTATTTTAATTTTTCAAGAGGGGCGGGGGTCTGGATTTATCAACCCGATTTAGGATATTATACTTCGCATCATGATGTTGGAACTAATTTCTTATTTCTAATTTCTTATATTATTTAAGACATGAGTAATGACCAAGAAAATATTATCTTTTCTTTTGACTGGTCAAACATTAGTACACCTATATTAACAAATCAAATATGCCTCAGGGGTTCTTATGTTTATATTGATAAATCCTAATAAGAAGATTTAAAAAATGATCCATCTTATCTTATTTAAGCCATAAATACATCAATGTAGTCGGATATGAACTTTTCATGTAATATACAGAGATATAAAGTAGAAATTAGAAGGGTAAGCAAAGAAAAAATTATGACAAATAGTCTAAAAACAATATTTCATTTAGACACACATGTACTGTCACCCCCCCCCCCCCACTTCTTAAGTTTGGCAACTGGCTATTTATGTATTTATATATATATCGTTTTCTGAACTAAGAAACAAAATTAGGATTCAATTAATGTCAGGCTTTGATATGCCACCAAAGGAATACTTCTAGTTGCCAAACGTATGTAGGGGAGTGTATGTACATGTATGTTAATATTATCACTTATGGAGGGGAGTGTATGTATGTTGATATCATCACTACACATTTAACTTCGCTGTTGCTTGACTTATAGGGTTAGGAGCGCATGTGTCATTTAAGGCTTCAACATACCTACATAATATTACAATACTGTACATGAAAATTGTCTTTCATAATAAAGTACATATTACTATTATCCCATATGCATGTTTCAAATGTTATTTTCAAGATCAAATCATGTTACATAACTAAATATCACATAAACTTGACAACCAGTGACTGACAATTGCATTTGATTTATTCAATTTGAATTTATAATAACCAGTGAGAGATAAAACATTTTCATAAATTGCATTTCAAATTATCTAAATATCAAAATATAGCTCTAACATCAAGACAGACATCAAAATCGTTTTTCTAAAATTATTTTACCTCTACAGAGTGTTATAAAACTATGAATAGAAGAAAAATGTTTAAAATGTTGGAACCTTTTGATAGATTATATAGATATTTGATGAATGGACAATATGCTTTATGATACAGCCTCAAGTAATGAAAATTAATTTATACTCGGTAAAACCTCTCTGATCGGAATACTACTTCAACACTCCAAAAGTGTTTGGATTGTCATTCTCATTGTATATGTCTGTTTATTCAATCAGGAAAAAGATTCATGAGAAACCCTGAACTTGTGAAGATGTAAAATTGTTCTTTCTCTCGAAATTGTATAAATTACTTAAAAAACATATTTTCACATCAAGATAATCACATTTACCTCTGAAGTAAACTGAAATTGCAAAGCTTAGAATGATTTGAAAGGTCATTTTCTCCATAAATATGTTTTTAACTGAGAAAAACTAGGATAGAATTGATCAAATTCAATCAAAATTATGTTTTCAATTGTTTTAGAGAGTGACCAGATCAGCTTGACCTTGGAATTTTAATACAGGCCATCAATTTCACTCCCAAATATGGAAAGTGTAAAAATAGAGATGTCAATCAAATATTGAACTGTATGGAACAGAAGGCTAATATTTAGATGTGATCTTGAATCACCTATGACAAAGGCTAAGACTGGTGATTAACAGCCTTTCAACGCAGGATTTAGGTTACTTTGTAGTCCTAACGTTTGAAACTGAAATACTGATTTCAGCGGCTATTCTTTCAATCTACGAATGTTCCTAACATCAGTAGGGAGAAACTATGGAAGACTTCAGCTGCCTCTGTGCAGATCAAGACTTCTTTTTATCTGTGAGGTGGAAGTTTTCTACATGAAATTAAAATGGCGGGTTTAACGGAGAAGAACAATCGTCCAGAGATTTCCGAATGATGCCAATAAACAAGCTAGCATCAGCCCTGGAGTCTGCATTTCTCACTCCAAGTTTGAATCACAAGTTTTGTTATTTTTTTCTAACAAAATAATTCAGAGGTGATCACCATATTAATTGAATTAAATTAGTGGCCATGTATGGTCACAGACGATAATGACACTAGCTTTATTGACATCGTTCGTAATCTCTGCACAATTTGTTCTTCTCCGCTAAAATCTGCCATTTTAATTGTTGTAAAAAAGTTTCGCCTCGGGCGATAAAAAGAGTCTGAGTCTGGAGTCTTCCATAGTTTCACCATTGAGGCCATTGATGTTAGGAACATTCATAGATATGAAGTAAGTCCCTGAATTCAGTATTTCATTTTCAGACGTTACGAATACAAAATGACCTATATCCTACGTTGAAAGGCTGTATATCAAAATCAGTACAGTCTTCGAAATAGGTAACTCTTGAGTTTTTAGTTCTATAGCAATCAACATGATCCTGAAAATACATTCATTAGTACCCCGGACAGGTTGTATGATGCAGTCGTTTTTTTACTCTATATTTGCAATAGAACAACCATTCTTATTGAAATTTTCATATTTTATTCTGGAGACAATTTCCAACATGGAAAAAAAATATTTTAACAAAATTCTTAATTTTATGATTTTGATAGGCTTTATTCAAAAACACTCCACTGTCAATAAAATACAGGGTTTGCTTGAACAATTAAACTTTAACGTCATTTCAAAGATTGTCTAGCTATTGAATTTTTGACAACCTAAAGTCTTTCCAGATGTATTTGAGGCCATATTAATTATTGCTGATTATTGTTATTCATTTTTTGTCATATTCAATAGGCCTAATATTATTACAGTGCTTTAGACCAATGAAAAACTTGTCACTCAGGGTCACTTTTTCTCTGAAAACGCACCTTTTTCTCCACTGGATTTTTCCGCCACTGTCACTCAGCATGCAAGCCTGTGGCACGTAAATTGTACCATGCTTTTAAAATGTCAGGTCTCCCTGACAATTTCATGATAAAATTTGACACAGCTGTATTAACATCTCTGAAGGATCTAATGCCAAGAATACTTCAAATAGGAGATTCGTAATGTTTTACTTCATTTTGGACAGTATTGAACAGTGACCGGGTTGAACTCATGTCCGTGGACAAGAAGACTGACCTCCTCTATCTGGGCTCAATCTAGGGAACACTTCACAAAACGAGACCCAGAGCAACAAGTTTTTATTGGCCTAATGCACCGTAATTATATTGAATATGACTCAAGTGAATAAAAATAATCAGCCATAATTATTAATATGACAACAGATATATCTGGAAAGACTTTGGGCGGCCAGAAATTCAATAGCCAGACAATATTTGAAATGACGTTAAAAGTTCAATTGTTCAAGCAAAAACCTGTATTTTATTGACAGTGTAGTGTTTTTGAAAAAAGCCCGTCAAAATCATAAAATTGGAAATTTTTATAAAATATTTATTTTCCATGTTGGAAATTGTCTCTAGAATAAATCTTGAAAATTTCAATAAGAATGGTTGTTCTATTGCAAATATAGAGTAAAAAAATGACTGCATCATACAACCTGTCCGGGGTACTATGTTAATATCTTCAAAAGATAAATATGTGCAAAAGCAAGTTGGAAGTTTTATTACAAAATCATTCAAAAACTTAAACTTGCCTGGAGATTAACATTTTGAATGCATCACACCTAAAGTATATTATAACATATGTAAATAACAAGTTTTTTGTATAAATTGTATATATTAGTGTAGTGTAGTGTAGTTTTGTGAAATTTCATTTTGTAATGACTAATATGTCAGGTCATGACATCTAAAGAGTCAATAAAAGATATATATATATAAATTGAATTTGTTTGCATTAAAGAACTATTTGACGATTGTATTCAGGTCGGCGTGACATATTTGCAATGAAATATTTCAATTCATTATCTATTTTTACCACAATGAAAGAATTTCCTCAATAAATTGATACAAAGTTAGAGTTAGATTCATAGATGATTGATTGAAAGGTTGATTCAAGAATTTGTAAAGTTGATTTATTGAAAGGATGAGGGGTTGAAACGATGATTGGTTGAAATGATACTATCAGTTGTCACACGTTTCAGCATGTGATACAGGAAATATTCCTCGATAGGTAATACTCTCATCCACAAAAGCGAAGCTTGAGTGGTGATACATTGTTACCCGAGTGGAATGTTTCCTTATCACACACGCTGATATTTGTGATGACGATTTTATCACAAATGTCTGGGAAATATGAAGCATTTTGATTTTGTCATTATGATTGTGATCAGTACTCCCAGAAACTACAGTATTATAATTTTGTGTGTTTTGAAATTTCGCTTTGAAATAATTTGACGTTGTTCCATTGTATTCGTACTCTTGCTTGTGAAATAATATGACATCATACTGTTTTCTTTAAAAATATGAAACATCATAAGTGGTTGCCTCTAGTAACCTGTGAGACGGCTGTGTGAGATGGGAACCAACCATTCAGATTACTGGAATTTCACATAGTATGTGATAAAATATGGTATTACATTTCTCCATTTACACTCAACATCTAAACTGTTCTTTACATTACAGGAGCCTCTGATGAATGAGAGGAGGTTCCTACACACTGGGAACAAGATCAGCATACAGTTAAGGATGAGACACACTGCGGATCTTACACTCAACACCTAAACAGTTACTTACATTACAGGAGCCTCTAATGAATGAGAGGAGGTTCCTACACACTGGGAACAAGATCAGCATACAGTTAAGGTTAATACACGCTGCAGATCTTACACTCAACACCTAAACTGTTACTTACATTACAGGAACCTCTAATGAATGAGAGGAGGTTCCTACACACTGGGAACAAGATCAGCATACAGTTAAGGTTGAGACACACTGCGGATCTTACACTCAACACCTAAACAGTTACTTACATTACAGGAGCCTCTAATGAATGAGAGGAGATTCCTACACACTGGGAACAAGATCAGCATACAGTTAAGGTTAATACACGCTGCAGATCTTACACTCAACACCTAAACTGTTACTTACATTACAGGAACCTCTAATGAATGAGAGGAGGTTCCTACACACTGGGAACAAGATCAGCATACAGTTAAGGTTGAGACACGCTGCGGATCTTACACTCAACTCCTAAACAGTTACTTACATTACAGGAGCCTCTAATGAATGAGAGGAGGTTCCTACACACTGGGAACAAGATCAGCATATAGTTAAGGTTGAGACACACTGCGGATCCTACACTCAACACCTAAACAGTTACTTACATTACAGGAGCCTCTAATGAATGAGAGGAGGTTCCTACACACTGGGAACAAGATCAGCATATAGTTAAGGTTGAGACACACTGCGGATCCTACACTCAACACCTAAACAGTTACTTACATTACAGGAGCCTCTAATGAATGAGAGGAGGTTCCTACACACTGGGAACAAGATCAGCATACAGTTAAGGTTAAGACACGCTGCGGATCTTACACTCAACACCTAAACAGTTACTTACATTACAAGAGCCTCTAATGAATGAGAGGAGGTTCCTACACACTGGGAACAAGATCAGCATACAGTTAAGGTTGAGACACGCTGCAGATCTTACACTCAACACCTAAACAGTAACTTACATTGTAGGAGCCTCTATTGAATGAGAGGAGATTCCTACACACTGGGAACAAGATCAGCATACAGTTAAGGTTGAGACACGCTGCAGATCTTACACTCAAAACCTAAACAGTTACTTACATTACAGGAGCCTCTAATGAATGAGAGGAGGTTCCTACATACTGGGAACAAGATCAGCATACAGTTATGGTTAAGACACGCTGCGGATCTTACACTCAACACCTAAACAGTTACTTACATTGTAGGAGCCTCTATTGAATGAGAGGAGATTCCTACACACTGGGAACAAGATCAGCATACAGTTAAGGTTGAGACACGCTGCAGATCTTACACTCAAAACCTAAACAGTTACTTACATTACAGGAGCCTCTAATGAATGAGAGGAGGTTCCTACATACTGGGAACAAGATCAGCATACAGTTATGGTTAAGACACGCTGCGGATCTTACACTCAACACCTCAACTGTTACTTACATTACAGGAGCCTCTGATGAATGAGAGGAGGTTCCTACACACTGGGAACAAGATCAGCATACAGTTAAGGTTGAGACACGCTGCGGATCTTACACTCAACACCTAAACAGTTACTTACATTACAGGAGCCGCTAATAAATGAGAGGAGGTTCCTACACACTGGGAACAAGATCAGCATACAGTTAAGGTTGAGACATGCTGCGGATCTTACACTCAACTCTTAAACAGTTACTTACATTACAGGAGCCTCTGATGAATGAGAGGAGGTTCCTACACACTGGGAACAAGATCAGCATACAGTTAAGGTTGAGACACGCTGCGGATCTTACACTCAACACCTAAACAGTTACTTACATTACAGGAGCCTCTGATGAATGAGAGGAGGTTCCTACACACTGAGAACAAGATCAGCATACAGTTAAGGTTGAGACACGCTGCAGATCTTACACTCAACTCCTAAACAGTTACTTACATTACAGGAGCCTCTGATGAATGAGAGGAGGTTCCTACACACTGGGAACAAGATCAGCATACAGTTAAGGTTGAGACACACTGCGGATCCTACACTCAACACCTAAACAGTTACTTACATTACAGGAGCCTCTAATGAATGAGAGGAGGTTCCTACACACTGGGAACAAGATCAGCATACAGTTAAGGTTAAGACACGCTGCGGATCTTACACTCAACACCTAAACAGTTACTTACATTACAAGAGCCTCTAATGAATGAGAGGAGGTTCCTACACACTGGGAACAAGATCAGCATACAGTTAAGGTTGAGACACGCTGCAGATCTTACACTCAACACCTAAACAGTTACTTACATTGTAGGAGCCTCTATTGAATGAGAGGAGATTCCTACACACTGGGAACAAGATCAGCATACAGTTAAGGTTGAGACACGCTGCAGATCTTACACTCAAAACCTAAACAGTTACTTACATTACAGGAGCCTCTAATGAATGAGAGGAGGTTCCTACATACTGGGAACAAGATCAGCATACAGTTATGGTTAAGACACGCTGCGGATCTTACACTCAACACCTCAACTGTTACTTACATTACAGGAGCCTCTAATGAATGAGAGGAGATTCCTACACACTGGGAACAAGATCAGCATACAGTTAAGGTTGAGACACGCTGCAGATCTTACACTCAACACCTAAACTGTTACTTACATTACAGGAACCTCTAATGAATGAGAGGAGGTTCCTACACACTGGGAACAAGATCAGCATACAGTTAAGGTTGAGACACACTGCGGATCTTACACTCAACTCCTAAACAGTTACTTACATTACAGGAGCCTCTAATGAATGAGAGGAGGTTCCTACACACTGAGAACAAGATCAGCATACAGTTAAGGTTGAGACACGCTGCAGATCTTACACTCAACTCCTAAACAGTTACTTACATTACAGGAGCCTCTAATGAATGAGAGGAGGTTCCTACACACTGGGAACAAGATCAGCATACAGTTAAGGTTGAGACACGCTGCAGATCTTACACTCAACTCCTAAACAGTTACTTACATTACAGGAGCCTCTAATGAATGAGAGGAGGTTCCTACACACTGGGAACAAGATCAGCATACAGTTAAGGTTGAGACACGCTGCTGATCTTACACTCAACACCTAAACTGTTACTTACATTACAGGAGCCTCTAATGAATGAGAGGAGGTTCCTACATACTGGGAACAAGATCAGCATACAGTTATGGTTAAGACACGCTGCGGATCTTACACTCAACACCTAAACTGTTACTTACATTACAGGAGCCTCTGATGAATGAGAGGAGGTTCCTACACACTGGGAACAAGATCAGCATACAGTTAAGGTTAATACACGCTGCAGATCTTACACTCAACACCTAAACAGTTACTTACATTACAGGAGCCTCTAATGAATGAGAGGAGGTTCCTACATACTGGGAACAACATCAGCGTACAGTTATGGTTAAGACACGCTGCGGATCTTACACTCAACACCTAAACAGTTACTTACATTACAAGAGCCTCTAATGAATGAGAGGAGGTTCCTACACACTGGGAACAAGATCAGCATACAGTTAAGGTTAAGACACGCTGCAGATCTTACACTCAACTCCTTAACAGTTACTTACATTACAGGAGCCTCTAATGAATGAAAGGAGGTTCCTACATACTGGGAACAACATCAGCATACAGTTATGGTTAAGACACGCTGTGGATCTTACACTCAACACCTAAACAGTTACTTACATTACAGGAGCCTCTAATGAATGAGAGGAGGTTCCTACACACTGGGAACAAGATCAGCATACAGTTAAGGTTAAGACACGCTGCAGATCCTCGCGCAAATGGCAGGGCCAGCTGAAATATGAGAAAATTCACTTTACACTTCAGCGGGTATTGGCTCTGGAAAGACAGCCCATGGTGCAATCAATTAAGTAAAGCCAGTGCAAGTGGAAGCTACCAAGTGGAAGATCTTGGCTACATGAAAATAATGGAAGGTGTTCTGCTTAGAGAGGTCCATTTTACAAGTTGTATATCAAAGTAATGGGTGACAGTTTCAAGTGTTCCACTGATGGAGGTGTTCCACTTTACACGTTTTGTTATGCAAATATGGTATACTCCATCCAACTTTAATTTTTTACATAAATTACAAGTCATTTTAATAATTTATACCTTATATCATTTCACTAATCTAACTTGTGGATATATGTGCAAATGTACATGAGCTAAATTTTACTGTCCCCTAGTATCCCTCGTTTGTATTTCATTCAAAATTTAAAAAAACTAGCTATCCATGACCAATGTAAAATACATCAGGCAAGTATGAGTTTCTAATATAAATAATGACCTACCCCTAATATTTGATTGAGGTAGTAATACTGTGCTCCATTGTAGAACTTTAGAAAGAAACCAGTGAAAACTCCAATATTTGTTCCAAACCAGATAAACTGAAATAAAAAACATAAAATATTTTATATTTTAAGGTGCATTTTCTGGAATAAATTCGTTGTATCTATTACATCCCATAGTTGATGTTTCATCTAAATCCTGTAGATGTTTTGCATGACCTAGCTATATGAATTGAATATTACAATGTACACATTGGCATTTTGAAAAGGTAATATCATACAGTTGCAGACCTCTCTTGAGGTCAACTGGCAAATTTGTATACCAATACTGGAATCCTTGAAATAAACATTGAAAAGGACCTGAGGTTGAGTTCAACAGTACTTACAAGGTTTACATTTGAGGTATACTTTGACAGTTGACAGAATAGAAAGATTAACAATTGTTTTGTTAGTTCGAAGAATATTAACCTGGTAAACATTATTGATTCTGCAAAACGATTTTTAACTTTTTTATAAATTTATTCAGACAACATTAGGCTAACATTCCTTTCATATATATTCAAACTCTTATAAAAATCAATGCAAGATAAGCTATTAAGTAAATAACCCAGTTAGTAGTACCCCCCCCCCCTCCCTGTTACAGATTGTCATCAATTGATAGACTTAAAGCAATTATTCAAGTATACTACAGATATGATTTGGGCCTCATGCATTAAATAATTAAATAAGCAAGTCAAAAACACCAAGTTGACATTTCATTTGTCTCTTTTAAAGTAGAAATTTTCAAAAGGACGATTCTCGGTTTGGAGAACAGTCTCCTGGGCTAATAATTTTTTTCATGAAAAATATAAAAATATTACCCAAATTAAACTATGAATATTCAAAAGAGGACATTTAAATCTACAAGATGTAAAAATAACAAATTGGTCTGAAGCAGGGATAACGCTCAATTAGAGCGATTCAATAAAATACAAGTCTCGATTTGGGGAAAAAAGTTCATCAGTGTACTGCGCTAATATTTTTTTGCGAAAAATCTAGAAATATTACCCAAATTAAATTATGACTATTCAAAAGAAGACATTCAAATCTATATTATGTAAAAAAATCAAATTTGTCCGAAGCAGGGATAATGCTCATTTAGATTGATGAACTTCGTTCTCCAAACCGAGAATCGTCCTTTGAACAAATATTTGAAGATAACAATTTTCAATGTGGCAAATACAGGAAATATTAACAAAATTCAATTTATCAGATGTGAGCCATAAATCCAATTAAAGCAATAGCTAATTGAACTAATGTTATGAGGTGAATGTACTAATAAACTGAGATTATCAGTTAAACGATAAACAATACTTCACATTGAAGATAGCATAATGTCAAATTCAAATAATCAACAATATTTGAGGATTGCTGGGTCAAAACTATGGGATAAGATACCCTTTTCCAATAGCTATTTGATTTTACTTTCAAAGAGAGTTTTATCTATATTCTTTCAGTTACGGAAAATCCTTTGATCAAGTCCTAACCAATCAGTATAATTATAAGAACGTCAGGTCAGTCGGCCTGGCCAAAAATTCTGCAGTTTAATACCATTTTGAACATTTTCCAAGTGATTCTGGGGTCATTTAGATGTAATCAACATTGAAACTCATTACTCTTACTCAGAGTAGAATACTGGACTCTAACACTCAGGGTAGGGAGTAACAGGAGTGTGTCCAAACATGGGTGCCTGAGTCATTGTCATGACTTTCCAATATTTGTTGTTTGGTGATTACAAGAGTTTAACCTAATAAATTACAGTGAGTCACGCCCTTTAAACAAAAATTCAATTTAGCTCAATTTTTGAAATACAATTTAACATTTAAATTCCCCAAGTCATTTAATCAATAATTCAACCATTGGTATTATAAGTATCTTTGTTATACTTGGTTTCACTTTTTGATATTAGTGTTAAAAGTATCTACTTTCCATCCATGGTCATTGGTCAATGGTAGTAAATGGTTTGATTCTCAATCCAATAGCCCCAAAACAATTTAATTTATAATGTTTTAGACTTTTTTAGTTGTATCAGATTGACAATCTAGAATCTATGCTCCATTTTGTCCTTGATGCCATAATGTGACTATATGCACATAAAACTAAAAGCTTTCATGGTACATATTTGATTGATTATCATTCATCACACATTCTTATGAACAAATAAAACAGATTTGCACTGTAGGCTGAGAATTTAGAACAAGTGGAATGGAAACCATATTTCCCTTTGCATGATTTGAGGTGTATTGAGAATTTTATTTTACCATAATTGTGATCTACCAAAAATTCCTTCAAATTGAGTATAACTTTGAAGAGGATATGAAATTATTGCAGAATCCTAAATTGGGCAGCGATTTTGAATTTTCTGAGACCTGAATCGGAAGAATATTCTGAATTACCTTTCATTTAAGCATAATAAAGCTATTCCTCAGAGATTGAAAATTCTTGTTTTCACTACCCCTCCACAGATCCTAGGAGGCGTGCTCGAGGAGCCATGCCAAAGACAGAATATGTCGAATATGTCGAATATGTCAATATTAAAACATTGAAAACCTTTATTTAGTGTTTCATTTTAGATGCATCCTGCTTACAGATGTTATGTTCAACTAACTGAGGTGTTCCACTTTACATTTAGTTTTATTTTAAATAACTTTTAAATGGCAGTAACAAATCAATGAACTAATAAGCTGTTACTTTTCATATGCCATAAGAAAAAGAAATGAGCCATAGTTTACTGTTCAACTGAGAATTATCTCTTCAACATACTTTTATCTCACATAAAACTTTTTGATGATCTGTGCTTAAAATATTCTGAACTGCCATTTCATTTCTGCTTGAGATCCGTAAATGTCGTTCGACCAATGCGTGATGATGATACATGTATTGTGTGAAATATATCAATTATCCACCCGTGTAGCTCAGCGGTAGCGCAGGTACCTCTTACGCAATAGGTCCCGGATTCGATCCCCGGTTCAGGCAAGACTAAAATTGCTTGTTTGCGTGAAGTACTTCAGGGTGTTTGGCTGAGTGGTCCGCAACTCGTACAAAAGGCTGTGGTGTGTACTTGTATGTCTATGTATAAGTGCACATAAAAGAACACAGTGCTCCTTCAAGGAGGGGTTTCTGGGTCTATCTTCCGTGTTAGTTACGTAAATTACGACCGTATATATACGGGACATACCCAAAAGGTATTGCTCACCTTCATTGGTGGTAAACAAAATACAACACAAAATACAATAATATACACAAACAAATGAGTATTATCTAGTCTGTATATGAAGACAGCTTAATTTTTTAATTCTGTATTCCCTCTGAAAGAGACCGTACTTTCAAGATGGTAACAACCATGACTTCCATTTAATGACTACTTTCAAGATGGTAACAACCATGACTTCAATTTAATGACTACTACCAGGTGAGACTGGATGACTTATAAGAATAGACTATTGGACTGCTGGAGAAAGTACCAGATGACTACCAAGAAAGTTTGGGAAGAAATGTCGACTAACACTAGGGATGTTTGGTGGAGATAACTCTGCCAACGGGCACTGCATGCGAAGGAAATTTATTATCTGAGATGTCTGGTACGCCTGTGGTATCTGCATGAAAGATTTCTACTAGATTACAGCATGCAATGGATACTATCAAAGTTCCATGTTAGACAGAGGAAAATTTAACCCCACAATGGCCCACATGCTGTAAGCTTAAAAGTGATAGTAGAGGGTCATATATGGACACAATGTACAACTCTGCTTGTAGACTATTGGGGTACTCCTCGTAACAACTGCTCCAGTTTAATCCTTGAAAGTAGGAGGAGTGAGACTGCTGATAAAGCATATCAGTAGCCTATGATGTTTTGAACAACTAAGATAATAATGACCATAGGCGTCAAAGGGGTATGTTAGGTACGAATGCATCCCCTTTTTAAACTGCCAAGGAAATTTTTGACAAGATTCTTGTGAAATGATAAAAATGCTGTTTTATCAGATAAAAACCAATAAAACTCCTTAAACAATGCTCAGAATGCAACAAATAACATCTTTGAAAAATTTCCCTAGGGAGCTCACCCAGGATACCTGTAGCATATTATCGAAGTTAAATTGGTTGCAATCAATCTTGAATGCAGAATATGTGATGCATGGCTGCATTGTAAGTTGAATTCAATAACGGCTACGAGAAAATCAGAATAATAAAGAAAGCCGTATACGGAGTTTAAACTTGTTGAACTACAGCCAGTGCAGTGATTTTACTATATGTGCACATAGCCATCTTTTAGATAGATGGCTATGCAAACCTCGTTATTCCCAGTCCTTTCTAAAGGTCTTTTGTAAAAATGTAAGAAATCTTTGAAACATTTACCCTACATGTACTTCAATCGATGCATAACATTCTAAAGTATCATTTTTCTAACCATATCTGGCTAACTGGAGTCGGGAGATAGTGTAATTGGCGAAAAATTATGAAGATTTGATAATATTTTCAAGATGGCTTCTCAGGAAGTTGGGTAATGCGCGTGCACCTCCATGCCATGACATTTCGGCTTCCGGTTATATGCATGCGCATTGGCAAGACTTCCTGGTCAGACAACATGGAAAATAACAAGTTCCAAATACATTTTTCGTCAATTAAACTGTCTCCCGACTCCATATAGCCCGATATGGTTAGAAAACGATACTTTATGATGTTATAGATTGATTGAAGTAGTGTAAGTGTTCCCACGATTTCTTACATTTTTGTAAAAGACCTTTAACATGGACTGGGTATATCAAGATATGAAAAGCTATCTCTCAGGAGATAGCTTTGTGCAAACTAAGTAACAGTGATTCACTTTTACTGTCACGACTGTCTGTGTGAAAAAGTTGAAAAAAAGTTTTCAAATATTTTACTTACCAAAAAAGCCCATTTCGGCCCCTCGTTTAGCATCCAATCACCCATCTTTCTTGAGATTTTTACTTCAACTGTCTTCCCAGGTACACATTTTAACACATTTTACACGATTTATGTATTTATAAGCTAAAATCGGATCAGATTTTGTTCCGCAAGAAAAGATTCAAAAGACTGATTTCTGGTACAGATTGACGTAAAAGTTTTAGTAAAGGATAGACAACCAATAAAACGTTAGAGTTTATTCAGTCCGAACAGGTGCTATAGGCGGAAGTTGTGATTTCTAGAAACATTTCCAACGATCCTGAAGACTTTATCACATAATTCTGGACTTAAGACAGTTCGTATTGTGTTTTTAATCAAACTCTATCGTCGTACCAAGTAATGGAATGATTACTGATACAGATGTTTTAATTTTAATTTAGTAGTAGCACACTAGCCTAGGCTAGAGTCCATTTCAATGGTTCATTTCGTCAGTAGAACGGCAAAAATAAGAAATTGGGAGACCATTGTGCAATAATATATGGAAAAGTATATTCATAATGTACATGAATGACATTTGTATATCTTGGATTGCTTCTAGTTTGGCTTATAAAGTGTGTGGCCTCTTATATTTGGATGTTTCTCTGCTGTGTTATTTAAAGATTCTCGCAATCTTTATCCAATCAGCGTTTGCGAGTGTGTCGGCTCACGTATAAAAGGCGAATCCAACTCAAATCCATGCAGGGGTGTATGAGGTACTCGAATATGAAAGAGTTCGTGAAATCTGAATTTATATGCACATGGTCAATGTTTACACATGTTTGGAGTTATTGAAGAAAATGTGATATGGGTGTGGTTCCGGATTTGAAGTCATTGCTGGAAAATATGATTTTAATACATGAAATTATATCTATAAATACAGTACTAAAAATAACAGTACACTATATACATGTATGATTGTGTCCAGAAATGTTTGAAACCCTTACGGAAAATTCTGTCTACATTTTGTCACCATTGCTCTTTCTTCCCGCATTCTAGTGCTGTTTGAATGAATATATTAATTAATGTATTTCTAACTAAAATATATCACTTTTTTTATAAACCAAAAACATTTAGATCATAAAAAATTATTCAATACTTGAGTGAGCACGATATGCAAGGGTTACTAAGTTGACACAGTAAATGACCACTGATATTGTGTTAGTCCATGCACACAGCGTATTCTGCTAAGGCCATAAGAAGTAGATCCTCTGTTTTGCATCCCTTGCTGCACGATTTTGAGTAAATCAGAAAAAAACACATCCAAATAGCAATCACAAGGGTCTGAAAGTACCATCGCATTTCAGAATCAGATGAAATGGCGGATAATTTGATGTGCGTCAAAATTGACAGTGTTATAATTATTTGACATACATTGTGTTTTTTCTTATTTTTTACCCTTGAATAATAGCTATATTTTTATATATTGTATAAAATGTGTAGATATGTGTTTGTAATCACTGCAAATTGGGATGTCATCCTTTTTTATGCCCCTAAAATGTATATATTTCTCAGCAAACAAGTTTGTGTTTTTTTCTTGAGTTTGTGTTTGTTTTCCTTGTACCCTTGCATGATTTGGATTTTGCCAGGACGCAAAACAAAGAATCTACTTCTTATGGCCTAATATACATTTGCTAACACCCCCACTTTCATAGTGAAGTGACTAATTGGTTTATGTTTACATTTTAATGTGTTTTGGGTTCCTTGTTACAGCAAGGGGGGCCAGTAAAGTAGACTAACATGTTTGCATGGCAAATTTTGATCGAATATGTGAGACACTTTAAGATTAACATGGCTGAAATTCTTCAAAATCTGAAATATACTCTAGATCTATTATTTTTTTTGTTTACTCAACTCTGGCTAGATCTTAGTTCAACAAGTAAAACCTGGTCGTTATTGTTGTTGTCTAGTCTGGGCCTTATTTCTTATATGACATATCTTGTGGCCTATTCGGCCTTTGATGCAAAAAAATTTAATAGTGGCTGATGGCAGCACATAGCATGCACGTTTTATTAATAACTGATAGTAAGAATTTGCGACCAATGAAAGCATAGCACGGAAGTTAAACTCAACCTCATTTTACCACATTTGATTTTAAAATTTGTTCAAAAGTTAGGCCTAGTCTTACCCTTTGCATTTGTTCTACTTCGCTTCTTAAAGAGAGCTGAGTTTATAACTAGGCTCTGCGTGCAGGGTAGCTTAGCCTACATAATAAAAGTAACTAACAGTAACAAGAAAAAATATCATCACTTGTCGATCGATGCCAACATTGAAAATGTAATTATTTTCTGACATTAACTGACTGTAGATTCTTAATCAGCCATCCAAAAGATTTGAACTAATAACCTGATCTCTTCTTGTGTGTTTTTAATTTTTTGTCTGGAAATAAGACCAAAACTCGCAATTCAAATTCTGATGTGACAAAATGGCAGCCATTTGATTTCAAATTTTGTAATCACAACATTGAATCACACCGTTGAGTCGAAAATCGACCCTAAGATCTCTCTTATTGCAATTTCATTCAGAACTATACTCAGAGCTCACTTGAGGTTGGTAGAGTAGGTATCGAGAGTCAGTGTACTATAATTCTATTATTTGGGGGAATCCCCAAGATTATCCAAATTGGAATTAGGGTAAATTTTATCTGAAAATGAATCTACCTACTTAGATTAATTTTTTGATAAAAATTTATCCTAAAAATTGTTTGAATTTATCGAGGTTTGGATAAATTCTAAGATTAATCCCACAGTGTATCATTACCATGATAAAATTTATCCAGATCGGATTACGGATCATATGAATTCACAGGCCCTAGCTTATTTATTTTCCATTTGGAAATTTGGCAATGAAACTTATGGCATCCAAAAGCATTGTCAGAAAGCATCCAAAAAATTATTGCTGATTGAAATTATTAATTGATTTTTTTCCTATTTTCAGAGCATCATTGGAGTAAAAGAACAACTTAAAGATCAAAAGTTGATGTCCAATAACTTTCAAGAAATACAAAGATATATATAACATATGATGCATCATAACTTCTGAGAAATTCAACAGTCCATTTATATAACATACAGTATACCTAACTTTTGATTGGACAAGAGCTGTCACCAAAGACTATAATTATAATAAACATGCCAGATGACCTATACATTGCAGTTGTATGCTCCAGTAACCAGAACAGGAGTATGGAAGCTCATAATTTTTTGAACAAAAAGGGTTACAGGGTGAGGTCATTTGGATCAGGCAGCCATGTCAAACTCCCAGGTTCAGCAGCGGATAAGCCAAACATCTATGATTTCAATACGACATATGATGAAATGTACCGGGATTTAATTTCTAAAAATCCAGAACTTTATACACAAAATGGCATACTTCACATGCTTGATCGGAATCGTCGGATTAAACCACATCCTGAACGATTCCAAGGATGTAAAGAAAAATTTGATGTCATTATCACGTGTGAGGAGCGCGTTTATGATCAGGTTATAGAAGATTTTGATAGTCGAGAAAAGGGGACTGAAAAGGCGGTTCATGTACTCAATATAAACATTACTGATAATCACGAAGATGCTACGATTGGTGCGTTTATGATATGTGACCTTGTCGCTATGTTACAAGATACTGAAGATTTGGATGATGAAATTGATGAACAGTTGCAGGAATTTGAACATAAATGTGGCCGCGAATTGCTTCACATAGTGCAATTCTATTGATGTTTTCAGCTTTAGGCATGTTAAATATCAAATAAATTCTTTTCCACATTCAATGTGAAAGAAAGTGAATCTACCAGGAATTAAACAAAACTGAACTTTGCCTTGAGCATGATGCTTCACAAAATATTTTTTTAATAAATTTATTATATAAATATTAAACAACAGCCATGCAGTGCAACATCTGTCTCGCTTTCAAAATAAATATGTACACACACAATATGTAACTGTGGTATATCTGCTCATTATCGTTTCAACATCTTGAAAAATAGGGAGACCCTGAGCCTTGTATTATAGATTGTAAAACGCCATAACTTAAGGGTCACACAGGGGTGCCATACAATGCAAGTTATAAACACATGTAGCAATCCATATGCCAAAAGTATACAGTTATTCTCATTGAATCAGTATCAAACCATTGTTGTTCCTATTTGTTAAGAAGTACATGTAGTTTTGGTTTGGTATTTCCTGATGCGTGTCTCAATAATATTTGAATTTTAAAGTACAGTAAAGCCTGCACATGTGAACACCTTTGGTACTTGAAAAAAGTGTTCCACTGAGACAATGTCAGAGAAGTTCATTTTGTACCACTGTTTCAGGAAGTGTTCTACTCAAAAGTGGAAGTGTTCCACTTACAGAGATTCTCTACAAAAGTGGAAGTGTTCCACTTACAGAGATGGTCTACCAAAGTGGAAGTGTTCCACTTACAGAGATGTTCTACAAAGGTGGAAGTGTTCCACTTACATGGTGTTCTGATTTACAGGTTTCACTGTACATACATACAAGTCCTACTTATAGATGTCTCTTGATAATTGATTGTATGTTTGGTGTAAAATATTGTTAAAAACTGTTAAAATGTGTCATTTGTTTGTATATAAAATGGTAAATTAAAAATCAATAAAGTTGTATGTATATGTATGAATATTTTGACTCTTTTTGTTTATTCAGCCCTTCTCCTTCTCTTGTCAAAATGAAGCATTGTAACTCTTTAAAATTCAAATAATTTTCTTTATTGAAAAGTACACTTCCCTCAATTCAAAAAATCATATTCTGTCTTGGAAAGTACACTGTCTTCCCTCCATAAGTTTGGCAACCTGGATCAGAGCTCTTTACGGAGGTCAGTTGGAATGTGATCTGAATTCCTTCAAACAACAAACAAAATTAGGCAACAATTCATCATTGATTCATTACTTTGTTTTTCCCCAGTTTTGATGGTATCACCTACAGCTCAAACACCAATACTAGTAGTCACCAAGTAGATGAAAATATTTTCAAATAATTTCAAGGCCCCATGTAAAGTTCAAGCCAGTCTACCAATTGTTATCAAAATGTACTCTCAGACTTTTCATTTCAATGTTCACTGTTCAAAAAATCATGAATTTATTTTGAATAAAATGTTCAAAGTTACACATTTGTATAACAGACATCCAAACCTATTTTGTGTTGAAAAAAATAAGTAAAATTGGTTGAAAAAAAGCTTGCCTGATCTTTAGTGAAAATAATTTGTTTTACAGTGATTAGTTCCAGTGTGTCTTATCTCTGTCCAGCTACATATGGGTTTAAACATTTCTATTATGCACACTCTCAGAAATATTTGCATTGAAGGTGCCAGAACATGGGAATGGAGAGCAGTTAGATGAGCTCACACTTTGTTAGAAATTCACAATGTACAGGGGCGTAGCCAGTATCTCAAATTAGTCAAAGAAAAATAATAGGCAACGCATTCACACTTTTCTAAATTATTTCTGGTTTAGTCAGATTTTCCAAGATTTTGGCGAGGCTGTGCCAATGTCCCATGATATATAGGAGGCATTCAATAATAGGTTAGGAATTATTGTGAAGATATATTTGCCAGAGTTCACAAGGGTTGAAAACTGGATTGCCCACTAATATCAGCATTCAGTCCATTGCCCAATAGGCAATTTATTTTTCCCTTATTGCCTAAAGAAACCGACTGCCAGCGAGTTTAGGAGCATGACTCACATTTGACACCTACTTCTTGTGTTGGTCAATGCAGTAAAAATACTCATTTAACTAATTTAGCAATGTTGCTACAGTTTAGTTTGTCACAACCTTTTACTTTAATTTCACTAAAAAAATCAACATTTTCCACTAACAAGTCTCCATTTATCCACTCCCTTCAACTTCAGGTCTTCATCATTTTTCTGTGATTTTTCATTAGGTTTTCTTGTTTAATTAAGGCTAGGGCAAAAAATTACAAGTCAATTTCTAAGGTGAATTGAATATTTTTTTCAAATCTGAAATAAACATACATCAATGAATGAACATAAATAAATAAATGGGTTCATCATGTTTTTATTGTTATTTGTTCACAGTCAAATACATTCATTTAATCTATTGACAGCATATCATCTATCATTCAACGTCATACAATGACTGAAAGGTAGAGAAATGCGGAATAATGTCCATTGTAAAGAACATATTCACCTTCTAACTCATATTGCTTCAGTTATTTATCTTGAACAGGTGTCATATCACATGAAATTACTAAACAATCTAGTACATGAATTGTACATAACACTGACACAATGGGCACACTGGTCCCTACAGCAATTTAGCTATTTTCAGTAAAATTGACCAGCCGTGAATTCCTCTTCAATGGAAAAAAAGATATGCTAAAATGAAAAAAACTGGAGGTTTGTTCAGGATTGGGCTATTTGGAAGATCAATGAGGCACCAATAAACAGAAATTCAATTTTTAAAGGCCTTGTATTAAATGGGTAAACCATGCATAATCTTGAATCAGGCCAAGCAAAAAATATGAATTGACTGCTTAACTTGGAATATGTCCTACCTCCCCATTTGAAGAGTCATCATGATCAATCAGTGAGGGAGTAGTGAGTTAAAAGGGATTTCTTTGCTCCTTCAAGGCGACCCATATATCTTTGCCAGCAACTGAGAATTACCTCGAATGTTGTCCAATTTGCACAAGTTATGCTTTCTGTCAAGTCATTCATAATATTTGATATATCTCTCAAATGTGTTATGTGCCTCTTCAAATACATCGAACAAATTGCATCTCTATAACAGAGCATCTTTCTCGGGAAAAGCCAAGAATTCTGCGATTTGAAATACCCTGCTTGCATTGAATGTTGACCTTATTCCTCTTACACATTTGGAAGACTCAGGATGGGTGTAAGATACATTTTTGAGAAAAGGTCTGTTTAAAACAGAAATATTGTTAAACAGGATGGCACACTAAAATACAAACCCTCTCATTTTAGAATAACTCTGATGGAATCTCCTAATTTTGTATTCGTATAGTGCTCAATGCATATGAAATATATGAAGTATCATGTTAACTGTAATTGTGTTATCTTTGGTGCAATGAACATCATGAAGTAACTCGTCATTAGCCTAATGCTGTTTTTCCGAGTCAATCTAGTGACATCTCCCACAAGCAGTCAAGGTATTAATAGCACAGCCAATTACAATATGGAGGTTCTAAACTGTAAGCTAGACTTTCATTTTATGAGTGTTAGCAGATTTTCATTTGCCTCCACTTGTAATGAACCATGTTCAAGCTGTTTTCTTTGAAATTGAACTGAATATAACATGTGGAGTTTCTATTGCAATCACAGTTGGAATAATTTCATGATATAAGTTATATAAAAAGGTGAATGGTCTGTTATATGGGCCCATACAGGAAGAATGGTGTGTTATTAACTTATATGGGCCCATACTGGATGAATGGTGTGTTATTAACTTATCTGAGCCAATACTCAAAGTGGATGAATGGGGTGTTCATTTGTTATACAAGTCCATTTTCACCATAGGCAAAATGTCTGTTTTATTTAGTCCATATTCTAAGCATAGGTGAATTGTGTGTAATATATAAGGCAAGCCTACATTTCTCTTAAAGGCCCCATATAAAGTTTAAACCACTTTGGCTTATATTGTAGTCTTACCCAATGTTATGAAAGTGTGATATGTGAAACTTTTTTTTTTAATTTCAAAAAGTGGTTTTTGATAGACTTTTTGTTCCAAAATTTGTGAATTTATTTAAAACCAACTTTTAAAGGTCACTCATATCTTCTAATTAGCAACAATTCATACCAATGCATAGCATTCATACTCCCGTGTTTTTTGCCGAAAAAATTAAGAAAATCGGTTCATAAATAAGCGAGAAATGAACTTATCAGTGCATGAAAATGGTTCTGAGAAAAATGCATTTCAAAGTTTTAGTTCTCATAGAAACCAATGGTACAATGATATCTAAAACATAATTTATTCTTCCTTTTAACCTGGTTAGACAATCAACGCTGGTTTTTTATGAAAGTCTAGCATATTTAAAAAAGATTGACATCGAAAAAAAAATTTCAATTTTTTTCAAAAAGTTTTTGGTACCTTAGTGACATCACTAATGTTTCAAAATATTTTTGATATGCTAAAACATTGAAGTGGCCCATTAAATATGGCATTCTACTATTGAAATAGTGTGTCCTTTGTTCAACCTTTGCATTGGTGTTAAAAAGATAATCTTTTTTGAAATGCATTAAGAAATATTTGATGATTAAGAAATTTCAACTTTTTTTGAAAAATGGCGGGAAATTTGAATATTTGAGAAATGAAATGCTCACAACTTTTTTTTCAAAAATTTTTTTTTGTTCAAAAATCTCTAAAATCACTTTTTAAGTCCTGACAAATAGTAAATGAATGATAAAAAAATATTTTCAAACTTTAGACGGGGACTTTAAAACTAACACCTTTCTCATGCCAGTTATCGCACAAAGTTTGTATTTTTCAGACCTTCCTTGTAGGCAGCATTCCCCACAATGATATAACAGGCAACAATAAAACTACAAAAATGGCTGGAATCTATTTCAACACCCTCTCCATTAATCCATACAAAGGTGATTCAGTGTGCATGTACATTGTACTATGTTCTATGATAATGGTGATGAATTCTCCTTTTTATAACATTCATTCTAAATTATTCTATTTGCCGAATCGTTGTTCTATATTGCCGTAAGATTGCAGAGCTAGTAGAAAACTAGTGTAGGAAAACTTGTGGTGACTTGAAATGGACCTGGAAGAATAAAAAAAAATGACAGAGTATCTTATCATTTTCAGTGTTTTTATGAACAAGGCGAGAATAATACTAATATACATGTATAAAACCTGACATATGGATTGGCACATTTTAGCATTTTTAATCTTTTTAACATGGAAGTCAATGGCATATTAAATAAAAAATGGGACCAAAAAAATGTCTACATTGGGAGGTGTTCAGTTTAGAGAGGTATTTGGATATCCATGTATTTCTTACTTTTATCTAAACATTCAAGATAATAGTAATATTCAGCTGTGTTTGAAAAGTATGCATTTTATATTAGTTTAAAGTTTATTGATCAAGATAGGGGAATTCATAATTGGAGTAATCCGAAAATGAATAATATGGACATGATACAGAATCAATAGTCTCTGAATATGTATTATTAATTCAAGTGGTAGCCTTAATGACGAGCCATTTTAATAATGAGCAAACATTGAATAAACAAAGTACTAAGTATTTAACTTATGGAAACAATTTTTGCAAGAAATTTTGCACAAGATAAAGGAGACCATTTTGAATTTGAATGTGAATTTGGAAATCCCCTCTATATTTAGAGGATTATAAACCTGTGTCATAAGAGATGTTGGCAAAAAAAACATTTTAGCCACAAATGCATTTGAACAGATGGGTGGCCATTTTCAAAAAGGGTGGCCATTTTGAATTGAGTGACCATTTTGAAACTTTCCTCTTAAACATTGTGGTCTTACTACTAGCCACAAGGCGTCAACCTTCTCTATACTATTTAGGATCATAAGCTCACTTATATTTTCTCATTCTAAGGAGGTTTCACATTTTTATTTCACAGTATTTCACATTTTTTACTCAAATTATAATTTAAAGTATTTCTCATTTTATGCTTACAGTTTTTCACTTTTTATCTCAAAGTTTTTCATAATTTTACTCATGGTACCTTACATACCTAGCATAATAGTTCATATGTTAAATACTTACAATATTTCAGTAAGACGTAACTGCCAAGGCATAAAACCTAACATCGACTCTGTTTCTCCAAATCTTAGCACTAAATCAGGGTCTGGAAAGCCAGACTCATCTGAAAAGAGTATAAAATCTGTTAGTACACTAGAATCCCCATAACAAATACGTTACTTACACTGAAATTGTCGATTCTTCCCATATAAAGCCAATCTTATTATATGACAGGCTGATTGGCTCAATGGGAAATACCACATAACAAAAGATTTCTCTCATTTAAACATAAAACAATGAATCATGTTTTGAAAATTACATGCACATATAAATCTTCTCAATGTTGCATTTTATCATACCTTGTAAAATTGCATCTATATTATGAGGGACTATATCTTCTTTTTTGTATGTTTTAGTCGCAACTCCCTGACATAGTTTTCTGGCTGTTGTGACTATTTTATTTCGTCCATCATATATGGAATGAAGCTGTATATGGGTAGAGTTTGGTTGATATCCTAAAAAAGAAAAGCCGGGTTGGGTATAATAACTTAACATTTTTCACAAAGACTGCATCCAATTCCAAGCTTTTTGAATGAAATATCATCAATTTCAAACCAGATTTGGTTACATGTGCTCCAAATTCTTTTGATTTTTGAATGAAATATTTTTCGCGTTTTAAAGAGTTAGACAGTGAATGACGTTAGACGAAGCAAGAGATTTGCCAATTGTGATGTGAAATATTGCCTTCATGTTTTCTTACCTATGTCTTGAGGCTTGGTATTGTGTGAATGTATGTGAGCATTGTAGTTTTTGTAATCATATCCTAGATGTTCTTTGTTGCTTCTCTTGATTTCTTTCCTTAAATTTTCTTCATTTCGTTTAAAGTTCCCTGAAAACAAAGCAGCTTCATGTGAATGAAAAATTGTCTATTCATTACCAAAATTCAATAATGAAAGTGGACATGACATATCATAATACAAATTGGGGGTCTCTGCGATTGCTCGTTATTGATCGAGCAATTGGTAAAAACATGAGCGTATCAATATCCTTACTTGAATATCAAAGATTAATTGTATTGTTTCACCATATCTTAAAACAATCATTAATACCAGCCATTAATACAATGCCCATTTCAACATTTTTTTGCCAGAAATCTCTGTCATTCTAAGTATTAGGATATCATCATGTTGGAAACATCATCAGAATGCGCTGTTCTCTCATTTGCTTTTAATTATGCAGGCAATCATTTTAAAAGACTGCTTCTCTAGTGGTTAACTTGATAACACTTTGAGAAACTTTCATTCATGAGTATTTTTTCGCGCGTGATCATATTAAGGTGCAGTGATACTTAACAGGAAATGACAAAACAGGAAGTGACAAAAAAGTAACCCGCGGATCAACTTAATTCGTGTTTCAAAGGTCACTATTATTCAGCTGTCCATTTTCAAAATCGAACATGGCTCTCAAAGTGAGTAATCTTAATCACTTCGAGAGCCATGTTACATTTTGAAACTTATGGCACTTCAAACGGGGAAGTGGACAGCTGATTAATAGTGACCTTTGAAATCGAATTAAGTCGATCAGCGGCCTACTTTTGTTCTCTAACTATGTTATACATCATTATCATCCTTCTGTGCAAGTATTGGAGCGCTGAAGTACTTCCTTTTTGATCAAGACTTGTAATTGTTAGTCGAGTGAATGTTTTTACTGCCAAATTCCAATATGGCGTTTTCTGCTCTGACATTTTCGTAAATCTCCGGAGGTTGTCCGAACTTAACTAATTCTCAAAATTCATTTCGTTCGTTGCGTATCTCACTCCTAGCAAACCGCCATATTGGAAATGGGTCTAAAAAACAGTCACTCGATGAACAATTTACAAGTCTTGATCGAAAAAGAAGTATTTCAGCGCTCTATTACTTACACGGATTGATGATACTGATGTAAGACACAGTTAGATACCAAAAGTAAGCCGCTGATCGACTTAATTCAATTTCAAAGGTCACAATCATTCAGCTGTCCAAATGCTCTGTGGGAAAGCTATTATATCAAAATCCAAATAGCTTTCGCAGGAAGTAGGAGTAATCTAGATACACATCCCTTTAGTTTTGTATATTTTACATTTTGTATACTCCATGGGCCTTCAATTAGAAGGGTATGCAACTCTGTGTAATAACATGAGACCTTCAAAATGAGCAATGCCATGCTTCCCTTTTATGCGTAATATTTCAAAAAGTATTAGATAAATGTATATGTTTTAGTATTATTTTGATTAAAAATCAATTTTCAAAGGGATTAAAGCATAAAATATATTCAATCTCATGTAAAAGTAAACAAAAAAGACCAATAAGAATAAGAGGTATCAAGATGTTCTCTTCAAGTATTGCATTGTGGGTAATTATTCAGGAACACATTCCAATAAAAACATAATTTGTGGGAGAATGTTCACTTTCTGTATTGTCATAATTATGATGAATTCCATTTTTTATTAAATTATTAACATATATGTAGATAATCATGTTTTCATTTTTGAGTTATTTCTCTTAATCATCCATAAAAAGTACAAAACAAGATTTTCTTGGAATGTGTACATTCTCCAATTTTGAAAACCCAAAGGCAATGCTTATGTATGAAATATGGGAAGTTACCTACCCTTCTAATTGAAAGCCCATGGTATACTCTAACTACTTATGTATGGCATCTTGAAAATTCTCTCGTTTTTAACATGGGAAATCCTCACTTCAGCATATCCAGGTGTCATTTATTTATGGCGAGCACTGTACTAGCTGACTGACATGAACAGTTCCGAAAGTTCCACAAGGATATGTGAGTAGAATACTTACCATGCCTATCACAGACTGTTATATGGTTCACACCCATTGCCATCGCCCATACAATTATATTAGCTACATCACTGAATGATACTTCATGCTCATAAATAAGCAGTCCTAAATGCAACGGTCTCTTTTTGAGCCCTGAAACGTCCTCCTTGAATTTTTGACTTGTTGTTTTTGTGTTCTTTATCAGGCCAGGAGACAGCAAAACTTTGTTCAATTTGTGCATGCATGTTCGCAATAATCCTAAGAAATGTAGCATACGCAGTATTAGTCCATATAACACCATGCTAACTTCTTATTTGATAAAATAAGTCAAAAATGAATATGATGAAAAATTTTCATGGCAAGACGAACAGACACGCCGGCAACTGCCACGGAGCAAATAGAGGGCCAGATGGAGAGTTTTGATTGGTTGATTTTTTCTGCCCAAATACTCTAAAATGATCAAATAAATACAATCGAAGTTCAAACCTTTAGAGATGTAAATTCTATGACACATTTATGAAACTTGAGTGAAAATATGTTGGATTCAATTTATTTTACAACCTAACGTTACCTGTAAAAGTTGGATAACGCGGGAAATTCAAAATTTGTTAAACTTCCAAACTTTTTTGGCACTCGCTTGCTCTTTCTCTCTGTGTTGATTCTTAGTCTGAGAAACTTTGGAAGCTGAAATGTTCTTTCTATATCCATTATTTGTCCATCCACGTCTGGTATGTGTAGTTGATATGTAACACTGGCAGATCCAGAAGCTAAGAAGGGGGCCAACATTTTGGGTCAGGAAAAAATTGGACCCAATTTTTGAAAATTTAAGGCCCATTTTTTAAAAATTATGAATTAATTATAAAATCATTGGGCCTAAAAATTTTAGGGGCCCTAAAAAAATTCTTGGCCATTTAAAGGGGCTGGATCCGCCAGTGAGTAACTCAGTATACGAAGTGACATTTAGAAAATCCCTAATGAAACTGGTTGTGAAATAACAATTGTAGTAGTATAGTACTAAGTTGTATCCTCCCTGTCGTTTGTCTAAATTAAACCAACATTGTTAGGACTTTACTCAAAATATTTAATTATTCTATTGTTATTTGGACAATCAGTGTCTAAGGCAGAGTTAATTGTCTTGTGAGAATATATCGTCAGGAATTCATCCTTGTTTTGAAACAACCAAAACTACATGTATTTAAAGATTGGTAATTTTATTCCATAAAAATGTGTTTCATGTCTATTAATCAATCAATATTGCAATTATCTCAATCGATAAAGTTTTCTTTAATGATTGGAAATAAATAATGTTGTTAAGTTAAAGGCAGAATCTGATCTATAGGGGGTGACAAAATTACAAGCAACATGTATAATTGACCTTATTTTAGAAAATAGACATGACAAGGAATGACATGAGACAAAAATTGAAACAATTTTTTGTTTGGCCTGCTCACTATATCTGATTCTCTCTTTAAGTATAAGTTTGTACTTTTTAACATGGGCTTTCAAGAGTACACGAAATGTCAAGGTCACTTTCTACCAGTCTATGCATAGCTGAAACAGGACACATAACGCCATTTTCTTTAAAAGTACTTTAATTTCGAGGTCTGTATATATAGTTATTAATAGAATTTTATGTCAACATGTCTCTGTTTTCGTTATTGACCTTCTTGAAATCTGAGCCGCCAATGTAAAGCGAATATTCCCTGAAAGTGTTGAGAATTGAAAGGCATAAGTGGTAAACACATGGGAAATGGATTTATATTAGGCTAATCTGGGATTATTCACCTAGTGAATGAATAGGCTCATATAAGTTTCAGTTCTCGATCCAATGACAAATGAAAATACAGTTCAGAATTTATCAATACACAGTGGGTTTAAAGAATCCCGAAAGATTAATATTGACGTTTTTCTTAAGAATTTCAATGTCTGTAAATGGATTTTATTCGCTTGAGGAAATATTTAGGATTTCTATTTAAATTGATAACACGATCCAATAACTTTGCTTCATGGGATGTTTGATCGGGGTAATTCAATTATAGAGACTTTTAGAAAATTCCACAAAAAGAGACCCCCATGGTGTTCTCTTAGGAACTATTGTAATCAACTCTGGAACTGGTATGAAGAAAGCACTAATTAAAAGTGGAACATTACTTTAAAACATAGAACTAACAGAGAAAGTAATATATAAAAAACATGGGGCAGAGGTAAGAATTGTGTAAATAAATAATTTCGATTATTCTGTTACTCATATAGGCTAGAATGGTTCTGTTAGTGCGAGCCACTGAAGAAAATTCCTCGTGATTCCAGGTGTAACTGATGTAGGGATATTGAACCATGTGAATATTCGACTTTGATTCTTGCAAGTCATTTTATCAATAAAATTATTGACTATGCTGTAATAAATAATCTATTTTCCAGACAAAACATAAAGATAGAGCTTGATGTGCTGCTACTAAGTTGACGGTCAGTATCCCAAATGGTACAGACTACATAGTTTCACCAATTGACTTTCGCACAACCAGAAATGTCGACTGCAATAGAAAAACTACGGGTTGATGGAAACGTCTTTCAAACAAAGACAACGAGAAACGAATCCAAACCTCTCAATTTGCCAAGAGCTCCCGAAATGAATTCAAATCTCGTGTTCAATGCCGGATACAATGTTATGCCAAGTAATTGTGGAAATATTCAAACTAGAATCGAACTGGAAGCCATTTTGAAGCAAAAGAGTCCGAGGTCTTCATCATCCAAAGCTACACCAGTGGCCAAAAAGATGGATTACTTGTCACGCGTAAAGGACTCAAACCGGGGTCTTTCATCAATGGATATTGATCAAAATGTGAGCAGAATGCCAACGATTAATTTCCAGTTGCATGGCCAAAGGGTCAGGGCCCAAAGTGCCCCAGAACCAATCACATTTCTCCCAGAAGTCATATCTGAAGAGAGAAGAGTCAGGAGACAACGTGAAAAAGAAATGAAGGAATTGCACAATAAACGTGCAAGAGTGAAAAACAATGAACGCCCAAAGACCGATCATCCCAAAGGAGACCAGCTGTATTTACCATCATTGAATTTTGGATCAGTCGGTACATCTAGATTTCCTGATTTTGACGATGGTGGCATTGACGGCAGGCGGTTATTTTCACCGTTTCGTATTCCTTCACCATATATTACTGATTTGGAGTATTTCGATTTCGCGGACACATCAGAATATATGTTTCCGCAAAGAAAAGCAAAACGAGCCCCGAGCACAGTGGATAAAAACAACAATGCACTCAACCTACAAGACTTGGATCTTTGCTTAAATATTAAGAACGAAGCTGAGATAAAAGGTTCCCGCCAAAATCTAACATTCGACGAAATTCGATTGAATCATGATGGTCAATTTATGCATTATCCAGTGACTCCAAACAATCCATATCGGAATATTAAATCACAGCAAAAGAAAAAGCGACCATTCCAATTCAACTCACTGGACAGCTATTTGAATTTTAATAAAGCTCTCCAAGAAAATGATACTAATAAGGTGCGGTCCCCACCTATGAAATCCATCGAGGGGCAAGCCTTCTCGGATACCCTATTACTCCAGATGATGTTTGAACTGAATAGACCAGCAACGGTTGACGTTGATGACCCGACTACTCCTTTAGCAAGAACATCAAAGGTCACACCACGCACTCCAAGATACAGTAAACCAAACACAAATACTGCAAATACTCCCAAAAGCGCCATGAAAAAACAGAACCAAACATTGTAAAAAACAGTCTTTAAGAAATGGTTCGTCATGCCCCATGTTTAAATGTATCATGGGCTTTCAAAAGATTGAATGCCCTGATGGATGTATTGAGGAGTCACCTCAAGTCGAACCATCACCTTGGGTTGTGTATGAGACTACACTATTATTGTTCTACACTGTATTGCCAAACTTTTTATTTGTTGTAATATGAAGCTTCGATTGCGAAGTAATTAAATTAAATCCGTCATCATTTGTTGAGAAATACAAGACTGCAAGATCTGAAATAAATAAGATGTATTATAATGACTTTATTAAAAAGTTATGCAACTATTTCAATGTAGTACAGAGACCACATTGTCGGATGCACAACCAATGCTTTTCTTAGATTACAAAGCATTAGATGAGACTGATAAATCAGAATGTAGAGCTCCAAGCAAAGTCAGAATCGTGACAGTAATTACAAGTTACAACCCCTCCATAAGTAAATAAACATACACTCCCCTCCATAAGTAAATAAACATACACTCCCCTCCATAAGTAAATAAACATACACTCCCCTCCATAAGTAAATAAACATACACTCCCCTCCATAAGTAAATAAACATACACTCCCCTCCATAAGTAAATAAACATACACTCCCCTCCATAAGTAAATAAACATACACTCCCCTCCATAAGTAAATAAACATACACTCCCCTCCATAAGTAAATAAACATACACTCCCCTCCATAAGTAAATAAACATACACTCCCCTCCATAAGTAAATAAACATACACTCCCCTCCATAAGTAAGTAAACATACACTCCCCTCCATAAGTAAATAAACATACACTCCCCTCCATAAGTTTGGTAACCGCAAGTCGCCGGAAATGGATCGTGTGTTCTGGCCTTTTCATGTTTATCAATTTTTGTTTTGCAAAAAAATCATCAGTCATACATTTCCGAACTATTGTTACAAGGGAACTAAATAAAGATTCAAACGTTAACAAGCTTTCATAATATGCTATCAAATGAGACTCTCGACTGCCAAACTTATGGATTGGAGTGTATGTTTATTTACACGTCAGAAGTGTCTCTATTTACAGCCCATGTCAAATGTAGATCATTCACAGAATGTCCCCGATGCATATTATCAACACTGGGATATTCCGATATATTCTGATGGTATGTCGTCAGCGGAACAACGATAGAATTCAAACTTTTTGCCCTATGAATCCCATATATGGGCACTGATATGTCCCGATATGATGTCCCGTTGCTCAGTGAACCATCCCATATATGTCGATGAATTTGTGTCGTGGTAAAGTCATTTGCTCGGTTGTAAAAGTTTCGCCTTGTAGTTTCAATTTCCCTTGGACCTGTCTTACTATTAACTTTAGATTCATAAGATAAATTTTCAATACTTCTACGTTTGTCAAAGTATCCTATATGACCTGAGTTCTGTATATTATCAACCAGTTGTTCAATTAACGTATCAGCTGTTTCAACAAAACGATCATCTGCGTGATCCTTTTTGGGGTCAATTTGTTTCAGGTTCCTATCACCACCCATGGCTGCACTGTCATCCCGATTTTGCATTTCTCCTCGTTTCCTATCGCATTTTATGGCGTCTGATCTGTCACTGCCCTTGTGTCCTTTGAACCATTCTGGGTTTTGTCTCAGAATACTTTGATCATTGACAGTGTTATCATTGTTGTCAAATTCAAAACCTCTGTTCACCATGTCGGTATCTTCCCTTACTGCGTTGTTAATGTTTGCAATATTTAAAAGACTGTCTGCACTTTTAAGTATATCAATTGTCTTTCTTCGAACATGTTTTGTTCTTTTGGTATCCTTTTCACTGGCATTCGATTTCTTCGCAATTTTGGGCTTGCTGTACACTCCAGGTATGTTTTGTTTATCAACTTCTGCTATAACATTATTTGTGTCAGGTTTTGGCGATATTGGAGTAGTTGTGGTGACATTATCAATCATTATTGCCGATTCATGATTGACTTCGCTGGCCACTGATTGGGTAATCATCAACGATTGGTTTTCTGCTTCGTCAGAGTCCACAAGTCTAGAGTTTTTTGAGACTTCATTTTTGATTCTTGGTGGTAATTCAGGTTTATCTTCATAGTGATTGGCAATGGCATCGTTTTGATCACTATCTCTTGGAATGTTGTTATTTCCTTCATTTTGAAACGGATAAGATTTGTCCTCAACTGTTGCAAGGTCATTAACGAATGCGATGTTTTCATAAATGTGATCTTTACTACAATTCGTGGTTTTAGCATTCTGGCTTTGCGGTACTGTCTTGCTATGATCTCTGAACGGCACACTTATTTCACTTGGTATCACATCATCATCTCGGATACTACCATTTGATTCACACAGCGCTAGTCCAGTTTCATCTTTCTCTCTCTTATTGTATGCTGATTCATTGATATGTTCATTTGGCAGAGTTTCCTTTATTTGTCCATTTGGTTCAGGTATTGGTGAATCGTGGCTTGTTTGTACGCTGTTACAGTGCGTTTCCGTGGAGTCCTGTGGTGAGGATTGTTGAATAGATCGCAGGTCTTTATTTGTAATATGCCTTGTATTGTCTTCAACTCTGTCTGGGGATTTGCTTGTATTGTCCCGTTGACAACTGGCATTGTTGCTCTTATCAGCAGGCGGAGGAGTGGTTAAGTCTGGTGCCTGCAAAGATAAAATGAAAAAAATGTATATAGTTATTACACTGAACTGAACTGGGAAATAGAAACACCGAAACACAACACAGTCATGATACGCCCGACTGATATACCTTATTAAGATATCTGCTGGATCTGGTATTGTTTCAGTGACAAAATCATTCTTGGAAGTTATTACTGTAATTAAGTTGCCGGATGAACAATAAAGGCTGAATACACTTCCCTCCATAAGTTTAGCAATCGGAAGCAGTTTTCACTGGACAGCATATCAAAGTCTGGCAATGTTTGAATCGTAATTTTGTTCCTTATCACAATAATTCGGATATTAATGACCAATATGATGATTTCTTTAAATCGCGAACATAGACAGGTTTTGATATGTAATGCAAAATGCATAAAGTTAAACTTATTAAGGAAAGTGTATTCACACATTTGTTGGGACAAATCTCCCGATGATAGCGCTCTTGAATCTCGCAAAATCATATTCCATACCCGTTCGGGAGGTTTGGGTGACCTTCCAACCTGTGCTTGAACGGGAACTGTTTCCACGACCTCTGTGTAGCGAGGTGGATCGGTTCCAAGGAACGTAGTGTATCCACTAGGTTGCGCTTGGGACGTAAACCCAGAACCAATTTCTCCAACACACTGCTGGGTCAGTTGAAAGTCTAGAGGGAAATGAAGAACGCAGAAGTATTAGTACTCCTACAGTTTATCTAGTATTTAATTAAATATTTAACTATACAATACATGTTAACAGTCACTCGCAAGTTGCCATCTCTCAAACTTCATTTTCCGCCAGTGGTTTCAGATGAATATATGTATTTTACTTTTTTAATATCCAAATATACCCAAAGCCCTAAAACTAATTCAACGCACCATGGCCTTCGTGTATTTGTGACATTAAACCCATTGGTATTGGGCCAGGATGACTGTTCTGTATCGGCTGGTTCGGTTGTCGGGCCCGCTTCTTCTGGCGACATTTCCTCACCTGGAACAGAAAGTCTAAATGTTCATTATTGGTACACCCCCTCCATAAGTTTAGCAATCGGAATTCCCTTTTGGCTTACTTATCAACGCGGCTATGTTGACTAAAGTGTTAACATTTTCGGATTAAATAAATTGCCGAACTATTGTAATCGAGGAACCTATTCAAACATTGACAGTCTGGTATGTTATCCAATGAAAACTTCAAGATACCAAACTTATGGAGGGGAGTGTAGGCTATTATTAAGTATAGGCCCATTCCAATCTTTAGAGAATCAAATGCTGATTACCGTGTAAATGATGACCGGAATGATGATGATCACCCAGAGGACCAACAAGCTGATAATGAGGATAACAGTGACTGGTGGTCCAGATGGAGACTCTGAAATAAGTCAACACAATCACATCACTGGAGTTCATTGAATACGTCACTTCATTATCACTAGGTGTATATACCATTCAGCATTATCATGCTAGTGTCAGTGGACGAATTTGATGGGAACCCCGTCCTCTCTGAGTTCGGAAGCGCTGCGAGACGATCATTAGCGTGCGTATAAGCTTACTGTCATTTCCAAGCGTTGACTGCATATATGGACAAACACCACTGACCATTGACTTAACGTGGGGATAATATCAGGTATGATCGAATCGTATGATCGAATCTCAACAAATAGATGACTCCTGTTGGAAAGTATTACTAGAATCCATTTTCGAAAGTTAAAATATGGGTTCTTAAACTGGGCGCTAAAGCTTACTAAGGCCTTTTTGAAATGTTTGTTAAGTACTAGTTTGTGTATCAGTATGTCCAGAATGATTAAACAACTTAGTCTAGAGAAGAACACATTTGGTTAGAACCCAAACTACATGATCGGTTCCAAAGTAGAATTATATTAGCCTACCACAGTTCCATTCATCCGAGTTGTCAAGGCAGGCTTTTCGTCCGTTGCATCTCTCATTTGCAGGGATGCAAAATCCGTCGTTGCATTTAAACTCTTCACGCATGCAAGGTGGTCGAATCAATCCTAAAACAAATCAGACAAAACCAGATATCCGAGGTGAGGTCAAAACACAGTTTGCAACGTTACTAATTCAACTGTTTAATTTGTATGAAAACGCGATACATTTTAGTGTTTGACCTGAGAAACAAAAGCAAAAAGGTAACTGATTCAACACCGGGCTTCAACTATGTGCGTTTAACGTTTTTATGTAGTAAAATGGTTAAAAGCGAAAGAAATGAGGGGAGGGGGTACCACATTGTAAGGTATTCTTCTTATATTTACCATTGCAAAAATCGCCAGCATTGATACAGTTCACCCTCCCTGAACATATTTCATGACGGGGCTCACAACGCACATAAGCCCCGTTATGACATGGTTTTTCCCCAACTGGACAGTTCAGGCTCATCACTGGAGTTCGCCAGACAAGGTTGTGTCCTGGAATAAAGATAAGAGTTTGTGCTTGATATGAGGGCATAACAATTCAGTGAAGTTACACGTGACGAAAGCGAATACCCTGAGCCTAGGCACGGATTACAGTCTTATACCACGGACGGATCCAAGGGAACTTGATCATACACAGCCTAGGACAGGTTTTCCAGTACTGAAAAGCTACATACATTCTGTGCCGTCATGCTGTGTGCCTATGCAATCTGCGATCTCAGTGATATACCAAGGCGATATGCGATTCTCTGTTATTTTGCATAAAATCGCTGACGAGAACAAAAAGCTCTTACTGTACATACATTTTACATTAACATTTATTCTCTTCTGGCTTCTAAGATAACCCACATATCGAAATAAATATATCTCGAATCCTTTATTCGTTCTTTATCCAACTTGACCTTAAATTATAAAAAAAAATGGAAATGTTTTTATGAGCAGTATTGTATCTTAGTATTTGAAAGAAAGTATATATTTCGTTTACTTACCACCCGAAGCTTCTTATTTCTTCGTATCCTGTGTCGCAACCAGTATTGATTTTATAAAAGTGCGGGCTTCCAATAACCAACTTTAGTGTAAGGTAAAAACATTCAGAATCTTTACTCTCATTCAAAATTATTTTAATCTAAAATACAACTTTAGAATCATTAGAATGCAATTTTAATACCAAAATCACTATCTTATACTAATTTGAGGACATATTCAAGTAGATATGCACCGATTTTATCAACATAAATTAGATAGTTGTCATTGACGCAAATAATGAAAAATACAAATTGTGTACATATGCAATGTGTATATTGAGTTATGAGTTGAACTATTTCATTTCATTGAAATTGTATATTCGAACTAAAAGTGTCCTCAGTCTTCTAAAAAGAGGATCTGCCGATCTGATTATTTCTCTTGTACAGGAAAACCTGTATATCCGAACACCTGGCTAATCCGATCACCTTCCAATCCAAACACGTTTTCAAGTCCCATTTTTCCTCCCATGCTGTAAAACCTTGAAATGTGAACACCTCCTAATTCGAACGATGAACACTCATACAGGGTGAGCCAAAAAGTAACCTAAATAAATCTCGATGACAGTCATCCGATCTGGGTTTTAAGTCTATTTTGAACACTTTTCACAAAATATCATGTTTCTTACGAAATTGCATAACTAAATTCATTTGAATCAGATTTTGGAATGCCATAAAGCTATGTGGCCATTAATTAGAAACATTGATATTCGTTGAGAATATGTTGTCATTTCAAATCCGGAATCTTGCGAATGCAAGAACATCGAAATCCGAACACCTCCTAAACCGAACTCTTTTATCCAGTTCCAATGGCGTTCGGATTAGACAGATTTTACTTGATGCAGATAACACTATTCACACTGCCAAATTGTTCTATCGATTCAATAACTTTGTCAGGCATAAAACGACAGTAGACATTTTGATGAAAATATGAGCACTTGACGTCCTTAGAGTTAAACGTAGATTTTGATATTGGTATTTTCAATGATTCTTGACATTTAAACTATTTTAAGGTGGCACTGAACTTGCATATTGGTTAATATACAGGGTGTCCCGAAAGTATGCCCCCCCCCCCTAGGCAAACATATACCAGTGTCGTCATAGTATGTGACATATATCATTTTAAAGCTTATCCAAAGTTACATTGATTCGCCAAGTATCATGGTTCAACTCGCAAATGTGAAAAAATTACAGGCATTTCAAAAGTTAGTGTTCGGTCAAAATTACTGTAAGTTATTTTACACCAAATCACTCGTCAATATGTCCTCCAGGGCCATCTTAACAGCAACAATTCTCGAGTCAGATGGATATTGAGTTGGAAAAAGAGAACTGTGAGGGTAGAAACTCTAAGGAAACTCTTCTAAAGTCCCTTAACAGGTGTTAAGAGGGTTATAAGATTCCGCATCCCTATTTGAAGGGCTTTTAAGGTCATATCTGAAAATAATTGCTGCAGTTAACATGGCCAAGGAGGGACACATTGACTAGTAATGTGGTGTAAAATTGAACTTTATTTTGACAAAACACTAACTTTTAAAATGACTGTAACTTTCTCCCATTTGGGAGTTAAACCATGATACTTGGCAAATCAATGTAACTTTGGATAAGCTTTAAACTGATATATGACACATACTATGAGGAGAATGGAATATGTCTGCCTAAGGGGGGGGGGGGCATACTTTCGGGACACCCTGTACACCAATAATGATGACAAAATGCAATGTCAAAACGGATAGAGCCAACAATACACTTTTTCTGAGGAATGAATTTGAAATGCAAAAATGTCTCAATATATGACGAGAATATGTACGAAGGACCTTTTCACTACTTGTCATGATAGCCAATGACCTCACCAGTCTGCCCTTGAATCTGTGAAAATTGAGTTGGAAGAATAAGCACTTGGAATGTTGATGATGGGACTTAGTGGCACCTGCCCATCCATCAAGCAGCACAAGACACCTATATTGGCTATATACATAGGTCTTTTAAAAAGTGCGATAAAAACTCCAAAAACATTTTTAGTTTCTAACTCATTTTATTTGCATTCATATTATGTACGAAATGTGAAAAATGATATATACAAAATTAATTTTGTACAGTTCTTTGACAATAATAATGAGATGATTTTTATGAATTCGTATCAGCATTTATATCATAATGACAAAGGTATACAAAAGACAATGTCATTACAGTACATCATATAAATAAAATACAGTAAAACCTGTTAGTGAAATACCTCAAGGGTGAAAGCTTTGGCAGGCCCTGAAGGTGTTCAATGTAAGCAAGGTTTTACAGTAGATTCATGCATTCACACACAACACAAAAATAGCATGGTTTTCAGTCAGACTTCTGCCTGGTTGTTCAAATGACTTACATTACAAAGGACACAATCTTATTGATTCCTTAAATGGACATGTTTCCAGGTAATTACCTTAAATGGACATATTTCCAGGTAATTACCTTATATGGACATTTTTGGAGGTAATAACAGGTCCTCCTGAAACATGACTCAACATAAGAATATAAGAGGGAAATACTGAAGATTAAGAGATTATAAGTTTCCTATTTTGGCAATCCGTAAGAAATGTAGCAAGAATTATGGTTGACACTTTTACTCATTTAAGACTCAGTTGAACATTTGTCTGATGTGAAATAACCAAGAAAATGTTCCAATATGATCTATCCATAGAAGGTCCATTACATAAAACAGCACTGCAATTATTGTGTACAAAGGGGTTTCTCTCATATCATATGCTCACTTCAATGATGAGCCAGATTCTAACTTGAGAGATATGATGACGCTATAATGCGAGGTATTATCAGATAATTTAGTTCCAGGAAATATTGACCCTGTATATTTAGTCCTCATCCCAGTCAGGGTTTTGTTTAGGAGCTTTTGGTCCTCCTGCTTGTTTGGCCATAATAATCTGAAACAAATAGATTCAACATTTGTACATTGAGATAAATCTCTACAAATCACTGTTCCCAAAATAATGTATGTGCTTTAGGATTTTTCCCTTGCAGAATTTATCATTTCAACACAAGAAGTGACAAACAAAATATAATTCAACTTATAACTTAAACATTATACGAAGGAGGGTGTTTGTTTGAATCTTTTAGAATCGACTAGTTTCTGAATCTGTTAATTTCTTGTAGATAATGTATTTACAGAACATATATACAATACAATACAATACAATAGAAGTCGAGATACAATACTGATTACTGATCCCAAAATGTTTTAAATGCCATATGAAATGCAACAGGACCAAGCACTGAACCTTGTGATACTCCACATATAATTTATACTACATACCTGGTCCACTCTAAGAACAGTACAAGCAGCATTGGTAGCAAAGCGGATCCCCCAGTATTTAGTTAGGAAGAGGTCTCTGATATCAGATTCTAATACATCTTTCACAACAGACCCAGGGCCCTGCAAGATAACATTTCATCAGATGAATATAAACTGCAGGATCTGGTTCGGTGAATCTTTTGCATACTGATGTGATCAAAAATACAGCCAGACAGAATCTTGCATATTGAGAATACTTGCATACTGATGTGATGGGAAATACAGCCATAGAATCCGAATTAAAGAATGATTGGAAATTGAATTTTCAACGAGGAAAAATAATGCATATATACACATAAAATGTTCTTCTACGTTTTTATATTTAGCCTTTTGAGTCTTTAGAGTATATGTACATGGTTAACTACAATTTGTATTATACATTATTGTGCTTACATCAATTGTACATTGTGATTACACCAATTGTACATTGTACTTACATCAATGTCAAACCCTATGTTCTTCTTTCCCTCTTGGTGAGCTGCATACAGCTTGGAGATCACCTCTGTGGCCTGAAGGTCAGAAATAAAATTGATTTAATGTTAAATTTATTCAAACAACATGTAGATTGATTTCATTGAGTAAGCAAGTGTATATTAGATTAAGCAATTGTGAAACTGATTGATATTTGTAGTTATTGAATCCCCATACACCTGTGGTGTTTTGATTAGACAGGTTTTATTGTATACAAAGAAATAAATTGTTCAGGTAGTCTCACCTTAACACCAGCATTCTCAGCTAAGGATCTTGGGACAACTTCAAATGCCTCAGCAAACTTTTGGATTGAATATTGTTCTAAGCCGGAGCAAGTCTGAAATAAAAGAGGATACAGCATTAAGATACAAATTTTCACAACCTGCCATTTGTTACGGACGCCAACCGCTGAACCTATCCACAAAGAAGTTGGAGACAATAACAATATGTCACCAAGCCTTAGAAATGTGTCCCAAAAATAAAGTTTACTGTATTATAACATCTTGGAAATCTATTGACTGTAGTGCGCATTTCTCAATAAATGCATTAAACTGAATAATTCCCATGTGCAATATCTAATTAAGAAATATTGTTCAAATTTTCCCATACCTCTCCATAAGAGTTGATTCTTTTGGCAAGTTCAATCTCAGTGGCCCCTGCGCCTGGTAGCAACCTGTTGTCTTTGGTTAGTGCCTTAAATGTGTTAACACCATCATCCACAGCACGTTCAATATCATCCATTATGTTATTGGTCGCCCCACGTATCACAATAGTAGCAATAGCAGACTCCTGTTTCTCTGTAAGGAATAAGTGAAGAAAATGGTCAAGCAGAGATCAAAAAAAATATTAGCTCGCCACACACTTAAGAATAACAGAAAAAAACATTTTAACAAAAAATTTTACCCTATTTAAGTACCTTGACAAAATAATTCTTTCAATGGTTAAAAACCTTAGCAATAAAATTATTCTTATTAGTTAAACACCTGAACAGAATCATTCTTACCTTGGTTAAATACTATAACAGGGGTGCCTCCCACTTCACTGACACATACATTGTCACAGTAGCCACATTCCTCTGATGTAGGGGTTGTCTAAAATAATAAGGGTAGAAAAGTAAATATGCTGCTCTAAAATAAGAGTTCAATGTATGAAATCCACTGTGTGTAATTTCTGTCTGCAAATATGAATTATGACATTACAATCAAAAATTGTCACAATTTCCACAACATTGAAGATAAGTTACATTCATGTAATTATATCTTATTAAAGCTTATTTAATTCCCTATCTTTTGGTATATAACACATGGTTTTTCTGTGTGATCCTAAATACTGTGTCCCATATTTTATTGCCCACCCTAAATATACAACATGAATTATATCCACTCCTTGAGAAAAAAATTACTTTACTAAGCCCTACATATTACTTCTTACCACTCTAGGGAGGGGTGTTGCACCTATAGCTTTACAAAGTCGCCTCAGATCAAACTTGGAGAGTAACCGCAGTACAAATAGTTTGTATTTATCAGCATAATGTAAAGCTAGTTCCCCAACTTTACCACCAGTCACTATAGCTGTACAGCCGCTGTCTGCAATTCCTTTGATTTGCTGTAAAGTAATAAAATGATTCATTGTCAAGGTACACAAGACTTTGGTAAATGATTCTTCAAGTATGTTTAGAATAGCGTCAATGTGTATTTCATTAAGTAACAGTAGGTGGGGGGGGGGGGTGTCGATTTTTGGCATCTTAGGGCCTTAATTGATCCTATAAGATTGTTGAGGCACATATATTGAACTGGTTTAATATATAAATGTCACTTGATTTTACATTGATGATTCAAGCGCCATTCAAAATTCTCCAAATAATATTCAATTCTGACTCATGCTGCATCAGAATGAGGTTTAAATGATAACAACTCTTAAAATTGGAATTCCTTCTTAAGTTTCTAACAAACAAACATGAGAAGGTGTTTTCTAATGACCACATTGGCACATATAAAATGCTGATTGGGGCTCTAATCACCAATTTGTTGAGTGACACATTGTCAGTTCTGCCATATATGGTATTACTAGCCATATATGGTATTACCTCTTCTACTTGGTCTTCCTCTCCCTTGCTGAAGTCCTTGAGTTCCTGTGCAGTCTTGATAAGCACTGTGCCCTAGAAGTTAGAAAATGTACATTATCAAACACAGGGGGCATCTGGTAGTCTACATTTTGCACTGTAAAAGGAGGAACAAATTGTGGAGTCCTACAAGTAACTTTAAATGTTATTTAAAGTTACTTGTAGTGAAAAATCAAGTAACATGTCTAATGGAATGTCACAATGGTGGATTGCCTGAATTGAGATGTGTAATAAACCTTTTGGTGAGGAACATTTCTCTACACAAAACAATTTTGGACAATACGAAAGATGGTCCATGTACACATTTTGGTTAAAGAAAATATGGAATGAAACTTGTGCTATTAAGGCTCATGAGAAAACATCAATTGACCCCAGTGGGAATTGAACCATCCCTTGCTTTCCTAATGAGTGCTCTTCTACTTATACCTTATCTAGTAATCTTAACTTATATGGTGATCTTACCTTGGTTTCAGTCTGCATAATATCTAAAGGACATGAGAAAACTGCTATTTTTGCTTTGTTCACTTTGGTGATATTTCCTTCAACGTTCCTCTTGAAAACCATCCCCTGGATAACTGATGAATTGGTTACACCTGACCCCTGGAAATAACAAATATAAAACATCACATTCTAACAAAATGAAATCGATGTGTTGTGATAGTGGGTGGTAATATGAAAGTTAGAACTAACACAAAGTCAATATGTTTACACTGCTCAAACTAGGGATTCAAAAAATACTTCAGTTCATGCTGGTGAATATATATAAATTATCAGATTCAGTATTCAGTAGAATTGCTATTGTTAACTGACCATATTCTAATATAAAAAATATACCTACCTCTACTTTGGAGACTCTTATATTATCTACATTGAATGTCTTTGACTTTGGATATATTGATACTGAAACAAAAGAAATTATCATTTTAAATGCATACATCAGATAGTGATAACCCATGCGTACAACAGATTTCAGTTCATGTTGGAGACATCCAAAAATTAGAGAGGATAATATTTCACGTTTTGGCAACAGAAACCTAAACTTAATGTAATGTGTGATGCATGCACAACAAATTATGTAAACTCGTCAAGTTTGATTTGTTTTATAATCCCATTGATGTGTAGATTCAATGTAAATTCAATAGGGTAAGTTGGATTTCCCTCTTGCATTGAACCTGCAACATGAGAGATTGTGAGTGAGGTTGAGATTACATAACTTTGTAGTACTTATTTCATGGTTTCAATCATTTTATACTGCCATTGAGATGCCAAACTCTAGCTTTTCGTGTTGGCAGTAACATGAGTTTTGTTCCATGAGTATGTTTTTAATTTGAAACTAGCAAATCTGTTGAATAATTGTGTATGCATTTAAATGGCTCAAAATAAATTGTTTGCGGGTAAACTAGCCCCGGGAAAATAGCATATATTTCCTAAGATAAATTATGAGCAATGATCAAACATTTATCACAATAATACACATTCAGAATGAATAAATTGCTTATTTTGCTGCTCAAAAGAAACATTAAGAAAAACCGATACCTGTACACATAAAAACAGGTTCATGTTTTGGTTGCCCATACATCTTATCCTCTCGATTATATCTAATTATGTCTTAATACCATCTAAGACTTATGTTTTTCTTTAATAGGTTATGTCCCGTCCCAGATGTTCAAACCTGAAATGGATAATTCCCACCCCGTCTCAAGTTTTTTTTGTCCCATGACATCCCCCCACTAGAATTGAAATACTTACTACATGCATTGGTGATGAGATCTGATAGGAAGTCTTCATTTCCATATTGTTTACTCATGACTGAAGTTTTAACAACTTTCTTTATTTCCGCTTTGTTATCAAGTTCTTCCACTTTGCCGCATGTTAAATCTACAATGTCAAAAGAGAATATACGGGGTGTCCATAAAGTGTCTTTACACTTACTTAGACCTTGTATTGTAATTGTAAAGAAACTTCATGGACACCCTGTATAATTTTTACGAAACTACTGATTGTTGTGCATAAATCAAGTTAGTAACATTACCATGAATGTTACAATATGATGTCTTAGGGATAGAAATAGTAACATACCTGGTAGAATATCAAGTGCCTTTTTACACGCTAATTCAAAACCCTCAATAACTTCTGTCAGTGAGAGACCCTACAAACAAACAAAACATAGACACGTATGAATGACAAGTTTTCTAGCAATAAGTAACAACAACAATATATACTGACCAGAATTTAATCAGTAGCACTTCCTTTTACCATTTGTGATCATTAAGATTTGGTGTAGTCTTAATCTATAAATTCAATTTATTTATTGATTCATCAAATGAACTAAATTTTCGAATACTGCATGGGAAAGCAAATTATCTGTAGGCATGCACAAACTAGTGCTTGTTTTATGAAACAGCAGTGTGTGAATATACTTAAAAAGCAAAGGAATATTCCACTAATATGCAGTGAACCTACCATTTGAAGGAGTTCCTCAGCATGTTGAAGGAGAGCCCCAGCAAATATGAGCACAAAGTTGGTTCCATCCCCACATTCCTGCTCCTGCTGCTGGGAGGCCATGACGATCATCTTGGCAGCGGGATGGGCAACCTGATAACAATTAAAAAGAATCATACACATATAGAGGGACATTGGGAGGCCATGACGATCATCTTGGCAGCGGGATGGGCAACCTGATAACAATTAAAAAGAATCATACACATATAGAGGGACATTGGGAGGCCATGACGATCATCTTGGCAGCGGGATGGGCAACCTGATAACAATTAAAAATAAAAAGAATCATACACATATAGAGGGACATTGGGAGGCCATGACGATCATCTTGGCAGCGGGATGGGCAACCTGATAACAATTAAAAAGAATCATACACATATAGAGGGACATTGGGAGGCCATGACGATCATCTTGGCAGCGGGATGGGCAACCTGATAACAATTAAAAATAAAAAGAATCATACACATATAGAGGGACATTGGGAGGCCATGACGATCATCTTGGCAGCGGGATGGGCAACCTGATAACAATTAAAAAGAATCATACACATACAGAGGGACATTGGGAGGCCATGACGATCATCTTGGCAGCGGGATGGGCAACCTGATAACAATTAAAAAGAATCATACACATACAGAGGGACATTGGGAGGCCATGACGATCATCTTGGCAGCGGGATGGGCAACCTGATAACAATTAAAAATAAAAAGAATCATACACATATAGAGGGACATTGGGAGGCCATGACGATCATCTTGGCAGCGGGATGGGCAACCTGATAACAATTAAAAAGAATCATACACATATAGAGGGACATTGGGAGTCTCATTAACTATATGTACAAGTGCAGTAAAACCTGTCACACTGTAAAGTAAAACATGTACATATGCTCAATTTTCCATACTACACAAATCAGAGTGAGGATTTTTTGTGTAAACAACTATTAAACAACGCTTGGATTTGGCTTACATGATACAGGCATTGTTATATTGTAGACAAAATTATATCTTCTCAAATTGCTATGTGGTGATTCCATGGGCACAGCTCACCAAAATTTTACAAAGTGCAACATTATTTTAAGCTTGAAGTTCACCTCACCTTTATAAATGTGATTCACCTATTTAATTCTAGTACATAATATAATTTTCAAAAATATAATTTGTCACAATGTGATAAATGATGTTATAATACTCACCTCTAGCTCTCTTACAATAGTGGCAGCATCATTTGTCACAAATAGTTTATCTAAATGGTTGATCACCATTTTGTTTTGTCCTTAAAATAAAAACATATTTACTACAGATTACTATGTATTACAGGAAGGCAAGTGCATTTAGTTTCTAGAAAAAGTGGATAATATCATTTTTTCAAACTAACATACCCATACCAAACATAAGTGTATAAAACATCTAGATTCAATATTTCAGTTGGGATATCAAAAAATTATATTCCACATCTTTAAGATTTATACGAAAGGTTTGGAAAATAAGTGACACTCTTCCTTCTTGTTTGCATGCAAATGTTCATAAATATATAAAACTATATAATATGTTACTTGTTCCGTACCATTTGGGCCAAAAGTTGATTTTGTAGTGTTCATTAACTCCTTACAGGCCTCTATGTTCTTATACACTGCTTCTTCTAAACCACTGTAATGCTGAGAGACAAAAGAACTACATGTAATGAAGGAAAAGTTGTAAAAACATTTAAAACTAAGTCAACTTTATATTAAAACATTTATTATCTTGTCAATTGTATGAAAATGTAAAAAAATTTATATATGTCAGCTTATTGCTTTCTGGAGAACAGTCAAGGTTTAACTACAAATAGCCCTGTAAATTGACATTTTTTTTATATAATCTAATTTAATATAATCATCTGAGCAATAGAAGGACCAATCATCAGAATAACACCTTTATCATGAGTATTTCTGCACAGCATTTTCCCCATTTGTTCGTTATTGTATATTCTCTCATTATAGCTCAAAGTATCACTAGGGACCCCGGGAACAACCCAAGATTGCGTTTTTTCGAAATAGGCAGCTTTAAGAGTCAAGCAACTTGGCCCAGGGTTAAAGCATCCTACGACCCCCACTTACGTTTGCGCAAACCATTTGTCAGTCAATGTTTCTACAATGCTGGAGAATGAACTACACATTTCACACTTAAATTACCTACCTCGATACACTCATGAGTATTTAAGAATCCTTTTTATATAGTTGAACCGCCAAATGTATGGGTTTATCGGCAGAACGAATAGATTTTTGTTTTTGAATTTGAAATATTAAAGACTTCAAGATGGCAGAAGCTTGGCAGAGGGGGATTTCCCTTATGACCGGAGCACGCAAGGACTGGATATACCACTAAATGGAGGAATTTGACGGTTTTAATAAGTTAAATATTACATGCAAATATTGCTATCAAAAATGAAAATCTCTTCTTTCTGCCGATAAGCCCATACAATTGGTGATTCAACTACATGAAAAGAACTCTAAAATACTAAGGAATGTATGGAGGTAGGTCATTTAAGTGTGTAATGCGTAGTTCATTCTCCAATATTGTAGCAACATTGCCTGACCAATAATTTGTGCATACAACCACAAAAGTAAGTGGGAGTCGTAGGATGCAATAAGGCCCAGGGATCACTGCATATAAACCTTGACAGGGCAACATGGGGTACCTATTTGAAATTTGGTGTGGCAACAGACACAACTTTTAGGATCTGGAATGAGAATGCCCCCAACATGATACTTTTGAGATATGACCAAGATCATTTTTTTGAGCATGGGCTTTCAAGAGATTGGGTTAGGGGAATAACTAGATTTTTCCAATTTCTGGTTTGAAAATGGTTTGAGCATGTTAGGTCATTTTCCTCAAAGATTTGCCATTTTCACGGGGCCTTTTTCAGATTGGTATTGTAATATATTGATATTAGACCAGCACTGCCAAATATTATATACAGTGAAACCCTAGGGAGACTGGGACAAGAAATACCTAACAGACAGGTGATTTGAAAAATCAAACCCAAATTTAGGGGGGGGGGGGGGGGTGTTTGACAGATGGTGATAACTTTAGATCTCTTGGGATTTGTCATTTAAAATAGAGAATTAGGAAAGATCATGGAATTTCTATTTCTATTTATTTTGTCAATAAGAATGACAATTGAAGAGATCTATGCATCATTAAAAATGTCTGATGAATAAGATTTGATAAAAAACATTCTAGAATTTTCTGGAAGCTATCGGTTGTCAATGCAAATCGATGCATCTTTCAAAAATTTGAAAAGCACATGGCGACTTTGAGTTTGAAATACTACAAATTTTATGAGAACATCTATATCATGCTACATATCATTGTACTCTCCAATATATCAAGTGCTAGTTTACTAGGTCAAGTCGATTATTTATGCTTACCTTTGCTCCATCTTTGAGCATTTGTGAGATGCCAGGAGGTCTTGGGACGTGAAGCGCCATGTTAGTTTTCTGTTGTTAATTGCGCCACCTATAAATCCAGGAAAGTGATGTTGCTCAATCATCCGCTCTGTGGTTCACATCTTATGAACGCAATACCACGGTATATAACCAAAACGCTCCTACGCTGCACGACGGAGTGTTTCATTACTGAATCTAAACGATGAAACGCTCTGCAGTAAGAAAAATTACGGACAGAAATGATCAGCCGTCCAACGATTTCGCCAAAAACGAGCTTATAATGGAAATACGTAGGCTATGTGTTACCAAATAAAGTCATCAAATTCATAAATGTATTTGTCATTCTACCGGTCAAAATCCCTCTATCGATGATTAGAGCATCAAAGTATATTTCGGTCAAATTCAAAAAAAATATAGGTATAAAATCATCTGATGTAGGCTTTTTGCACGGGTAGCACCACAAGGTTGGGAAGTTTCAATTAACTAGTGAACAAGTACTTACGACACATGGTTTTTCAGAGAAAAGTTCGATTCCAAATGTTCTCTAATAATCTGAAAAGAATGTCAAAACCAAATGGTAAGAGCATACATTGAATTAATATATGGTTAACTGAGCAGAAACATTATTTCACAGTGCAATGAGTGCAGTATGGTTTCAATGGTTGCAGTCAGTCTTTAATCAAATGAGAATTATTGGCAACAGAGAGTGACTCCCCATCACAGTGCATTAAGGTTTCATAAAGAACTGGACAATGATTTCCGTTTATGTTTGAATTGCAATAAAGAAGTCCTTATCATTCTTTACATGGGCATAGCGCTATTTTTCTTAGTAGTACGCCACCAACTCGGGAACAAGAGTCAAGAATCCAAAAACGAGAATTCAGGGGGGTCAGGTGGTTCTCCCCCAGGAAAATTTTGAAATTTGGTTGTATTTATAGCGAATTTGCAACCATCTGGTACGCCTGTGCGTACCCAGCGTACCGGACGCTACGCCCATGCTTCATTAGATTTAAAATCATTCATGCATGTACCTGTACTAAATACTAATCCATTCTGATAATGTTCTCGTTCTTTGCACCATCACCATCACGTCCACTCATTACATATTAATATTATGTGTAGTAGTGTACAGGTTAGTGCTTTTAAATTCAAATGATAAAGAATGAAACTGAATTATTTAATTATGTTTTGAGAAACTTCTGAATTAGTACAGCAAAACTTTTGTTAGTCACAGTGTTAGTGAAGTTATCTGAAGAAGTCTTACCAAATACCGGTCACTTTCTTTATCAGGAGAGCTGTCAACACATCTGATAAGAAGTGTTCTAAGCAGCTCTAGTGAAACTTGATGCTATGTTTTGGTCTAATACAAGCTGTGGATTTTTAGTATTACCCTAACACTGGCGAATAAGGGGGGGGGGGCATGAGGGGCTTAGTCCCCCCTAAGATGGGCTCAGAAAAGAAATTCGGGACCAAAAGAATCTTAGGGGTCCAATTAGTGCAGTGGGCCCTTTTAATTACTGGGCCGTTTTTTGGCCTCATTTTTTAATTTAAGGAAAATGGGCCTTCAATTTTCAATGCAATTTTTGGTTTTACGGGTCATTTTAGCCAGAAAGGTTTTTTCAGACCTGAGATTTGCCCCCTCTTATTAGTTTCCAGTTCCGCCCCTACCTAATAATCCCGGCTAATAATATACATAAAACCTATCCAATCTGATATACCCCACAGGCTTTAGCCGGTTTTACTGTATTACAAAACAGCACACCATGTACATTATCTTAACGGTGAATGATTTTACCATGGGCTTTCAGAAAAAACTGCTTTCTATTACATGATATAGCAGCGACAAGAGATAGCTTTACTGTACTACAAAACAGTCCACCATGTTGTGTCTACCCCAGAAATTTTTTTTAGGGCCTCAATTAGTTGGTCTCTTTAGGCATTACCGGGCCTTTTTGGGCCTTATTATTTAAATTTTTGGCCAAATTGTCAAAAATGGGCTAAATTTTTAACACTAAACTCAATTTTTGGTTTCAGGGGCCCAAATTCTTTTCTGCTCAAGCGAGGAAAGTTTTTTTTCAGACTTGAAATTTTGGCTCCCTCGCTGGCCCCCTTGCCAGTTTCCAGGTCCGCTCCTGGAATCTCAGGAGTAGTAAAGGCGCTGGGGAGAGGTATAAGAAATTTGGGATATTTGGGGTTTGTTTTATTTTTTACTGGTTGTACTTTCAGGTATTTCACTTTCTTGCTTTTTGAAACTTGTCTTTTCTTACCTATGTCAAAGGCTGTGACTGATTCTGAAATAGACTTTGTAAGGTACTTGCACATATTTATTAACAACAGTGTTTTCCTAGTTTTCTATTTCGACGGAAACCTCCGACAATTACCGATGTGAATGCCACTCGGCGCATGTCAGAAATTCACATGAAAACACAAAGAGAAGTGTCAATTTTCTAAAGCATAAAACATAGAATTTCCCTTAGTTCTGGTTACAAGAATAGATTCCCAACATTACCAAGAGTTTCATGAATATGAAAAGAAGGAATGCCGATTGCGGCAAACTTCGACGGCCGCTGAAACGTAGTAAAATAACGGAGGGTATCTATGGAAGGTGAGAAAAATTTCAATATGGCAGATTTTTTTGGGAAATGAAACTCAAATTATTGTACAAATTTAATCATTATATGCATTGTCTATACTATATCTGGATCATCAATATCATAAGATGTATCCTCTCAAGTACGTTAATTTGTCTGACCCAACATATTTACTCTTATTTCTCCCGTAAACGTAAAAAACTGATCATTGTTTTTGCTCATTTTTTGGTTGGAAAATTTTGGAAAAACTGAGATTCATATTTAGTTGTTGTTGGCATTCTTTCATTATTGTTTGCAGCATCATATTTCAAAGTGCTTTTGTACATTTTTTCCTCATTCAACCTTCAAGGCAAAAATATAGACCATGTACTAGATTCTTCTGTTTGTATCCTGCAGCAGGTACAGTTCATTTCAATTGGGTCGATCGTCAGTAAAAGCTGAAAAATGAGCAATGAAGACCGCAGTATCACTGGGTCTGAATGTATTAAGCAGCCTTAGCCACCGTGTCCGTGCAACAAGATGGTCTGCCTTTTGGTAGCTGATTTTCAAAAGATATTTTGTTTCTTCTGTTTTATATGGGCCTTTTGCAGACATAGACATTCCCCGATTTCTCATTTTATCATTGTATGCATGCAGTTATCACAGAGGTTCTTGATTCAAAAATGCAATGAGCAAGTAATACTCTTTATGAGTGAATTTGCATTTGTAACTGCAGTGAAACACATTGCAATTGCAGTTGTGCAATACTGTGAAACCCACAAATCCAAACACCTCTCTAAGTATCTGGACACTTCTCAATCTGAATATTTTTTCTGGTTGTTCATAGCTTTTTTTATTTCATAGGAGGCCCGTAGCCAGGGGGGGTTCGGGGGGTTCGGGCGAACCCCCCCCCTGGCCAAAATTTCTTTCAAAATCATGCAGTTTTTCACCATTCTGACAAATTTTTGAGTGATTTTTGGCCATATTTGCCAAAGTGAACCCCCCCCTAGAATTTTTTAGAAAACGAACCCCCCCTTGGAAAATTCTGGCTACGGGCCAGCATAGTAATAGTAGCTGTTCATAGTAACATTCAGATTAAACAGGTTTTACTGTATAATGAGATATATCCATATTCTTTACACATTTATATGTTAGCAATGTTATATACATCCTTTAGAACTGCACATACATTGAATAAAGTCACTTTATATAAATGCATGCAAGACACATGTACCAATTATGTTTTTTGACTGCCATAAATCATCAGTTGCAGGTATTTAAAATTAACAGATTGAACCTATCCCTTTGTCATTATTACATGTACTGTTGTTTAACACACACTTCTGTAAATGGGTTGTTGTATAGCATGGGAAGATAAAACATGATAATAATAATACTGTACTCTTGTTACCATCATCGGTGCTTCATCCATTCATTAAACAGTTCACCCTGCAATTAAAGTTTTGGGAATTGCTTGAAGTCATTTCAGTATTTCCTTGAAGAAACATTAGTGACATAACATGTTTGGGAAAAGCTACAAATTATGTCATTTGAAGAAAAATAAAAGGTCAATTTTTACATAGATATCTACTTTTCCTATGGTTGGTACAGAAAACCTGCCTAAAACGAACACCACTGAGATTAGCCAAAAGTGTTTGAATGTTCTAATATACAGGTGTAGCTGTAACTTGTGATATCATTGATATTTCTGGACATCATATGACATGATGTTTAGCAATGAACTAATTTTGAGAAAAGCTCTTATATATTACCTACTTTAGCTTGAGTCAAACTTTATTACATGTACTTGCTAATTTCACTCTTTTCCACTGCAGTTTCTATTTTGCTTACAAGTAGGCATGTGGTTGTGTACCTGTGTTAAAGAAGTAGTCAGTCTATGTTTACATGTACTTTAAATTTGATTAAATCTCTTTGTCTGAGTTTATAATTTATATGTCTGAATTTAGTTCAATCAATCAAAATCTCAATTTATGTATGAATAACTAATCATAGAGTCATGGGAAACACAGGGAGAGTTATCCATATTAGGTAGAGCATCCAAATGTATAACGCTAAGGTGTCAAAAGTTAGGTAGCCGGTTAGTTCAGTTTTTGACGAGATATGAGAAAGCAAAACTTCCTTGTTTAGTGTAAGGTCTAGCTGTAAGATACACGCCCCTCTCCTTAGAATTATAGAAAATGATAAAATATCTTTTAGAAATAAGAAATTCATAGACCCCTGGGCAACACTTTTCTCAAATAATCAACTCTGAAACATGAGGTTAATCTGAAAAAGTGAAAATTTACTTGTAAATTTCCTCTACATATTCTTTTAACTTCCTAGTTTCATTTTAGTTCATACTTTGTCAACATTTATATTGTGTTTTGTTTAAATAAACATGAGTGGCCGTTTGTGTTGATAAAGTTGTGTTTTGAACAGCATACACGCTTGTTCTGAATTTATGAGTAACTGTTTGACTGACTAGTAAAATGGTTGTAGTAACTGGCGTCTATTCAAAAAGAGTACAAACTGTACACTACTTTTTAAAGGCAAATTTTGATTTTTAAGAAGGGTGCCACGGTTTAGGTGAATGACCTTTCATACTTTTATTTTGTGCAAATTCTTTTATTTATATTACTTTTATTCACTTATATAGAGGTGTTTCACTTATATAGAGGTGTTTTCACTTTTAGAGGGTCAATTAACTTTTACATATATGGATATGGTTTCACATTTGAATATAAGAAATTCACTATATAATATAAATTCTAATACTGCAGTGAAAGTAGTGATTTTGGTATATCCTTTGCAAAGTGTAATGTTTTGATCGGTACCAAAACTGGAATAAAGTTTAAAATCTTCAAAGCATTGAATTAAAAGTCTATTTTGATGATTTATTTGAAAGACATGAAGAACATTTATTTAAATGCTGGTGTAATGACTTGTATTTTAGAAAAACAGTTGATCAGTTCAGTATATTTTACATTATATATTTGCACAGAAGTGAACACATATATTTACATTAAAACTTGTCTCGTTTAAATAGCACTGAGATTGGTCAAAAGTGTTCTGATTAGCAGGTGTTCACATTTCAAAGATTCAAATGTGAATCAATGGGAAATAACAAAAGTGATACTAATGTAAATCTTCACATTGAGAGGTGTTCAGAGTTGAGAGGTGTTCAAAATAGAAAGGTGTTTGGAAAAGGTAGGGTATTAGTAGGGTATGTTCTGAAAAGCGTGTCCATGGGGACAGATTAAAATATAAAAAGTCTGTCATCTATGGAAAAGTATGTCCATATTAAAGGATAACAGTTATATTCATATGGACCTTGTCTTGCTTCAAGAAGACCTCCTTATCTACTTTACTAACACATTGAGGTACAGTTGGGGGTTGGGGGGGGGGGGGTCACAAGAGCTTGTAGCTGGACTCATATGAACTGGAACTATACATATTGAGACAGTGTTGATGAATGCGTAGGTAGAGAATATCAGTGTACATAAACATATAAATTAGCACCCAAAGCAATTAAATGTTCTCTACTAATCACTGTTGATTGCTTCCTCCTGAAGTAACTCTGAAGAATATTACCTTGAAGGGCAAGTATAAATAATCAGAAGCATTAGACGTTATCTTAGTCTCTCTTCCCCCATACTCTTTATGGGAGAATATGGATTGATGCAAGGTTATCATTTTAACAATAAGTAAGTTAGAATTGAGTTTTCATCTTGTGGGGTTCCAAGATGCAAGTGCAAAGTCACACCATACTTGATATTGTCTAATCAACCCAAAAGGAGCAGTTCTGATTTTTGGGGTCACCTTGTATTTCTGCATTATTATGTAACATTGTATTTTGCCAAAATATATAACCTTATCCATGGCAACAATGTAAACATGCATTTTGATTTTGATATTTATTTTTTAATAACACAGTTTAAATTCCAGAGTGAATAATCTTAATCTGACACTATATATGGCAATTTCGAGATATCAGACATATTGAATTTTTTTAATATGGCAGTCTTCAAGGAGATAAACCTCTATATTTAAATTCAAGTATTTAATTTGGCTATTTTGATTCGCCAAATTAAAACGCTCGCCTTTAAAGTCTTATCTATTGAAAAAAATCTGATAAATATCAGGAAGTGAATTTGTATCCTTTGGACTGTGGTTCAAGGTTTCAGTCAACAGTAGTTTTATGTTTTACTCTTTAGTTCTTCCCATAATCTCTAATCATAACAGATAGAAAATCCAAGATGAAAAGAATATAATTTGACATATAGTTCACCCTTTTTATGTCCCCACCACATAGTGTGGGGCCATATTGTCGGCCTAGGCGCGTCTGTCTGTCCGTATGTCCGTCTGTCCGTCCGTCCGTCCGTCCGTACGTCCGGCAGTTTTCTCCAAAACCGCTACAGATATCACCTTCAAATTTTCAGGGTTAACTTATGAGTGCATCTAGATGTGGATGAAAAAAAATTAACTCGATACCTACTTCCTGTCGGCCATTTTGAAGTCAAATGCTAAAATCCTTGTCTGCAAACTTTAAGAAAAATGGCTTCACAGTTGCTTTTGAAACTTTAACATCTTGTTCAGCTCACTTCATTCTAGATCTGATTAGGTTTTGGACCTGTTAGCTCAGTCATGTCAGCCATTTTGAATGTTTTAAGAAAAGTTAGCGCGCGATAATACTTTGTATCATATTGAATGGTGTTTTTCAGTTTTCATACTTTAATTATTTTGTAGCTTTATAAATAATTGCAGGTGTACTTTGTTGTAAAAGCCTATGTTATTGTTAACAGTAGTTATATGTGATAATTTTGTAAAAAGAAATCGGCAAAAACTCATAATCACTTTTTTATTGTCGGCCATTTTGGATTTTCCGTCCTAAAATTTTGTCTGTAAAGTCTTGTCTTCGCATTTTCAGGTGAACCGTTTGGTAGATCAATTTCAAATTTTCAGGGATGATTTTTAGTATGAAAATCTAGATCTGATTAGTTTTTGGGCATTCTGGGTAAATGTCAAGGCAGCCATT